TACCTAGGGAGGGTAAAGGTCTTTATATAGACAATAAGTGTTCACAGTTAAGACCCTTAAAATATTGATTTCAAATCAACATTAGTAAGCACGACTAATCATTTAATAGAGTGCGGAATTAATATCGCACTAGTCACGTGATTTCATAGACCCTAGGTCTAAATACGAACTTAAACTTCGTATTTAATTACGTGACTAAAGGTTTAATATAAACCTTTAGAGGGCGATATTCCACAAATATATTTAAGATATATTATCGGTCGACGCCGAAGTCGATTAGAATACGGACTTTATACGGTATACTCCGCTCTATAACTATTCTCTATATTAAGTATATCGGTGTTTATTCGAAGCGTATTACATTAATAACGAATATAAGGTCGTATTGTCGTAATTCCTCGTATTCGTTTAGAAAGCTTAAAAGAGTTCGTTCTAAAATAGCTTCCGTTATTTCCGAACTACGTCTTTTTCTAAAAACGCGATCTTAGAGAGTTCACGGCTTCTAGAGTGAGATCGCGAAGAATCTCGATCGCGGTTTCTTACGGGGCTTCGGCTACTATTTCGTTCTCGAGTCGGCGTAAGCGTACGTCTACGCGGATATATAGTTCAACTAAACGAGCGATTCTTTTCGCTTCGTTGTGTGTGGTTACGTACTTAGTGCTTTACGGATTCGCACTCGAAGTAAGCATCGTTATCTTTGCACTATGCTCGTCATTCCTCGATATTTTTCATAGAACGAGTGCTTAAGAAGAATCCTTGCCGCGTGTCTCTACGAGGATTTCCGAATACGGTGTAAGCGTAGCGAGTAGGTTCGGATCTTACCGTATTACTACGTTTAATACGTTTCGCGACCTCGATTTAATAGTATCGATTAGCCTAGACTACGTATACTTCTAAGAACAGTGCGTCTGTTACGGATTCGGCTAAACATCGGAAGGACGGACGCCTGATACACCGGGGAATAATCAGGCCACCAGCTAAGAGATGCGGCTCAGGGAGCGCATCCTTATTACTAGCACACTCCCCGCATAGGAGGCGCATTCTCTCCTCCCTTACGCTTTGAGTCGTGTACAGTATCGACCATATACTATAGGGATGACTTACATATACGCTTATCGTTAGACTCTACCTACTTGCTAAGGAATCCCTAACAGCGTCGTATTATAAGTTCTCGATTATTTTTAGTCGTAATTCTACGTTAAGATCCGTGCGGAACTACTTCTTAATATTCTCGTTAGACTTAAACGAAATAATTCGTAAGCTAATATAAACGAGTTTAGTAACGTATTAGTAGACGTTTTAACTATTCTAGACTATTACGTTTTATTTATTTGTTAGGCGTAATTATTTATTAGCGTTCTTAAAGATTCGTCGAAGTTAATTATAATAGACGTTAAAGATAGTTAAGAAGTGCCGATAGATTTTAAAGAGGCGATGTATTTTTTCCGTAAGGTAAGAGAATAACTATACGATCTTTTCTCGTTCGTCGACTTATTATTCACGGACGTTATAAAAGTTAACCTAGTTTACGAGGTTATATAAGTAATCGTTAAGCTTACCGTTTAAGTGGTCTCCGTCGTACGATTTCGACTTCTTTAGTTTAGATTCGTCGCTACGATGTACGCGTTAACCGACGTTATTCTATATTATTACGAGGTTTTCTAGGGCTATAGCTAGATAATTTATTTACGATTAACTATTAATTTAAGTTTAAGCTAGAGTTTATAAGATAGTAGCTTAGTCGAATTAAGTAAATTAGATATTATCGCCTATAATTATGAGTAGTTATAACCGTTCGTAACTATTCGAAATATTTAGTGATAAGTAATTCTTTATATAAATATTTATTTCTTAATATTTTTCTTTTCTTACCTTAAACTTCGACCTTCGAACGCCGAGTATCGTAACGTTTCGTAGATTTTTATAAAAATTTTAGTTATCGTAACCATACGTAGTTATCTTATTCCCCGGTCTATAGCGTTATCGTTTCTAATTAGTCGGCGGTTCCTCAGGTGATTCGTAACTAGATTCGATAGATATAAGCTTTTTTCTTTTTAGTTAGTCTTCGTTTTAGTATACGATTTCTTAATAACTAAAGTTAATTTTCTAGCTTCCTTGTCATCACTAAGTAAGTTTTTCGTATACTTTTAATACGTTATGAGAGCTTACGAAGACGAAAGTTCTTCTCGAATTAATAGTAACCGTCGATAGTGACGTATTAAGAAGAAAAAAGAGATGGTTTCGGAGAACGACGATACTTCTATCTTCTCTTCGACTTAAGTCCTCGTACTGTAGAATTAGAGGTCGTAAGAGTTCGTAATCTCGACTTTTTAAAGTTATGGGACGAAGTGCTTCGCTTTTATAGAGTGTCGTTTAAAGGATTATAGATAGCGCAGTCTCGAGGCGATTATCTCGAGGCTTCGCCGTCGTTCCCTTAAGTCCGTAACTAGTTATAAGGTTACGTACTAATGGAATAGGCGTTGCTACTAACTGTGAAATGAAGTGTAAAAGTGTATTGGACTATTCTTAATCTATCTAGTCGGGGAGGCTGCTTTTATAGCTATAATTACTAGCGTCTTGGCGTATTTCACACATGGATAAACAGTTACCAGACAACTTACATCCCTCCCTCACTCCCTGACTCTTCGTTTCTACATCAAAATTTTCCGTGGCTCTGATTCAATGACAATGAACACGGCTATTTCGACTGCATGACACTTCAACCTCGAGGCCACAGCCTCTTTTTCTCTAGTTTAACATGTTTATAACGTATACGCATGTGGACCAACTGAAATCCCGCGCCAAAAAATGGCAGGTGAATTCCTACCAGAACCTCCGGCGCAAGGAACTCAAGGCATCCCTGCCAGCGACAGACAAGACTGCGCGATCCAAGAGGCCTAAAGTACTGGCCTGGAACCAAGTCCCAAGGGCATCTGCTAAGCTGCGCTGGGTTCAAAGTACGGGAGGAGCCACGCGAAACAGTTCAGACGACGCTGTCGAGGGCAATGCCGTTGTTGTAGCAGTCCCCGTTGAGCCTCCTGTACAAACAGCTCTGGAGAGTCTTCGTGGTGATCCTTTCAATTCATATCCCATGCAACCCTGCGGCCGAGTGCAGTGGACTGTCGACTACTGTCAGCTCCCCCGACTCTGTCTAACCCACCCAGTTCAGAGGGCATATGGGGAACAAAGAACTAACACTTCCTAGTCACTCAAATATACGCGCCGATGAACGCGGTAAACTATCGAGACAGTCAAGGGGGCAACTGGCTCTTGTCGTACCTCTTCCGGGTCGCCCTGCAGGCCGATCTGCTTTTTGAATCCACCGTCCTTTTCATCTGGAGTCAGCTACCGGCGAGTCGGCTGAGGTCTTCTCCGGAAGAGCACGAGAGAATCTTGATGAGTGTTAGAGGAAGCGTCATGCGCAAGCTCCATCACCGTCTCACTGTGCCGCAGCTATGTTCCGACGATGTGACCATCCATACCGTCTTAGCATTGATGGCAGGAGACGTAAGGTGTCACCTTGCCTACTCTGTTACTGCTAGAGGTTAACACAAGCGATTTACCAGTTTCACCGTGGACATGATGATCATGTCGAGCTACACCGAGAGGGATTGCGGCGCATGGTGGATCTCCGGGGCGGATTGTCAAACAGTGACCTTCAGCCTCAGACCAGATATTCTGTCACCGCGTGAGTCGCATTACCCCCTAATCAGCATCTCGAAATCCAGTCCGTTTTGACATCCTTTTACAGAACCGAGATGATGTGCGACTATGCCATCCGGAGGCGCCATCGCTCCCCCAAGACCAACATCACACCCGACAGCACGCTGACGTATCCCACTCATCCATTCCCCCCCGCCCTGTCGAAGCTCCTGTCACCTCTGCCCGAAGGCTTCAGCGACATGGCCCTGAAAACACTGCTGTCGAACCAAGTCATCCGCCTTCTTTACCGGATGACCAAGACGGTCGAGAAAGGCCCCGCAGAGTTCCCCGAGGACACGTCCATCGCGGTGGAGATGATGCGCTTGTCCATGGAGTCGAACGCCAGCAAACTCGAGAAGGCCATCGTGACGCTCAGTTTCGTGTTCGGGAGGTTCCTCCTGGACGTGGCTACCGCGAAAGACCACCGTGTCAACCACTCGACGCGCACATATCAGTCCATGCAGGAACAGCTGCACAGCCTCTGCCAATCGATATTCGGACATGTCGACAGGGCCGGCCCGGACTTTGTGGCTTGGGCGGTCTTCCTCCTCGCGTCTGCCAGGGCCGATTACGCCGTGCCAGCGTCCGTGCAAGACGAGATCCTCCGACAACTCCCTCTCACGATCCCTGCCGTGAGGCGGTTCGACACGTTTCTGGGCATGGTGAAGAAGTTTTTGTGGCACGAGAAGCTCGTGCCATGTCTGGAGGGGCTGTGGACAAGGATGATGGGCCTGGAAACTTTAAGTTGAGAAAAGCGGAAGTCGAAAAGACCATACAGTCTTGATCACCTTTCTTTTGTTTCTTTTTTTGGGGGGGGGGTTGGCCCTCGCCGCTCTTGCGGCTATGATCCCAGCTCTTCCCTCTCGGTAAGTTACCACCTTGCACTATACCGTGTATCTGAATCCCTTATTGTCCAGCTCCGTGACATCATGCATCCCTCGTTCGATGGCCTCCTTCTCCTCATCAAGATCCGCCACACCCGAAACGGCTGCCTCGCGGTCTCGCCTCTTGTTCTCTGCGAACATGTAGACGTACAAGACAATAATGGCCACCAGCTTGATCGTGTACCCGACGAGCATCTCCACGTAGGCGGAATGATATCGCGGCGCCTCGCTTGACTTGAATGTTTGCGGCCTGTCGTCTTCGTTTCAGTAGCCTGCTATGCGCAAGTTCGCTGTTGGACGTATGATAAAAAGGGGCGCGGATATTCGAACAAGTCCTCACCCAATTATGTTCCCCACGCAATACCCGGTGAAAAGGATCGCCGCTGTAAGTTGTTTTTTTAGTATACCCGGCAACATTGGAGCTGACCATCGTCAAGCTCATGCTGAAGCCCAGGCCTTGGAAAAAAAAACAACCATAACCCGACCAGCCGGCCCCATTTGTTGCTATCTGGCAGACCGACGAGCAGCCCAGATCCAACGATGCAGATCGTGTTTGCCACAATCATGGTGATGCATCGGAGATTCGGCCACCTGGAGCAGATGATGCCTCCACCAAGGAGGGCGACGAACTGGACGGCGCCGCCCGGGATCTGGAGATACTGCGACCCCAAAGTGTCGACATTGAACGATTGAATCACTAGCGACGTGAACTGGGTGATTGCTGAATTCGGAATTTGCGCACCCACGGCCATGATGAACAAGATCCAGGTCTTTGGATCTCTGAACGTCTGCCACATTTGGTAGGACTTGAAATGTCGATTTTTGATGCCCTGACGGTTGGCAGAGACGCGTTTGGCGGCAATCACTTTCTCAGCGTCGGTGAGGAATTTTGCCGTCGACGAGAGATCCGGGAGCATGACGAGGGCCAGAATACCCAGGGCGATGCTGACACTGCCGAATATAATGAAGACGTACATCCAGCGGGGGAGGCCGGTTGTGATATGGCCAACAGCATAGCCAATCAAGCTCGATTTGCTCTTAGTATCCCTGGATTTCAATGGGGTGAGCATAGAAAACTTACCCTCCAAACATCGTTGCGATGCCATTTGTGCAATAGTAGGCCTCCAGTCTCAGGGGCTGCTCCAGCGAGGTGTACCAGATGCTCATAATGAGAATAAAACCCGGGTTCACCACCGACTCAAACGAGCCTCGCAAAAAGCGATTGACGGCAATGCCAGCAAAGCTTGAACAAGCCGGGGTCGTGATCAGGATAATCCCCCATGCGATGGTAGTGGCTCCGATCACCTTTCCAACTCGCAGTCTTTGTAAGAAATAGCCGGCCGGATACTGCGCCCACAAATAACCTACATCGATGAGCAGGGAAAATTTCAGGATCCCAGGCCAGCACTTACCGAAATAGAAGATCGACCCTAACCAGGAGTAGTCTTGGCCGTGTAAGTTCGTGCCTTTCTGTAAACCGTACACACTGGCATAGTTGATGCCATTCTTGTCGAGATATTGCAGCAGGTATATGAGAAAGAGGATAGGCACAATTCGAATGTCAAGTTTGCGTAGCACTCTTTTGGATTCGGCCGGGTCGAGTTCTTGATCATCGCTCTGCTTGTATAGATGGTGGTCATCGTCTAGGTCCACAGAATTCGCAGGGGAACTCGCAATCGTAGCAGGACTAGTCTGGACAGCACTGATCTTGTCGGCTTCGTTTGAAGCTTCGTTGACAGCCATCTTGTCCCTCTGCTGGGGTCAAACAATGTGGTCCAACAAGTGCCATTGACGCTGAGATATAAGTCACTCCTGCGTTTCTTTGGATCTCTCCACGTGGAGCATCGTTCTAGAATGTTACTGCAACACTATCAGCCGTCATCACAAAACGCTCCACAAGCACCATCTCCCCGCCGCAATTCGGTCGTTGCCTTTGGACTCCTGGCGGCCATGATACCATATCGACATATGATCACGACATCGGCTAACGACCAATCAGGAAAGGGATCTCCCTGACAGGATGTATTTGAGCCAACAATTGCATCGACAGCAATCGCATGCATCTCGGTTGGAAGATACACCTGGCAGAGGGAAGAGTCGGTATGTGACCATGGAACCAGCTTTTTGTCGATATAGGAAGGTGAATTTAACTGAGACAAAATCCATCTCGGGGTCCCGGTCCCTAGTCGGCAAACAACCCGATGTCAGCAGTCTTTCAGAGATCCATCTGGCAGGCAAAATCGTGTGTAGGAATCAATCTATTGTATCTCTATCAGCATGTAGTTGTGCTGCGAAAGCAGGCACCCAAATATACGCCACGCAGAAACTCCATGCTCAATTGCGTGGTTTGGGGGGGATGATTAATTAGGCCATCCTGACAAGACTCGTTCGTTTTTCATGTTTTGGTGTGACTCTGCTCAATGCGAGTGGAGTTCCGCTGCCATCTCCATACACTCCACTCGCAAAGACCTTCATCGTCCCAGAGGTCAAGGTCAGCTTGCTCGCGACCTTCGTGGAGCGGTTCTAGACCTCCCTTTTCCAGAAGCCGCCACAACTCCCGAATTTGATCCAGGTAAGCCACACGCATAGGGTATGTCAAAATGACACGAGACGAGGGCCCCGGTGCAAGCCAGCGGAGTATGGCTTGAGAGAGCAGTTCAGGATGCTCCTCTGAGTATATCGTGTCTGCGGCGAGAATTACGCGGGATTTATCCTTATCCGCGTAGTACAATGTACCGTCTTGGAGGGCCAGAGTCTCTGGGTTACTCCAGTCCAGGGAGCCACATTCAACGAGGCCCTTCACTGTGGCCGCGTTGAGTTTGATATTACCAGCCAGTCCAGGCACAATTGATGGGAGGTCTGTGAGGACCACTGGTGATTTCCACAGAGCTGCTGCAGTCAGACCGACAAGACCAGTACCGGCACCGAGCTCCAGGACTGGTATAGGCGCAGGAGAGGAGAGATCGATGGATAGTTTATGGAGCAAGCTCGCGAGCATAAAGGACGATGCCCAGGTCTGCAGACTTAAGCCTTGTGCGCGCAAAGCTGGCTCTGCTATGTTGAGGCAAAGGCGAACACCCCTTCCGCAGGGGATAGAGAAATGTCGAAGCATCTGAATCTCAGTCGGTTTGGCTCAGCTGGACATTTGATCAGGACGATAGGCTATGTATATGTACATGTACAACACTTTTCGTTGGCAAGTTGGGAAATTCTTATCAAAAGATGATAGTGGTCGGAGTTTCTTCGGCACCCACGTGACTACTATACGGACGAGCAAATGGCCAAAATAGAAGCAGCAATTTGCTCAAAGGCACTCACCTTCATACTCTCTGCTCTCGACTCTGCTGCACAACAGCTCGCCACCATCGCTTGTCCTCCAATCCAAGAGTCGCGGTCATCATCATTGCTAATATAGCTCATAGTGACCTCGTTGCCCTAACATATGGTTAATATCGTCCAGTGTCTGATGATGGTGGCTCAACACCTTGATGGAATTCGTTCTGTGGCAGCTCCTCTCCAATGCTCCAGAAACGCGGACAAAAGAGACGCCACGTTGTGGAACCCAATCCGCATACCAGGCTCCATACGAATCAACCTCATGATTCTGTTTCTTAGTCGACATGCCTTTTGGGGTCAGCCCCTGTGCCGGAGCTTCTTCTCGGCTCCTTTGGGTTTACCTGTTCAGACCGGTTTGGTGTCAGGTCCGGTTGAATGCACAAGAAAGGCTAACGCAGATTTATAGTGGAACATCCGATAAGTCCAAGCTGACCTCGATTCTGCTAGGCCGTTGTTTCTCTCCTCAGACTTGAGGAAAATCATCGAAGCAAAGTAATTATATTTCGGGAAAAACAATTTAGATTCGTCACACCCGCGTTACGGAGTCATGGCTTCCTCCCTCTACTTCCACGTTGCCCATGGCGCCTGCTCGGACCAGGCAAATGCAAGATTTTGACGATAAGTCGCGCCGTTAGGCAGTTTGAGGCTCTGGAAGAGCTTGTCAGACTCGAGTCACCTGGGTCTAACCGCACTGATGTTTTCGTACCCTTGATATGACCGAAACGGTCACCTGTTGGTTGAAACCCGTTCTTTTCCGCTTACAAGATGCAGTTCTGACTCTGCGAAGGGTCATGGCATTATCGAGCCCTGGACTTTTGCTTGACGAGGAACTTAAAGCCTGCCCTCGAACCGTTCCCCTTTTCTAGAAAGACCTATCTATCCACTCGCAGAGCTTACTCCTCAAGATCTGATACCTTCTATAGCGGCGGTTCCAGATCAGGAGCTATCTATTGGTTATGTGCCTCGCTAAGGCGGATCTTGTGCCGGTAGGCGATTGGCGAATCACCTCAAGTCGGCTTACCACCATTACGGACTTCTTCGCTTGGGTATTGTGACCCCTGCCTCCGCCGGGACTGTGAAGAGATGTGAATGTCCTCCCTTTTCCGATTCTAAACCATGGAACGGCAACACACAGAGATCGACGTCATGACTGTCACTATCATGACTATCAATCACGGCAAGGGAGTCGCTCCCGAGTCGACCTTACTCCTCGCAAATGTACAAGGCTTCGCCCCAGATCCAGATCGCACTCTTTGAGCATTCCACGTTCTCGTCAAAACTATTCCATGTTGCTTGCTTTACGACCCCTCACTTTCGAACGACCACAAAGAGACCCAGTAACAGTAACCGTGCTATGGCCTCGAGGTTAGCCACTACCAAATTACGATGACCCCCCAAAGAGAGGGCCCGCCCGTCCTCTTCATTATCACTTGTGCAGCAACGACAACAGTGGTGATACTCAAACTTCTTTCCCTTTTTTTATATTTCGACATCGCCCAGCATAGATGATGCACTGCCTCTTGCGGCCTTTATACGTCTCACTCGCACACCTCATCCATTTTAATCCGCCAACGACTTCTAGATGTTGCCTATTGGACAGACCGTTGTGGAATACAAGGCTCTCACAACAACTGGGTGGAACATGCATCTTTGGAATGTCCTAATCATCGGCTGCAATACCTTCGGCTGTCTGCTTGGCTCATCGAGCTTTTCTTCTTGCTCATAAATGCTTGCATCAAGATCTCGATCGAGCTTCTCTACCACAAAATATCATCATGCAGCCACAGCATATGATTCATTCGACTCACCCGGACGACAATCACATTTACCGTCGCCCATACTGTTGCCCTAGTCTTGGAGCTGATTTCCATCTGTCGACCTCAAGTTCGTATTAACAGTCTTACAATCCTGAATTTATCGGTGAGTATATGTGCGGCAACGACATGTTGCCATCGTCTTTAGTGCTACAGCTTCTGTCTTCTCCGGCATCTACGCATCAGTTCTGCCAATGCAGTCGGTTCGGGGTCTTAATTTAACGAGTAACTAGAGGTTTGTCTTGTGTGCCCTGTATTCTGCAGGGCTGATGACGGTTGGGATTGAGATTACACGGATGATGTTCCTTTTCAAAATGACCACCAACTATCTGCTGGGCCAGATAGTCCTGACGTGACTTGGCACGGGTGGCCCATTTCTGTAAGTTGCAAAACTACATGAACTTTAATAAAATGCTAAACGCAGAGCAGGCTTTGACTGGCAGTTGATAGAAGAGGGCGTGAAACCAGTCTTAGAAGCCTGGTCTGATAGATAAACCTAGGCAGAACTCCCCAGAACTATTCAAATGGCGGATGCCATAAGAGAGTTCGAGAAGAATGCCATCATTGCGCCGATTGCTTCTGACATTTCCGGATCTCCTCAATCCTCTTCCCCCAATGCCGGGATACTCAAGGAATCCGCTAATCGGAAATTTGGGAATATACATCTGCTCAGATGGACATCCTCTTAAAGGGGTCATGGTTCAAAGCTTTTGATCTCCAACCCTTTCGGGATTTTCTTAGCGTTGTCTCTGTTCACCATGCGGAATACATGATACGTCAGAACCCAGTAAGTAAAGCTTTAAGCGACGCCGTTGTACACCATCAAGAGGTGCACCGAGGCTCGAAGGTCCTTACAGCTTTCTTGATGCTGAGCTCGCCGCCGATACAAGTGGAGAATGTGGTGGTTTCAACATTGAGGCGCGGAGAATTTCCTTGAGCAGACCTAGAATTCATTGCGTCGATATGGCTCCGGATAAAGAATGGATCCGATCACATCGAATCCTGAGATGCAAGAACTCGGCTCACCATTTCCATGCTAAGAACTAGTGATTGGATATTCAATTGGCTATCATCCAAGTACCAAGTTGCTTTCATACAAGTCTGAAGGCAAACTAGCTTGGATTCCGGGTCGCCTTCAAATTCAATATAGAATTAGAGAAAATGATCGCGCATTACATGCTAGAGAGAAGACAAGGATAGTCTCCATGGTCTCTGAATGAGTATCAAAAGACTTGCGTTGCTCAAGGTTGCTTTGTTGGTTTGAACACAATGATCGACCGGAGGTATTGCTTTGGAAAGTGTTGTGATCCGACGTAGATCTTTTTGCGCAATCCCTCAGCTTCAATCGAGTTCCCAAACTTCGTTTTCAATCCGGCAACAAGACTCTTTCGGTCCTGCCCAGGTCCAGAAGACGGACACGAATCCCATATTCCACGACATGGCGTCTACCGGCCGCGCCTCGAAATCAATAAGCAATGGACTCTCAGCTGTGAGAAGCCGATTTGTTTGTCGAACCTGCAAACATCAACTTTTGCAACGCGAAGCACAGCAGACTCGACAATCCTCAAGCCTGCCTTCAAGAGACCCCATTCGTCGCGCCACAAGCCTCATTAATGAACAGCGCCGCCACGTCTCCTTCAATTCTCTCCTCAGCCGCTCTCCGCCTTCCGAACAGCAGTCGCAGCTTGAAGAGGCCGAGGGCGCCGGGCCGGTCGAGGAGTATGTCGAAGCCACCACCTGGGATGGTCTGGAACATTTGGGCCATCAGGGACATTGGAGAGATCTTCCCGCTGATCCCAAGGACGACTATGAACCGTAAGTCTCCTTTGACCCCAACCGTATGTGCCAGCGATCTAAATCTGGAATTTTTGTAGCTGGCTCGACCCAACCACCGCAGCACCTCTCCAGCGCGACGAATTCCTTTCATTTCTCTACATTTCCATTGTCGAATGTCTCGCATACAGGCACCTTGGCAAGGATCCGACGATTCTTTTTGAGCAAGGTCCGCCCGACTTCCATGGTGATATGACTTCTCTGAAGATCAAGCTGTCGAGCTCTGGAACGGTGTCACATCTGGAGGATCCGTGTGGTGTCTTACAGAAAGCCCGCGAAGCGCCGCGGCCAGAGTCACAGAGACACGAAGAGATTGAACTTTCCATTCCCGAGGTCGAAGAACAGCTCGCTGATGCAAAATTTGACTTCAGCGATCCTCTCACATTTTCTGTACGTTCTGTTCTTGCGCACCCCTAACTGCCCCTTCACGGATTTCTCCTTATCCTCAAGTTGGGCTAATCTGACTCGTTCGGCAATAGATAGTCAAGCGCTTCTCCCAGCTCACCTCCCACCGGGTGCCCGACCCCCTCCTTAACACCGTCTTGCGCGGCAGCAAACCCCTAACCACCTTTGTCGATTTGCTCACTCAAACCGCAAAGCCCAAGCCCAAGAGATTCGCAGAACTGTTGCTTTCCAAGCAGAAAAAGGCACAAGACTTTGCAGCACGGGAGAAACTCTGCGCCGAGGCTGAGGGGACACCATTTTCAGATCAAGCAGGGGAAGCGATCTCTGGACAGTCAAAAATTCCAACCCAGAAAAAAGCGAAGAAGCAGAGGCAGAAATTCCAGCCCCTCGGCCCCAATGTGATGATTTTCCCTCGCCGTGAAACGCAGGTTGATCGCGAAATGGAGGGCGGCCGATGGAAGGTCATCAAGCGTGAGCTCGAGAATCGGGGTCTGCCGGTGTATCCGCTTCCGAAGCTGGTACCCGAGGGTGAAGAATGGAGGAAGGAAGCAACGTCAGAGGGAGTTGTGCAGAGGAACATGTGAATGCAAGCAAATACCCCATATTACCGCAACCACATCGGCTCAAAATATTCTCCCCAGTTGGGCTGAGCCTCCACCCATGAAGAAATCGTCTGGGGTGTGCAATGGCTGGGTTTGGACGGAGACCAGCAGCATACCGCGCCAAAGAACGTAGGAAAGCTATACAAGGGAAAAAGAGACTGTAACGTGGGACGAAATATATTCTCAAAAATGCTCGACCTGACAGCCTAGATTCGATGGAAACGTTCTGTGTGCTCGGTTTCAGCCACCAGTCTTTCGGATGTTTTGTGTATGCCAAACTTTTGTCAACTAATAGAGAATGAGCATGCTGAGTTATGGCCGTCGAAGTCATATATGTACAACACATGCTGCAGATTGTCGCTGGGCCCTGAATTCAAAATGGCACCTTTTCTCCCTCTAAAACGCGAAGAGAAAACCAGTATATGGAAGTGATGAAAGCGACGCGGAGGGGTGGAAAGGCAGAACCCGCTGTCCAAAAGGTGACTAGTGACAAGAGAAAGCAGTGGCTGTTTGATGTCGCTTGTCTCTTCCCTCTCGGCTCAGGTCTGGGAGAATTTAGAGTCGACAGGCTGAATGTTGGAGGAAATGCACAGAGGTGGCGAGGCGGGAGCTGGTATTGAGGATTGCAAAGTCGACCGGATCGAGGCACCGTGAGAGGCATCAACGGACCGTTCCTTGCCCTTGGCGCCACCTTCCTGCTTGACATGGTGTGCCAGGGGCGAGTGCTTACTCCCTGACGAAGAGGCCTGCCATGCCCATGCCAGTGCCAATGCACATACTCACGACACCGACCTGTCCCTCTTGCAATTGAGGCATCAGAGTCGCGAGCTGTCTTGTCCCAGTCATACCCAATGGGTGACCTAACGCAATCGCTCCACCTCTTGGGTTGACCACTTCCGTGTCCAACCCCAGCTTTCGAATGCAATAAAGAGCTTGACTTGCGAATGCTTCGTTGATCTCCCAGATGTTCACATCTTCTTTCTTCAAGCCAGTATAGTCGAGGAGTTTCGGAATGACCACAGCAGGACCGACACCCATCTCATCTGGCCTGCACCCTGCGACCTGGCTGCCTGCCCACTTTCCAATAATGGTTTTAGTTAGGCCGAGTTCATTGGCAGTTGACCGGCGCATCAGCAATGTCGCAGCAGCACCATCCGAAATCTGGCTGGAATTGCCCGCCGTCGAGAATCCGTCTTGTGAGAAAGCGGGTTTTAGTTTGGCCATCTTCTCGAGGCTAGCATCGTGTCTGATACCGTCATCTTTGTCGACCACGACTTCAGTGGGAGGTGCATCAGGGTGCTCCGGAGCGTATTGTCTGACCTTGACAGGGACGATTTCCGAGTCGAACAGACCAGTTTTCTGTGCCTTTGAAGCTCTGCGATGTGACTCGGCAGCAAAGGCATCCTGGTCTTGTCGATTCACACCGTACCTCTTTGCCACATTTTCGCTAGTGAGGCCCATAGGCATGATGCAGTCCCGTGCATTGTCAATGGGGCTATTCCTGACTTCGTCCCAGAGCATAGTGGGAATCGCCTTGCTCCCGTAATTCTTTGTCATACTCTCCATACCTGCGCCAATGCCCACATCAATCTGTCCCATAGCAATCATGTTCCCAATGCTCGTCACAGCGGCTAGGCCTGAACTGCAAGCTCGGTTTACCGTGTGCAAGGGCGTCCGCTCATGGAAACCAGCGTGTAACTGTGTCATGCGAGAGGCTTTCGATCCACCCAGTTCAGCAAGGACCACACCGACCGCAACGTCGTCGATTTTCGCCGGGTCAAGGTTCGGGTTCGCAGCGAGGGTAGCGCGTAGGACGTGGCAAAGAAGTTCATGGTCGTAGGTGTCTCTAAAGCCCCCTTTGACGGCCCGGGTGACTGGGGTACGTAGAGAGGAGAGGATGACAACGTCGCTGGGTTGTTTGGCGAGTATCTGCTTCAGACCTTGGGCGGCTGCCATGTTTGACGTATTATCCCGAAGGGAGTTTGCACCGGCGCGATTTCAGACAGCGTGTTCTAGATTGTCTATGTTTATAGGAAACTTCAAAAGCCAGACAACGTAGCAGTAATACTGGGGTAAAATATATGTAGGAATGTAATCGTGAGAAGATATGTTCGTCGGGTAAAGAATATCACTCAATTGAACAAGTCGCCATCGGAAGCGGGCAGGGGCCTCGGAAGCAACACTCGGCTCACAAACCCCACCTGGGGGTTGCGGCGGAGCATATAGGCTGCGGCGGCAGTACTCGGTATATGTGCGGCGGTAAAAGCATACTGGGTACATATTACAGCCTACGATGTTACACCCCCCGCTTCACCTTGATCAAGCAAGGGTTGAGGCCAAGGCCGTCAGATGGAGACAGATGCTTCTTATATGCCTCATTCTCTCATAGCAGATTTCGTGTGACTTCTCCCCAACGGCCCTGACAAAGTTGCTGCTTGCCGTTTCCTTTCTCTCTTATTCCTTCTCTCCCTCTCAAGTTCCTCCCATACTGGTTCCTGGTTTTGTTGGGTCCAACACAGACGTCTCATTTTGATTTTCTCACCTCACTTCACAGCCGACACCCTACTAAAGAATATAGGAACCAGGAAACGAGCTGGGGGCGATTTTACCATACCTGTTACCTCGAAAATTCCCCGTCTCGCAAATGATCCGGTATGCGATATTCTTGCGCTGTCTAATGAGGGCATACCAGTGGCCAGTAGACAGACTTCAGATCCACCGTCATCTCCTTTATCAGAGTTTCATCTGAAGATGAGGATCTGCTCCAGGGAAAAGGCCAAAGCACTATGACTCAAAGTCCCCGGCTCAGCGCAACAGGTGGGAAAGCTCTGCTCGCATACCTCAAAATGATTCTGCTAATCCCCGGGGAAACGATGCTTCCAGCGACATTGACGACTACCCAGCGATTCTAGCCAAATGCAGAGATACTGCTCAACCTGCAAAAAGCGATGGTGATGGTGCTGACGATGGCGAAGCTTTGAACGTTGAAAATCTCGACAGCAAAGCGGCTCAGTGTGACGAATTCTCCCACCTCCTATGGCTAGAGCCGATGGAAATAGTGGTGACCATAGGAGGCTCTCCTCCAGATAGGTGCAGAGACTGTGCCGGATTCTGCGGGGCAAAGTTGACCAGACGCAAGAAGATTCGTGGATCATTTTACACGCAGATGTCCAAGCCATTTGAGGAGCTGACATTGTTGGCGTTCGCTCTATTTGACCGATTTGGTATGCTGAGGCTGAAAGACAACCACAAGGACCATGCCACCCGAAAAGGCTTGTGTACGTGGGAAACCAGGCTCGGTTATGGTGACGTTCTGCTCATTCAAGATGTCATCGTCGAAAAGCCCTACCCACGACTAGGGCCGGGGAAGAAAATTATTAGAGGTCTGCTAGAGGTCACTTAGCCCAAGACCGAATATGGGGTTTTTGCTGTTATCCTCTGGCCCGAGTCCTCCAAGGATGGCCCTTTCGAAGATCTTTTCTCACATCTGTAGTGGGAGACACCGGAAATGTCCACAGACCAGGAGTCTTTGACCGTTGCGACTCCGTGGCAATTGCATGGGCCCGCTTAGTTGGCTCCAGACGAAGGCTTGGAACGATTTCGTTACAGCTGCACTTGCGCGAATCTTGGTCCACGGATGAACTGTGCGTTGCGTAGGAGGGCCCCGCCTTGAACATGACAGGCTTTCGGAAGAGTTGGAAGATTTGCCAGGCATTGACTGGGTCAATTCCAATGAGTTTGCACTCTTTCATCTTCCACCTTACTGTCTCAAATTTCTGGGTCGATACAAAGCAGCCCGGCGAGGTTGTGTCGGGCCTTACAATCACGTCACCAGGCGTCTCTATGCTCGTGTCCCGCCAGATGAAATTAATGAAGACTTTGAGTGTGAAGCTGATGGTGAGAAGCCACCTGCGTCAAAAAGTTCTTGACGTGCGGAGGCACTATAAAAGGAGTTAAGTATTAGTCTAGCCTCTGAGGAGATACTCCATGCTCACACGGAAAGAGCCGGACTAAAAAGTTACAATCACGTTTCGCCTTTTTCTTATGTTCTGCTGTCTTTTTGAGAGAATTCAAGGAAGAGCTCATTTTGGCGCAACAGTCGCAATCCCAAACGGCCTTCACAAAGTAGGGATGGCGTCCATTCCTCGTAATATTACCCCTCGCCTTGCTTTTCCCTTCTCGCGATATAAAGATCTTCGTAGCCTCGTCAGTGCGTGGTTTCTACTCTCCGCCATCTTGCATCTCCTCATCTTCATCTCCCTCGTCCTCCTCGTCCTCCTCGCCTTCCTTAACATCCACACTGAACGCCATGCTCTGATCGACACCGATGTACGAGTCGCACATGAGGAACAACGTCAAGTCCTTCTTGCCGGCGGTGGGGACGACATACTCCAACTTTGTTCCAAACTGTTTTTTTGCGATCGTCACGCGTTTGATGGCCAGTAAGGACCTTGTTTTCTCCTCGGCCACAACGAGCCACCAGTTTTCGAGCTTGCGGAGGGGATAGAAGGGGGCATGGACTGTGATATCAACCTCCTGTTCAGCACCGCCTTTGCCTTCGTCTTCTTCCTCTTCCTCTTCTTCCTCCACTTCCCTCGAAATGCGAATCGCTAGGTAGGCTGGGTGGCCCGCCGTGACATCCTCCTTATCCTCGACATCAAACTCGAGTTCGAGACTGGGATACTTGTTATTCGTGAAGTTCGCTGCCTCCACAAGTTGCCGATTGCTCAATCCCATCATCTGCACCAGCTTCGCCTGATTGGGATTCTCCGAAGGGTCCATTGCCGTCATGAAATCGTCGATGTCCTTTATCCCCTGCTTCGCGAGAATATCTACGATTTGAGAGTCGAAATGTGGGATCTGCAGCAACGGAGAATCACGGTCCCACATGGCCTGCACCACCATCTGTGACATTTCCATTGCATTCATGGCGTTCAGGTGGCCTTCCGAACTCAACACATCGACACAAGCAGAGAGCAGCGCGAGCGTTTTTGAAACTATGATTTCTTGATCTTTCGCAAGGTCGATGGGCAATTGCATTCTTGAAAAATGTGCTTGTAGTAACACCATGGCCTTGAAGTGGGGTGAATCGTATATCGGCTCAGACATTTTTACCGGCACGCGATCGTAGATGCGGCGGAGGATGTGATCTTCATGACGACGGAGTTGTATTGATTCAAACTCCGTGGCGGACGTGACAATTTCAAGGAGTCCTTTGAGTTTTGTGCGGGCTGTGAGGGAGAGGAGGAAGGTCTGCATCGTAATGAAGGAGATATTATAGTACGCTGCAATCATGGCCGGGTTGAGGGGAGAGACAGAATCATCTTCTTCGTCCAAGTCGATGATTTTGGCGTCAGAGAGTTCCTTCAGCGTGGTCTCAATGAGTTCCGAGAGGTGTGTGCTAAGGCCGTTATGGGATGTGTCGTTGAGTCCATAGTAGCTCGGGTTCGCCAGAAGGCGGCGGTAGAAGTATGTATATGTGGTCCAGTCGACTGCATCTTGTGTGGATGTGATTGTCTTGGTGCTGATCTCGGTAACAAATGCGTCATGAAGCCAGAGTTGTAGGTGGCTTTCAATGGGCAATGCCTCGTTGAGGAATTTCCTGTAGTATTCGCGCTTCACTGCGGAAACCATGAGCACGCCCTTTCCGATGTCATCTTCACCAGGCCGACACGCTCGACCAAACATTTGTAGAATCTCGCTGATCTGGTAATCGACGTAGCGGTGTTCGCGACCCACAAAGTACTGTGTGCCCATAATTATGACAAGGTGCGCTGTGAAGGGGACCTCCCAACAGACATCGCGTGAAGCAAGCATGAGTTGGATAGCACCAATCTTGAACAGATGGGAGACGATCCTCTTGTCGCTAGTCGATAGTGCCTCGTGATAGTAGCCAATGCCATGTGTAAGGGACTCCGCCAATGCTCGTTCGTTGATTCGCTCCAAGAATGGGGCAAGCTCATTTACGTCAGTGTGCAAGAATCTTTCATCATTATCATCCATTATGCACGCTGAAAGGATATCAAGAGCTGTAGCCCGAACCTGCTTCCTGCCTGGAACGAAGACGATCGCTGGCTTGTCTGGCGACAGCTGCACGATAGATTGGTATGCTGGACGGGCCATCGCCATCATCAAAGACGGAAAATGAGGGATGCTGAAAGACTGGATATGCAATTGCAATCCAACCGGTCTTGTCATAGGGCTGAAGTTATAAATTGTGTGTTTGTTGGCACCGAGCCATTCACCCACGTCTCGGGCATTAGAAAGCGGTACGCTCAACCCAACAATCCGCATGCTGTTTTCCAGTTGAATGTGGATGTATTGCATTCTGGAAACCACAACTTCATAGACAGCGCCGTTTTCGCCACCAATCATATGAAGCTCGTCGGCAATGAACAACTCGACATTCTGCACGTTCTTTCGGCGCTGCCACTGTCTCGAAAGCGCGTCCCATTGAGCGGGAGTTGCCAATACGAGGTCTGATCTGTCCAAGATTCGTAGATCAGCTGTGATTTCGCCAGTTAATGTTGAGATGACCTTTCCACCACCAACTCGGCTCAATCGATCGCTCCAGTCAGAGTAGCAGCCCTCGACCAATTCTTGGAAGGGAGCAACATAGACTGCTTTACCGGCGTCCGGGTTCTTCCAATGTCGAAGAAGAGCAAATTCCGCGCATACTGTCTTTCCGCTCCCCGTTGGTGCCCCTACGAAGACACTGTCATTGCTGTCGTAGAGAGACTTGAAAACTTGAGTCTGAATCTTGTTGAATGCGTCCCACTTGGGATAGAGGGCAACGTAATCTTTGATCTTTAACGCCTGGACGGGCACAGGTTGCAGGTCGAGAAGTGGAGTATGAGGAGGGAATCTTTCAGGGAGGATCAACTTCTGGAACGAAACCGGAACTCTGGTCTCAGAGTGCATCCATCGATCCGATATCAGCGAAATGAAATAGTTGGGTGGAATTGGCTCGCTGATGGGAACAGTGAAGTCAACCAAGTGTTCTGACATGTCGCCCTCTGCGTACTCTCGACGCAGGATGAATAGGTCATGGAACAAGATTTCCTCTCCATCACAATCTTCGACGATGATCCAGAATGACTCAGTGGTGCCGTGCAGCACTTCATCCCACACAAAGTTGGGGGTGATCGTTAATTCAACGCGAAGTAATGATCTGGTGATCGGCTGGACTTGCGCTTGGACCTCTAATCGTGGAAACTTGGAAACAAGGTCGCACACAACTCGTCCAGCTTTGGGAAGACCAAGCAGCTCCCCCATTCGAGGTGGATCAAGGTCAAAGTAGCTGGACCAGGGCACTTCCATTCGCTCAGCTTTCTGAATGTATTCTCTCGGACACATTGCAAACTGCCTCAATGGAGTCATTGTAGGCCACATTCTCTTTTCGGCCATTTTACAGAGGTCCAAGGCAGTCTTTGCCACCCCGGCCCAGCCCTTTTTCAAGCATATTTCGAACATCGCCCTGAGGATTCTTCCTGCGGATTGTGTGACATAAACAAGATCAGCCATCAAAGCCAGCCCCTCCAATTTTAGTCGAGAAATAAATGCTTGGAGAAGCACATTGATTTTGGCTTGGGGCTCATCCATGCCTTCCTTGACAGGAATCGGCACTCTGCCGAGTAACTTCGCCAACTCGAGCTTTTCGTCCTGTCGAACAGGAATGTACTTGAACTCATCGCTGAGAGCAAAGATTCGGAAGAGTTCAATTGTGCCGATCGACGGTTGGACGTGATGATTGTAGGTTAGCATCGAATTATGTGTTATGTAGTAATGTGAAGCAATACGGCCAAGATCTGTAGCTTGCAACTTTCCAGTCTTCCTCTCGTATTTGACAAGTCCGGCTTTTTCGAGAACGATAGCGGCGGAATGGACGAGATCAACTCGCTTCTGCTCCAACGCCTCATCATCGCTATAGTCTGCGCCCACGCTGTAGAGGCCTGGTGAGCGTATCATTCGAACGAATAGATAAGTGTAACCGAGCCACTCAACACCCTCATCGCGGGTGCGGACATTGCCGAGGACAATTTCTGCATTGAGGTTGTCGGCAAGTTTGCCCATCAACTGACTTTCAATAGGTAATTGCTGGTTCATCAACGAAAGGTAGTACTGAATCTCTGCTTGGGAAGTGATAATGATACCTTCACCATATGAGTCAAACTGTGGACGACCCGCTCGACCGAGCATCTGAAGCACATCTTGTGGACTCAATTCGACCCAGCTTCCTTTTTCGGGGGAATAAACCTGGGTACCTTTGATCACGACCGTATGAGCAGGCAAGTTGACACCCCAAGCAAGGGTCGCAGTGCAGACGAGGACTCTCAGATAGCCATCGGCAAATAGGTCTTGCACTGATGTCCGATCGGCAACGCCCATTCCGGCATGGTGAATTCCAAATCCATAAGGCAGCAAGTCTTTCAGGTTGGCGTCATTGACCGCATCAGCTTCTTCTTGCAGGACGGACCTGCTTGCCGCGTCAGTCCGCATAATTTGGCCAATCGTTTCTAGCTCAATGGCCTTGTCACGGATATATTTGGCAGTTTTGGCCGTTTCTTTTCGAGAATGGACAAATATCAACATTTGTTGCTGGTTTGTCCCTGCGTGCTCGATGGCTTTTGCATAGCAGATGTCGTTCATCGTCTTGAGCTGCTTGATTGCTTTCTTGTCGGTCACGCCAATGAATTCCTGCCGAAGAGGGCAGGGTCTAAAGGATCCATCGAAGTGGAATAGACCCTTCTCGGGGTCTACCCGCAGAAAAGTGGCCACGTCTCGGTAGTTGGGAAGGGTTGCACTCAAGCCTACAATCCGCACAGGCTCGCCAGTCTGTTCGATCTTTCGTATGGTCCTGCTGACAATACTTTCGATCACGGGTCCACGGTCGTCGTGCAGCAGATGGATTTCATCAATGACGATAAGTCGTACCAGTCTGGTGTAGCTTTGATCGGTTGCTTTTCGCGTTATGACGTCCCATTTTTCTGGAGTCGTTACAATGACCTGAGTGTCCGCAATCTGTTGCTTGGTGAGCTGACGATCTCCCGTGAGCTCGGAGACCCTGATCCCATATACTTCAAGTCGTTTGCCGAAATTGCCCACTTGTTCCTGCACTAAAGCCTTCAAAGGTGCAATGTAAATAATCTTGAAGTCGTCCAGCATGATTTCGCCAGTTTCTGGATTTCTATGTTTCCCGATTTCACGCAACATCGTAAGCATCGCGACATTTGTCTTGCCAGATCCGGTTGGAGCGCAAATAAGCATATTACCATCATCGTGGAAGGCAGAGGGGAAGCATTTCGACTGAATCCGGTTCAGCTCCTTCGCAGATCCAAAACCTTGCCTTGCCCAATCAGGAAGTTCAGTAGTGGGAATGTTCTTCTCACCAGGGTCTCGCTTGGGTTTGGGTGGCGGGACATGAATTTCCTCATAGCCCTTGAATGTTCGTTTCGTGGAGCCTTGCGGCAGAATAACCTTTGGATTGGTCATCAGATGATTTCCCTGTTCAAAGACAAGGTTCTCGAGGTTGATAACCCGCTGTGGCTGCAAGCCTCCAGAAAGAACACCGTCTTTTTTCTTTTCCTGATCTTCCTGTGCTTTGGGGATATCGATGTCCATCAGGTCCAGTTTCATCTTCTTAGCCGGTCGTGGCGTTTCCCCAGGCCGGCCCAACTTGCCAAGTAGTTCGTCAAGAATCGCCCGGTGGCCTGCCTCAACCATTCCACTCTCGACAAGATGTCGAGCGTCCTCGTCCTCTGCAGTTCTGCGCCACCTAGTCACCCAAACGATCTTGTCTCTGTTGGAGACCAGCTTCCCAACCATATCGGGATGTTCGTAGTCAAACAAATCCATCAGGTCATTTTCGATATCGCGAAGGGATATTTCTTCGCCTTGGAGAGACTTGCCGGAGAGGATTTGAAGTGCATCTTGGGTCTTTTGCTGCTGAATAACGGCATCAGAATATACGGAACCAATTTGCCGTTGGAGCCAATAAGCATCAATTTCGTCGATGGGAATAGAGTCGGAAACTTCTCGCTTTCTGCGACTCGATTCACCCAGACCGCTGTCTATGACCATCGGGGCGTCTTCGTCTTCATCTACGTCGACATCGGGAGCGGCTGCCCCACCAGCTGATGCAGACTCTTCAAGACCAGGCTGGTCCTGAATGTCCTCCTCTTCGTCAGTGTCCCCCTCATCCTCGTCTCGAACTTCGTATGTCCGCCTGATGCCATCTTCGTCTACATCTTCGTCTTCATCAAAGACCACTGCGACACCCTGGCGTTCATCGAGCTCGGCCTCATCTGCGCCCGCGCCGTCTGCCATGTTATCGTCCTCGTCTTGCGCATCATAATCTGTGATCTTTTTGCCCAGATTGATTAGTTCGTTGAACTGCTTGGGGGTCATTGTAATTCCCACGATCTCATCGATCTCTTTCTTTTTATCAAAGTCTTTCATGTTTTCATCTTTTAGATATTCGAGGATGGCATCGGCAGCGCTTCGAACGATTTCCTGTGAGACATCTCCAAGAGCGTTTGCGGTCACGGTGAGCAGCAGATCGTAAGTCGCCCGAGTGGCGGGAGTCCTAGGACGATACTTGAGTCCTTCTATCAGTGCATCGCCGGCGGAGAGGACGCCGGCACCTCTAGGTTGGGCAGGCTCACCCCTCTTTCGTTTCCTCTGTTCTCGTTCCAAGACATCTTCTCCCTCAAGTATGGAGCCTCTTTCGACACCTTGCAGGCCCGGCGCAATCTTTTTTTGCTTCGGCACTTGATCTCGAGCGACCCGCGACCCCATATCACGGATATTCAGTCTTCCAGCCAGAGACTCAGGGTCGCCGGTATTTTCGTCTGTACGGCGGGAAACGAATCGACGGTCCACCTGGAGAACCAGGTTCGACATCGCCGAGTATTTGTATTGCGACACATTGTTGGGGTCTGCCATTTTGACGGCAGGAGGATCACAACCTTATGGATCGATTGAGGGGTTGCGATGGATGCGAAGCAGGATCAGATGCTGGACAGGTATGAGGACGAATTCGTCCAAGGTTTTACTGGAGGAAAGTGAATATCTCGGTGGCCATGAGCAGAATCAAGCAGTTCTGCACTGTTCCACCGTCATTTAGAAAGCGCAGCCTGGCGGCAAATAGGTCTGGTGTATGATGGCGACTGTAACTCAAAAAAGTTTCCTTGCCTCTCGCCTGCTCTCCAATCTTGGCACGTCTCTCGGCAAACCTTCCATATTCCTTCCATCTCGAAAACAGCTCCGAAAGGCTACTTGTTACAACCCCTGAGGCTGGCTGAGCTAACTGTCCTCCCTATCAGTCGCTGAACACATTCCTCTCGCTTCTCTTGGGCGCAACAGACCGTCGCCACCAAGAATTTAGGCATCACCCAGGTCCGAACCGCTGGCCATGAATCCTATCTAGACCTTCCGGTCAATGTTCACAGGATCTCTTGCCGAGTTCAATATTTAGGTTTCTATGTCTACCGCTTTATTGTAGATGACTACTTCGAGGGCAATATATATCTCAAAAGGGCGTCAAGAGCGTCTCCACAACGTGTGAAGATCCAGATAGTCTCATTCACAGTTATTGATCTTGATCAGCCGTGTCACAAGTCGAATGGCGACGCGGTAATCTGGACGGATGGTGGGCAGCGAACGCTACCGGGAATATACCTATCCTGGCGAAGGGCGAACTTCGTGGTCGGCAAAAGCAGCGGTGCTACTGCATGAAGTCAGGGTCCTCGTGTGAGTATGCATTTCTTGCAGAGCAGGGTAGTCTGTCGTCGACAAGCTTTTCGGTGTTTGTGTCCACCCAAGAGCGCTTGCATGAATGTGAAAGACGGGTGGACATCGGGTAAGCTATATGAATTCTTTTCCAGTATTGCGTGCCTTGGGCAGCCTTGTTTCTTGAGAACAAGCTGATATGGTCAGGACAACGACACTGCCACCACGTATTGGCGCTATTGTCGGATTCGCTTTTGAAATTTAAGTTGAGGAAGCCAACATACGATGTTGATGGAGATGCAAGCTAAGGGAAGCTGTAGGAACCACCCGTTGCGCACGATATTGGGACTTACATTTGTTATAACCTCCCTTCAGCCCTTCCGGCGGCCTAAAATGCCTTTCATTCTCGTTTACATGTCCATCTTCCGCTATTCTACGGCCTGTTCGAACGTGGCGCCTATCGTTTGATCTCATCTGCATGTGCTTCAGATGACCAGGGCCGGAGCCAAAGTCGACTGAGCCTTGTTGACATTGTAGTTCCAGGTCAAAAATCAACCACCAGCTTTGGAGATTCCAGGCCACCCACAATACAGGTACTAGTTTCCATTAAGAAGACGAGGGGCGTCTCTCATTCGTGTCTTTTTTTTTTGGGAATGGCTTTGATATGTTAGTACATAGCTGTTTGCTTACGGCGCTCAACCGGCACTAGTCGGTGAGGCTGAATCGTCCCCCCGGAAATTCGTATCCATTTTGAACCATGTTCTGTTTCCAGGTATAACTCCAAGGACATGGCAGAAGATACGAGGTACATTGGCCACTATGTCTCGAGACATGTATATAGCTACCCAAAGATTTCAGCCGTGAATTGTTAACATTCAACACGGATGTGTACCCCGAACCTCCAGGTCAAGCATCGAGTGTGCCTCAAATTGGTGGATTATTTGTGCCCAGAACCTGCAACGGGACCTGGGCGGAATCCATCGCGATCACACCCACTTCTCTCGCCGTCATTTTCCTTTGACTCAGGGCATACACTCATGGACAGTCGTGAATGTATGACTAGGATGTCCAGAAATCCCAATTGCAGTGTCCAGCGGTGAGCTTTTGATGTGTATGTGTTGCAGGTTGTATTTATGAGATTGATAGACCAGCAGAGTGCTACGTGTCCTCGACTTGGTAAGGCCCTCAAGCCAAAAAGTGGTTTCACGGTTGGGCGCTGAAAACAAGAGCAAGAACGATTCCAATGAGGGCAACAGGGCAAACAGAGAGGACGAGGTAGCAAGGCTGGAAATCCTCGCCGCGTCGCCGCGTGTTGCTATGATTCACCCAGGAGAGCAGTGGGCAAATTCTACTGTGGATCATGTCTCGCAGCCGCGCGGATCATACCACCACGAATGCAAGCCTCCAATGTATACACTCTTACCTATACTCCGTATTTTTCAAGTGAAATGCGACACGCCGAAGAACATATGTGTGCCAGAGCCTTTTCCAGCCTACCTTCCTGATCGCCCTCCGGCCAACTCCCTGTACAAGAAGCGTGGTTATCTTCGACATTTTATTGTCGCCGTCCTTCGAATCGGTCTTACACACTCCCATCATCCTCCTGACTGAGGGACGGCTTACACCCATTTTGGCCCTCAACCGCCCACGATGGCGAACACAATCCTAGATATATTCTATTCTTTATCCAGCTGTATATGCTGTTTTCCGAGTACTCCGCAGTTAAAGATCAACAACAGAAGCTTCCGCATGCTTCGGCTGCTAGGCGAGGTAGGATTCCTCAAGAACGTGGACATACCAGACTCACACGGTCCTGACACCATCTTTTCTCTGAATAGGGCGGCTTCTCATATGTCTACCTCGTCCAAGACACCTCCGATTCCGCTCTCTATGCACTCAAGAAGATCCGCTGTCCCTTCGGCCAAGAATCGGTGTCCCAAGCCCTCAAGGAAGTCGAAGCGTATACTCTGTTCGCGCCGCACCCTAACATAATCCACGCTGTCGACCACGCCGTGCAAACAGATTCAACCACGAAAGTCTCTGGGATTGGGACAGATGCGGCGAACGGGGCTAGTAAAACCGTCTACATCCTCTTGCCTTATTACCGGAGGGGTAATCTGCAAGATATGATCAACGCGAACTTAGTAAACCACACCCGCTTCGGTGAGAGACGGCTCATGCAATTGATGCTCGGAGTCTGCAAAGCACTGAAAGCCATGCACCAATACCGCGTGCGGAATACGCCATCACGGTCCGCCGCACAATCTATGCGCGACGATGCCGCAAGTGAAGATGCCGACGCCGCAAAGCGGAAAGCTCGCGTTACCAAACGAACAACGACGGCGTCACAAGAAAACCAAGAAGATTTGGCGGAAGAGCAGGAAGAACCGCTCATGCCCTCCGATGAAGTCACCCGCGCGCAAGACGGCAAGAATCCCGGCGAAACGCGGGCCTATGCACACCGAGACATCAAACCTGGTAACATCATGATCGACGATGACGGCCGTACCCCGATCCTGATGGATCTAGGATCCCTTGCACCAAGTCCAACGCCTATAACGTCCCGCTCCCTCGCTATCGCCGTGCAAGACACGGCGGCCGAACACAGTACCATGCCTTACCGCGCCCCCGAGCTCTTCGACGTCAAAACCGGCTCCGTCATCGACACGAAAGTCGACATCTGGAGTCTCGGATGCACGATGTATGCTTGTCTCGTCGGGAAATCTCCTTTCGAAGCCAGAAGCGACGAGACTGGTGGTAGTCTCAGCATTTGCGTGTTGGGTGGAGACTGGAGATGGCCTGATGAGGGAAACATCTCAAAGGGCAAGAACAAAGTCGGATCAACGCCTTCGCGTTCAAATACAGCGCTGTCGCCGGACGGCGCCTCGGCGGCGAATGGAGACGCAAATAAATCCCCCAATGCGACCATGGGAGCTTCTGGTGGGAGAATATACCCGCACCCGGCCGCGAGGGAAGTCGTCAGGAGGTGTCTACAAGTTGAACCGGCGGAGCGGCCAGACGTGGACGAATTGATGACCTTGATTGATACATGTCTCAGCGAGTTGCCTGAAGATGATGAAACGGGAGGCTCGGAGGGCGATGGTGATTTGTGAGAAATTTGTTGATACTTGTTATTTAGTTCCTTTTCCACGCGTTCCCATGTGCTTGATTGATGCACATTACTTCTTTCACTTCTACATATTCAAAAGTTCTTACCCAGCCCTTGGAACTGAGCAATGTGTCTGTATATCGGTTGTCTGCTCTGTTTTGTCTGCGGGAGGAATGCGATATAACTGCGTTGTATCTTCTGGACTTCTGGCGTTCGGCCTTGACTGACGGTCGAGATATAGGGATTCCGGACCTTTCATGAGTCCTAGATATCTGAAGTCGTAACTAAATATATCAGCTTCAGCTTCAGCTTGTTAGGATGTTAGAGATCAAATGACCTTACATTCGGTACATACCTCGTGACCCGACCCGTCGAGACAGAAAGAACTAGTACTCGGTAACTTGTAGCGGAATTGCTCCTCTTTTGTATCATCGACATGAATTCGTTGTAATATATAGCATTTTCTTTTCGTGCCCTAGCTACATTGGTGGAACCTCTCAGCGCGCTGCCTTTCTTTCCTAGATAATCTGACTGAATACAAGAAGAATGAAGAAGTCAACGAGGCGAAGAGCCACGGCCGTGTTGCTGAGCGCCAATTCGTCTCCTCCCAAAGACCGTCGGGGACATGAAGCGTGAGAATGTGCGTGAAGATTCCATTTCGATCATTGCCGACCCAGCTCGCCCTGTCTCGTACGGATGTCGAGGACACCTCTAGGTCCTCCGCACACACTGAGGATTTCTCAGTATCTGACCCGCGAGGATGCATCGGGAGTGATGAAAGACAATCCCTACCAAACTCCCATGGACGCCTAAAAACATCGCAGATGACGCGTCAATGATCCCTCTCCCTCCTAGACCGTTGCATTACTTAGCCTCGTGTTCCTGTTTATTCGGTGGTCTTGACAACGTCTGCAGCCTCCGTAGCAGCCGCTGCTGATTTTGGTGCTTTCTCCATGGTTTCGGGCGCCGCCGCTTCAGGCTTCGCTGGCTCTTCCACCACAGCCTTTACAGGTTCAGCGTTCTCTTCAGGTTTCTCTGCCTCGGGCTCTGCCGTTGACTTCTCAGCGGCTTCAACACCCTCAGCAGCCTCGGTAGCCTCGACTGGCTTTTCAGGAGGAGCAGAAGCGTCTTCCTTCTTCTCTTCTTCAGGAGCTTCTTCGGACTTCTCATCATGAACTCCGTTTGTGGCAGTGTCTTTGTCACCAGCAGTGTCATCAGCCGGCTCCGCACCAAGAATCTTGTTCCACTGGCTCAAAAGCTCAACGGAGCGCTTTCGAAACTGAAATTCTTCGTCTCTGGGAATTGTGTTGAGCTTGATCAAGGCTTTCAAGACCTTGTTGATCTTGGTGGTTCGAATGATGCTGACTTCCAGATCCGCATAGCCTTCGAGCTTTTTAATGTATGTAGCCATCTGCGGCATCTCATCTTCTTGAGGAGCTTGATCTCTGGACAAGAACCCCTTTTGCAGCTTGTGGCGGAGAAAGAGGACTGGACTAGGTTAGCTGATATTGAAAGGTCCGAGGAGCTGAATACCCACCTTCTTTCTCACGAGACTTGCGTGCCTCGACTGGGTCAAGCGGCTTCTCTTCTGGCTCCTGCTCGACCGCGTCTACCATCTCCTCATCTTCCTGGGCGGCACGGGACTTTCTCTTCTCCGATCGGGCCTTAGTTGCCTTCTCCTTAGGCTTCTTCTCTTCAGTCTTGGGTGTCTTGTTGGTGGTCAATTTGATCTTGGTGGTCTTGGGTGTCTTTGCAGGCTACACGGAATTAGAAGCCACCACAGGGAATTTACAGGACTCCTGCTACTCACCTTCTGATCTTCATCTTCCTCTTCGTCGGCCTCCTTCTTACGCTTTTTGGAAGATTTCTTGGGCTCAACATCGGCTTCAGCCTCTTCCATCTCAACGTCCTCCGGTTCGGCTTTGGCTTCGCTCTTACGCTTCTTCTTCTCAGCTTTGGCAACCTTTTCAGCTTCTCGGGCCTCTTTCGCGTCGATCTCGGCTTGCAAAGCTGCTGCGTGTTCGTCAAGCATGTTCTTGAAGTATTGTAGGTCGTGGCCCTCAGCAGCGACTTTGTATGCGCCAAGAAGGGCTTTGCCTTTGCCCTTTTCTGGGACATCGTTACACTCTTCAGGTGTCAACGGAGTCAGGTCGGTGTTGTGAATCCACACGCTTTTGGCTGTCAGCTGAAAATGCGACGAACGAGCAGGTAGATGGGACTTACAATTCATTCGTGCCCAGGAACATGATAGGGAAGGTTCGTTCGTGCATTTTCTTACCGCCGTCTGCGTAAGCTTCGTTGTAGGTGCCATCGGCCTTTTTGGTGGTGACGGGCCTGTTGTTGATCATAATATCAGGAAGCATGTCTTCATCTGCGATGATTGATGGCCAGGGTGGATAGCCTTTGAGCCTGGCGAGATAGTAGTCGCCCGGTTCGGCATCGAGATGAGTGATTTTGGACATGGACTTCTTCTTGTTGAGCTTCTTGCCTTTGTTTTCAGGGACGGTCGACGACTTCCTTCTCGAAGAAGAGGACTTCTTTTCGGCAGAGGCTGCGCCGTTGATCTCCGGCTGAGCAGTCTCTGCCTCACCCGCGTCCTTCATCATCTCGGTGTCCTCAGCAGCCGGAGCCATGGGCTCAGATTCAGCCGCGGGTTCTTGGGGCTCTTGAGGCTCTTGAGGCTCTTTTGGAGGTTCTGATGCGGGCTCGACCGGGCCATTTGCGGTAACATTATCTATGAGTCAAGATTAGCATGTTTTCCAAACTATGAATGCATCAAGCGTACCTGTGCTTTGAGCTGGTTCAGTCTCAGCAGGTTGCTCAGCCGGAAGAGCCCCCGACATCTCCGCAACGGTCTCGGAGGCAGGCTCTGCTGATGACGGAGGAGCTCCGTCGGCAGGTTGTGGTACCTTGACAGGGACCTCTGTCACGGGAGCCGACTCCTCAGACGCCATGTTGGAACGAGGCGGGTGAAGGAGGAGGGTTGATGGAGAGATTGACGCGTTGGTGGCTCGCGCAGGAGAGAGAGTTGACGAGCCTGTGCGACAGAGATATCAGCAACGCAATACTTGGAAAGACGCTGGCCAGCGCGAGATCAGTTTGCCTCGTGGAATCAAAGGCCCAGCTCGGTGGTGCGCAGTTGGTGCGAGGGACGCGACAACAGAGGTAGCTCATGCAAAACCCGGATTGAACAAGACCGGCCACCCGGCAACAGCAAACAAGGGGGAGAACTACAGACCAAGCGACTCTGGATCGATTGCGGATTGATGATGATGACGATGATATCGATGCGACAAAGGGTGGGATGGTAGAATGCAAGTGGTCGCGATGGGATGGGAAGTGAAGACTGCGACTGCGACAATGATGGAGAGGGAATTGAAATGCCCCAAAGCAATGAAGAGAGAAAAGCCACTGCGACTGCCTGACAGCCAATCACCGCGCTGCTTGTCGCCAAGGCCCTTGGGGGGAAGCTGCCGCCAGCTGGGCTCGGTGCCCTTGCGAAAATGAACTCGGCCAGCAATCGCCAGTCTCTTTGCAGCGTCTTGCAGCGTCATTCAGTGTCCTTAGGCCGCCAGACAACCCACCCCATCTATCTTCTTCCTCTTTGCGCTCTCAAGACATAAAAAAAACGACACTCACCTGGATCCTTCGCCAGCAGGATCTGCTGTTGAAATTGCTGATATCGGGAGGTCAAGTTCCGATGGAATGAGGCGGAGAAAGAGACAGCACTGATTAGGACCACCTCCACAACGATGATTGATGTCAGAAGTACGAGGTACTCCGTACTTGGGCCAGCGCTGGTGTTGTCGTTGCCGCGACTTGAATCAAAACCAGAACCAGGAAATGGCGATCGGGTGCCCTGTTCGTCCACTTTGTCGAGGCAAAAGAAAAATGGCTGGGGCAAGCTGGGGGATAAAAGACCTGACCTGCGGGTGACTTGAGCCGAAGCTTGAGATCAGAGATCGATATCAGCCCAGCGCGAAAGGGGAAGGTATCCCTTGGTCACTCTCGCGGCCGCCCCTTGTTCACCCGGTCATTGTGTGCATGTATCTTGACTCCTGATTGACTCTTTCAGTTCCAGGAACGGTGATATTTCGTTCATTTGGGCAGCTTCCAGGGTTGAAGCACCGAGGACGAACTGCAATGTCGGTCAGAAACGCGGCGCCAGTGGCCGATGGCTGCTCCGGCGAGGCACGAAACCGATTGCAAAATGTACGGTGGAGCATGTGACTTGCTAGCTCGCTGCCCGAAACAGAACGCCAGGCTTGGCATGCTCAAAGACGTGTTTTTTTCGTCTCACCCCCTGTGAGTCAAGTGATCTCAAGAGTGAAGCACTAATGAGCGCCTGAAACACCATCATCTCTCTATCTTCCTTTTCCTTACAGATCCTGTTGTCCGTCCTGAAGTGAGCGTCACTCAACTCACGCCAGGATTCAGGAGTCGAACAAGCAGATGTGAGGTGCAATCGTTTTCTCAGGAACATCTAAATGCTCCCTACCGGTGAGTGACTGCCGCCAAATCCTCCAAAACATCCGTTGAGTTGGTGTGGTTCTTCCTGCCAAAGGGGCCAAGTTGAGCCTCGCTTTTGTGGCTCTCCCAAATGCTCTGGCCTTTGCGCGAGACAATCGCCCTTGAAATGGAACCAGACCGCCTTGTCTGTCCTGCAGACACGATATCTGCTCATATATATCGTTGCTGCTAGAACAAACCATCAGATCAGTCAATCTCTCCGAGCTCCAGTTCACCCTCAACGTCAGCTAGGACAATCATAGAGCATGAATTGACTTATCTAATAGACAACCTTGATTGTCTAGTGGTTCTCCATCCTTTGCTACACCAAGATCTCCACTAGTAGCTTCAACTGCTCCAGTTCCTGAACGTCGTTATTCAAACTCTACTATGCTTGTTACTCTTCCGCCGATTGAGCCAAAGGTTCTCCAGGAGCCGGTGTTAGTATCGCTCTCTAAAGTAGTATACCAAATATCGCGTGTACACACGGGACAAAAAAACAGGAACAGATAGTAGACTATCAGATATATTCTCTTGGAGCCGGGTTGGGATTCATTGTCCAAGCACGCAAATATAGTTATAGACTTTCATTAAACATTACCAAGGTATATACTCCGTATATCTCCTTCTTCCCTGGATTCTCGTGTCCTCTGATATCTAATTAGGAGACACACGTGGTACGTGTGTAGTCACGGTAGATACCGAGATGCCTCGACAATCAATATCTCCATCTCTATCTTCCGACATCAGATGAAGAAGGCCCCGTCGTAAACCCCTCCCCATTTCGCTCCGTGCCTGATCAATCCTCCCATCCATCCATCCATCCATCCATCCATCCATCCATCATCAAAGCGCTGCTTCAATCCTTCAAATATAGAATGCAGATCCAGAACCCAGAACCCAGACCAGTTGTTGCCCCTTCGTCCTCAGATCGTCCCATCGTTCCGCCCCTTGGTTGAACGAAAAGTATCTATAGGCATACCGATCCTACCCACTCCTCGTGTTTATCATTAATCTATACAGGTCCATAATCCGTATATCGTAGTCATGCAAGGCGAAAGCCAGCTCCATGACTAGTCATAAAAGCTCACTCCTCTCGGCGACTCGAGTGAGTGGGTTAATCAGTTGGTTGAGCTCCGTGTCCCTGAGTACAGCGCCATCCCGGCAGATTGGGTAGGCATCGTATTGTCTGGCGTCTCCAACAGCGCGGACCAGGCCTTTGGGTTTCCTCCAGGAGAGAAGTCCTTGGTGTCAATGTTCTGGCCGAATAATCCCCCAAGCCATCGTGCTGAAATGTTGGATGGAGTCCAGAGCAGGCTCGGTACGTCTCATATCACTTCGGTCAGTCAAGGCTGCTGCTGCATGTCTAGCCCATTTCGGGCGAAATGAACTCCGCATCAAGCGGCATTCACCACCACAGACGTCTTCTCCGGCTCCCAGCCCTCCTTCTCTTTGATCCCCAAACCCGGTGCTTTGGCTGCTCTCTCGGATTGCAGCGGCACCTGAACAGGCTTGTGAATCCTCAGGCACCAGAGGAACCAATCCTCAACCACAAGCAAATTCAAGAGTACGTCATTGAATTTCCAGCCCAGACAGCACACAATTGATCCTGCAACTGCGTCGAGGATGAAATGGTTCGCCGTCGCGACAATGGCAGTGAGAATGGCAAAAGGGTACAGGAAGCCGACCGCTAGGCAGAGCATGCGGCGCGTGCTGGGGAGCCGGATGTGAGGGGAGAGGTTAGGGTGCGAGTTGTTGAAGAAGGGAAGATGAACGACTTTCCAGGGTTGTGAATGCTGGGGAGCAAGCGGGATGGTCATTATGGTGACGCCAATCAGGAGAGAGTATCCAAAGTGCAGAGAGGGCATTGCCGCTATACGGGATTGATCTGTTAGTATCCATAGCTTTCGTCTGGCTGCTTTCGGCCATTGCGTTTCTGGATGATCCCGAGTGCAAAAAGGTGGAGCTTGACTCACCGTATTGATTGCAAAATCGATTCTGCGTCCACACCGAACTTGCGCCTTCTTTACCATGCACAGTATCAACAAATCCAAAGCTCTTGGCGACCTCGGCCTGAGCCCCATCGTACTCCGGGTCACTCAGCAATCGAGGCGGCATGCACGGCCAGAGCGTGAAAACGACGAACGCAAGTAGATTGCAGACCGCCATTGTTCGTCTGCGCGCCTCGTAGAGCCACGGTCCTGAAGATGATCCTGCTGGTCCGACGTCGCTCCCTTTTTCGCCTGACTGAACAGCTGCACGGCGTTGAATAAGCCGATTCCTCGTGATCGTATAGTAGTACAACCACACCAAGAAAGCGATAGTGCCTGGGATGTGAATAAAGCTGTACAGCCAGTTGATACCCATCATCAAGCTTGGGTAGGACACGAAGAACTTCTGGATGGGGAGTTCCCAGAAGATATGAAGTTGCTTTTCGAGTTCAATCAGTTGCAATGCATGTCGCCGCGCAACATGGACTGTGCCTTCGACCAACGTAACGGCAGTAAATGCGCGACCGAGCTGGTAGACCTATTTTCCGCGAATGTGTCAGAAGTGGAGTTACCACGATGGGAACCCGGCCTGCTCCTTGAGGGTTTTTTTTTTACTGACCCAATATATCAAAGCCCAATACCAGGCCTCCACCAAGAACGGGAATTTGTGCAATATTCTGCTCAGCAGTCTATGTCTGAATACTGCTGTATTTGGTGTCTGAATTACTCTTCGATATCCCAACACAGGTATCTTCAGCTCCCTCTCCCGCCACTTGTCCTCTTGACTTGGTAGCAAAGATGGGCTTAGAGATCTCTTGGATCGTGAGATATGGAGATTTTCAATGTCCACGTCGTCGTCGCAGTCGACAGAGCGGGCGAGGGGAAGGTCAGGAATATCGGTGTCATCTTCCTCGAACGAGAGGGAGAGAGGACTCCGCGACGAGGACAAGGAATCTGGCGCACGGTTGATCCAGGCTCCGCCAAAGAGGAGGACGATCACGGCCAGAGGTTCGAGGTATGCGCCTGCGCCCATTGCGAGGAGCTGTCTTTGTCCCTTTACTTGTTTCTGCCTTGGCCGTTCCTCTATTGCTGGATCTGTTCGATCCTAGTAACCGTGGAGTATTCAGTTTGATTTGCGTCTCGGGTCACAGAGCCGATCCAGAGGGAAAGGGTCAGTCAAGCTATGTGGGAAGAAAGCAGGAAGAATCTCACACCACCAGGAGTTAGGCGGCACAAAAGCAAATATGTATGGGCATGGGCCAGAAACAGGAACTGCGCGGACAGACCAGGTATTGGACTAGAGAACAAGGCAGCAGGAGATACATGCCAGCCACCGCCTTGCGCTCTAGAAAGGAAATAGCTCTCATTGCCCATCGCTATCGTATGAGTAAGGTAAGGCCCATTCCGGGTACTACCACTGAGGCTCTAGGGATCAGAGTTGCCCGCAGCCATTCAGTGAACAGTCATGTCGAAGAATAGTCGAGCTCACTGGTTGCCCGCCGGCGTATAGGGTCAGCAGATTCGGTTGCGGACCAGAGAAAAAGATAGGAACGAGCGAATGAACAGAAGACGGGATGCACCTAACGGCTGGTTGACGGTGGGGATGTGAAGGTCACGGCGACAAGGCTTGCCTGGATCAAGTAATCAGGCACGCATCCGAATTCCGGCAGCTCCACAAGTCCCAAGAGCAGGAGGCATTTATCGTGTGCCCAACGTGCAGTTGTGGACCGAGTAATGATTGTATTAGTTGAACGCACACATACGGTGCGGCGAACCGAACATCATGCGATTTCGGGCATTTGGGAATTTGTGCTATTGCCGCATCTTTCGCCCTTCTCTATCTACAAGTACTTGTATGCCATATTGGCCGTGGCACCCTTCAAAATTCTAACAATACTGCTCTCAACTTCTCTTCTTACAGTGCACACAAGTGTCATTCCTCGTAGGCAACTAGCAGTGTGCTCCCTGTTCGCTGGGATGTTATGCGCCCAGCCCGAGCGCCGTTGTGCAAAGCTAAAAGGCACGGAGCTTTCACAAACCTCGTCGCCTACATCCGGGCCTTCCGCTAGCGCAAAGTCATGGCTGTCTTCTGATCTTTGTTCTCTGATTGGCTGCTCCAGCGGAGCCTCGCCATCATCTCGGCGCGAGGTAAAGACCCGCAGCTGCGAGCTGGCTGAGAAGTGATATCGACTCTCTTGTCGTCGGCGAACCGAAGCACACTGTGCTCCATGTCTTGTTTTGCCGCGCTTGATGGAGGCCTTGCCAAATTGTCCAAGCTGTTGCTGACCGGTGCTGCTATTAACGAGCATGTGGACTGGGTGCCTCTCTGAGCCATCGGATCCGTCGTCCATCATCTAGTCAGCAAGGCGCATCTCTAACTCCGTCAGATTCTGATAACCGGAAATCTGGCGCTTTCGGCCGTGGTCGAAGTACCGAGTCTCCGGGGAAGATGAGGGGAGCTGCAATGCCGTAGTCTCTCGGGTCGCGAAGCCGAGCGAGTCTCGCCTTCCTGGAGGTTCCTGAAGGATGTCGCAAAGTTCGATGATTTGATGCCGTTCGATCATACGGCTAAGGCCCATGGATAGTGGTATCGCTTCATCTTCAACCAATCTTTCGCCCGACGTTGCCAACTCCTCTTCCTACAATGCTGACCAAGAGCTGCCCTGCTCCCTTCTTGCCTTCCGCATCTCTAAATCCCCATCCTGCCGAGCCAAAAGCATTGAGATCTCGTCCCAGTTGGATTGTATGTTCGTTGGCCAATACATCTCTCCCCAACTGAACTCGGCCGACATCCTCAGATCCCATGGTCATCAAAGTAACAACCGTCTCGAGAGCCTCTGGGCTCACACACCCGCCTCTCTCGATGCTCTCGAGGAGCTGGAATGCGCACATCTGCCCGATTTCCTCTGGTGGCTTGCCTCCCTCGGGCGGACACGCTGAATCTGCGGAGTACAGGCACCCCGCTGAAGTCTCCGCAACGAGTGACAGTCCAAAACCGAGTCCAATCTTCTTTTTTGCATGCGGATTGTCCTTGGTCGGTGCAAGTACCAGACTGGCACTGCTGACGTCCGAAAAGATGTAAATGTCCCCCGAGAACTTATTCAACACGCCTCTCGCTGCATCAATCATTCTTGCATTATTCTGTCCACTCACGCCGGTCGAATAAGCCACACCTCTGATCTTCTTCACCCTCCCCGGGTCCAGCATATGTAGAGTCTTGGGTAGCCGCACCTGGTGACCAAACACAAGCTGCACCTCTCCGGCACCGCCCAAGCCCCTAGGTCCAGGGTTCGACCTCTTTAAAATCCTCAATTCAATGTCCCTCTCGATCCCGAACTTTGCATAGAGGGGCAAAATTGCAGTTCTGACGGAATCCACACTCATATCGCCCCATGTTTCTGGGGTAGAACTCGTAATCACGCCCGGGCCAGTGAATAAGATATTGAATTTGGCCTTGCTGAACGGCGCCAGTAGGCACATCGGTATCAAGAAGTAGGCCAAGCCTCGTGTATTCGTGGCAGGGATCTCGTGTCTCAATACCCCCGAGACCCCGTCCGCTCCACTGCCCGGCGCTGAGCCCGTGATCAATCCCGGCTTATACAACAGCACGGTGCCTGTGTATGAAATTTCAATGTGGGAGCCGTTTGTGACCGCTTCGAGAAGTCTCAAGAAGGAGATCTCATGCGGCGCAAGGCCAGGGTTGGTAGGCGAATCGGGGCGGATCTGATCAATGCGTATGGGTCGACCGAGCAGCGTAGCCAGGATCAGACGGGAAGGGAGGGACTTGTGGGAGGAGAAGCGGAGGGGGGGTTGCGAGGTCGACATTTTTGTATGAAGAGGGAGAGTAGATCAGGGATCAGTTCATGTTCTGGGAATGCCACTGTTTGTGCCTACGCTTGAGAATAGACATTGCGCATCTGAAAAGTCGAACACGCTGAAGATGTTGCTTCGCTTCTCCGCGCACAAAATTTTACTCCGCATCGGAAGCAGTTGAAATTCACACGCCGCTTTTTGCCTCTGTGGCGGGCGATCTGGGTGATGCATCGACTGACTTGATGTTGATCACCTTGCACTTGTCGGTTTCCGCAGTTTGTATATCAGCGGACCGCCCCCTTGTGCTCTTTACATTTGTAAGTCAGGAACCTAGCCGCGCTCAATGAAGGCCTTCGGGAATCTGCGCAAATACATTTCAGTTAGCTATACACAAGTTGCACCCTTTACCAATGCTGCAAGATTGTGCAGACATCCATTCCCCTCCACACTGACACGAGTCCCCTCCAGAAGGCAATCCACCATGGCTGCCGCATTGAATCTGCCCAAATGGTATCAGGAATCTTCAGTCGCTCCCTATGTTGTACAAGCTTTTCCTAACTCTTTTCAAGGCTTAAAGACAATTCCCACCTGCTCAAGCCGCCCATCAACAACTACTGTGTCTATGCCCCATCGTCCTCTACCGGTGGCTTGACAGTCATGGTTGTGGGTGGCCCCAACGCTCGAACAGACTACCACGTCAACACCACGCCCGAGTTCTTCTACCAGCATAAAGGCTCCATGCTGCTGAAGACCATGGACACCTCCACCACGCCGCACACGCCGGTCGATATCCCCATCCACGAGAACTCAATGTTCCTGCTTCCCTCCAACACTCCCCATAACCCTGTCCGATTTGCGGACACCGTGGGCATTGTACTGGAACAGCCTCGGCCGGAGGACTCTGTTGATACGCTGAGGTGGTACTGCAAGAATTGCCATAACATCGTCCACGAGGCAAGCTTTCACCTCACAGACCTCGGCACGCAGATCAAGGAAGGTGTGTTGGCATTTGAAGACAATATGGACGCCCGGACATGTAAGAATTGTGGCACGGTCGCAACATCGAAACCAGCACCAGGTGAGATTCAACAACCTCCGAGATTCCCAGAGGAATGAGTGAACGCACATGGACGGTCACCTGATTGCAGCCATTAATGTCTTTTCCCTTTCTTCTGCTACATCTGCTGGAGGTTGTGCTTGTATGTTACTCTTCTCCGCCATAATCTCTCGGAGAACATTTTCTGCAACTTTGAGCGCTGCTGGAGGCAGTCCTGCCAATTTTGCAACCTTCAATGCGTGAGAGTGTCTGTTGATGCCCTTCTTCAACCGGTGCAGAAACACGAATGAGCCGCTTTCGTCCTCTACCACATCAGTGCAGTAACAGCCTAGTTTTGTCCAACTCCGCGTCATATCTGCCAGTGAATGGAAATGGGTCGCGAAGAGTGTCCGGCATTTGTTGACGTGATAAAGGTGATACAAGCTCGCATACCCAATGGCTGTGCCGTCTTCAGGAGTCGTGCCCCGCCCGACTTCGTCCATGATGACAAAAGACTTTCGAGTGGCATGCTTCAAAATGGCTGCGGTCTCCAGCATCTCCACCATGAAGGTAGACTGGTCTCGAAACAAGTCATCCGCGGCCCCGATCCGACTGAAAATCTGGTCCACAAGCCCAATCTCGGCGTGCGCGGCTGGTACGTAGGAGCCGGCCTGGGCAAGTATTGTAAGCAGGGCATTTTGCCGGAGAAATGTACTCTTGCCCCCCATGTTGGGCCCTGTCACCAGCCATATTCGCTCATTGTGGTCAAGGACGAGATTGTTGCTGACAAAAGATCTGCCTTGTGCTTCTAATCCTTCCTTGACCGTAGGATGCCGCCCCCCGATGATTTTATGTTCGGTACCGTTGTTGAGGATGGGTCGAACCCATGATTGCTCCGTAGCAAGGAGAGCAAAGGCGCTTGCGACATCTAGTTCGTCCATGACGGCCGCATTACGCCGCAATGTCACGAGGTTCTTGATGACATGCTCCCTCATGGTTGCGAAGATTCGTCTTTCTTCGTCTCGGATGTGTAGGACCGCTTGATCGATTCGACGGCCCAGCCGAGTCCAGTCACTCAGATAGAAGGAACGAGTGCTCTTTGAAGATGATACCATTTTGGCATGGAGTGATTCCAGTTTCTCTCGGTTGAAGCCTGTAGCGCTGCGGATATGGCAAATGTGGCCTAGGCCGGGTGTGGACTTGAGTATCAAAGTTGGCGCAGATAGTTCCTCTCGCAGTCTGTTCGCCAGGCTGACTTTCTCAGTCTGCAATGAATCCAGGTCTTCATGGAGCCGTAGTAGCGCCTCACTAGCATTGCGACGCATTATCCACAGTTCTTCTAATTCGATCTCGTCCTTCTTCTGGTCTTCCGACTTGCTCCGCGTCCTGACAGCTTTAGGCAACAACCCTAATTCGTCTGGAGCACTTTGCAATACGACATCATGTGCCATAGCTGCCACACTTGCCGCTTCATCGTCTTCAAGCCGATGCTTCTGCATGAGACCTTGCTCGTCAATGGCAGATGTAATCAGAGCTTGAAGCTCAGCTGGACCCTGTAGATCAAAACGTCGTAGAAGCTTTTGGAGGGGCTGTACCACATCTGTCTGATTAAATCCATGGGTCTCCGCAGTGTTGATGTCTTTGTCCAATGACTGGAGAAGATCATTCGTTGCGATAGTCTCTGCGATGGCGCTCGCTAGTGACAGCATGTCATCGGCGTCTCCTTTGTTCAGAGCAAATTTCTGAACGATACGTTGGACATCGAATGTTCGTCGAAGCCGGAAGATCAAAGACTCTGTGAATGCCTCGTGTTCAACGAATACTGACACCAACTCAAGTCGGTCATTGATTTCAGTCAGAGAGGCCGATGGTGACGTGAGACGGTCTCGGAGAAGACGAGCACCACTTTTGGTTGAGGTCCTCTTGACAGCATGAAACAAACTGCCCTTCCCAAGGCCGTCTCGTGCGGTTTCCAGAATCTCCAACCCTCTGAGACTGTTACGATCAATGCTCAGAGTAGACTGGAGTTCCCTTTGACGTGGCGGCTGCAGACGAAGTTGTAATCCCTGCAGCCGATGGCAGACATAGTCTAGAAGTCGATGACCAGCTAACTTTTCTGCTGTGTTGAAAATCTCGTCTGCATTTTCAGCCACAGGGGACTCGAGCATTTCGTTCCATTCTGCCATGGATACAAAATCACTCTCGGGCTCGTGCGATGTGAGAAGTCGATGATCATGACCGACAATTTTCTGCACCTCGTCGCGAATGTCTTCAGAAACTTTACAAGGCAGAATGATCTCCCGTGGGTCAATTCTAGTCAGCGCTGAAGAGAATGAGCTGCGCTCAGTGGTCTGCGTGCAGAAGTCGCCCGTAGATAGATCCAACCAAGCAAGGCCAATCTTTTGTTCGGGCTCGTGTTCTGAAGCTTCGTAGGTGCTGCCGCCGATGTGATCAATCGCGATAGGCTCTGGAGCAACAGAGAGGAGGAAGTTGAATTCGTATGGGTCGAGGAACTTCTCATCAATCAGTGTGCCTGGGGTAACTACTCTTGTCACACGACGGTCGTGTTTGAGACCACCTGATTTGACCTTGCCGGACACCTGGACCAAGAATTCTTCGCATATGGCAACATATTTGTTGAGATCTTGTACAAGCATTTTCAGGAATCTGTCCAACTGGAAAAAGGGAAACCCAGCCATCGCAACTGGACCAAGCTTGGTTTGCTTGTGACCGACTTTGAGACCGAGGAGAGGCCCATATTCGTCCGCCTGCTCGAAGTACAATTCGTAGAAATTGCCGACTCTTGTGAGCAGGACGCAATTATCAAATTTGGCCATGTTGGATTTCGCACCCTTGAGCACTGTCGGATACTGGGGCTCATCGTCGGCAGGCAGTTCGGGGAGAGGTTCAGCCTGGATCGTGCCTTGTTGTAGTTCTTTCACCTTCCTCCTCGACACCGATTTTGCTCCCCGGCACTGGCCTTCGGCAGGGACCCATTGTTTGGCTGTAGGCTTGATTGTCTCTCGATACCGAGCGTAGGGGACCAGGAGCGCCCGCGGGCGAACGATGCTTTCTAGCAGTCGGAGGTCTCGGCCATGGAGTGGTTTAATGAGTGGCCGCATTGAATCTATCTGGCGGAGGTGAAACGAATAGGTCAACGCGCTTGACGCGTAAATGCTGACACGGAATAGGCGCCGCTTTTAGGACTCCATAGAAGGATGGGGACGTGTGTCCTCCATAGTCTACGAGGTACTCCGTACCTATGTATTCGCAAAGGTAGTCCAGAAGGATGAATTCTGCTTGAATTGTTTGCCCTAAAACAAGAAGACAAGGGATAGTTCTCCTCTTCACGTTCCCTTTTCGCGAGGACAAACTGTGTACTCGGTATGGCACCCATATGGTTTTGGACAAAGAAGAGTATGAGCCAGGTTGACAATGGGTACCACGTAAATGCAAATATACCATGAAGATGGCAAGCACATTGTGCTACCTTGGGTTGAAACATACATCCATGTCCACGGTTTTTCACATTGGTGTCCCGATGCCATTTATCAGACAACAGAACAGCTTGCCTGGCACCAGCGACGTAGCCAATCGTCTTAATTCGTTTCCCTGCTTTGTGTAACAGTTTGTCCTGAACTGCTGTGAGCATTTCAATACGGTTTAGATGATCTTCCATCATTTCTTAGCCATGACCTCCTGTGCCAAGCCGCCGGGATATATCATGAGCATACACTTAGGCCGCCGTTCTAGAGAGGGTCTCCTGTTATCGACACATCTTGGAGTTCCTCATAGTAGAGGTATCTCATGATATCCAATCCAAGCAACTCTCCCTCATATTGCATCAGTGGTTGCTGTTCTTGCCATTCGAGTTCTCTCGCCCTGTGATAGAGGTCGGTGGTGTGACTGAGTATTTCATTCTCGAATTCTTCACTAAAATAGCCGGCAGGCCAATAGTCCCAATGTGTTCTGTATACGAGGATGGTCAAAGACCCAGGCTGGTCTGTTGTGTTATCGAACCAGTCGCAGATACCGCCCTCGACCCCAGGCATGGAGTAGTAGACAACTTCGATGTCTGGCTTCTGATGGCGGAATGCGTTCTGGATGGACATAAAAGCACTTGGGCGGCGCCGAAATTCAATGGCTCCAGCAGAGACAGTTTCAGGACTTGGAAATGCTGGCATTTGGGCTGGAAGAGTTTCCCATGCTAGCTCATCGACAGCATACTTTGACCAGGACGTTTGACCGGCGGACCATGTAGAAAAATACTCGGCCTTGTTTCCATAAAGTTCGTCCACAAAACCAGCTGGTGAAGGCGGGTAATGGAATGTCCTCTCAGGGTCATAGCACAAACTGACATTGAGTTGAGTAAGTCCTTGGAAAAGAGTCTTCGGGTCGAGGTCAAACAGAAACGTGGTGCCTTGTAAGCAAATCGAGAGTCCGGAAACGGGTAGTTGCTCTTGTTCGCATAGCCATAGTAGGAGGCATCTCGCATCAAGCGTGACATTGGTCAACACGAGCTTTTCCAGCTTTGGAAGCTGGACAAGGCCCAGATCCAACTTTGCATTTAGTGAATGCATCATGTTCAGTGTAAGACCAGGTGGTGGTATGTATGCTTCTTCCAATTGAGTCAGCGTGTAATGAACTCCTGACGATTTGCAGGGCTCATCCGAGGAATCGTCCTCATTTTGCTCCGAAGAGCTTTCATCTTCCGTTGTCTCGTATTTGCCTCGCATGGACCACGGGCCTGGGTCAGTGTAAATGGGCTCGAATGACAATTCCCGTAGCGCAGGGAACGAGGACATGCCTCCGAAAGTATCCTCAAGCATCCATGCCAGACGATCGCTCCTGACAGGTACCCAGGGTCCCTTACAATATTTTAGCCGGAATGCAATGTTCTCAATGGTCGAGTGGGAAACGCGATGGATGGTGAATCCGTGCACTGCAAATGAGCATCGCGGAACCTTGTTTCGTTCTTCTGTCATGCGAAGCCAATTCTCGTCCCAAAATTCAACAGACAGGCGCTTAATAGAGGCACAGCATTGGATCAGTTCAAATATTTCTAAGCCAGTTCGCAATATGTGACCATCTTCGTCGTTCATGTTGGAAGGACCCAGAGGCACGAATTCATCGTCAACATTCGACCATTTTGGCCGCAGTCCCCATGTGGCGTAACCTGGAAGATCCCATAGGAGTCTCTGGATCTTCTTTCTCATGCACGGATCAAGGCAGGTTGCCTCCAAATCATAGTCATCCGATATAATACATTCGTAGCAGTTGGGAAGGTTTCGAAGGGCGTTCGATATAGGTCCAATCGCTGAGGATCGAAGTAAGTCTCTCCTTTTTGAATACACCCTAGTGTATTCCCGATGAAGGGCGACAATCTCAGATTGACTCAATCCTTCGATAAGATGCCGATACCTGAGCCTCCAAACTGGGCCGTCGAGACACTCTTCAGATAATATCAGCGGGTTCCATACAATTCTTCTTACACAATGAGCATAAGTGGAGTTACAGAGGCTCTGCAATCCGGCCCAGGACTTCTCATAACTGTTCAGATATACCGTACTGAACAAGAAATCAACGCCTATAACAGCCCAGTCTCGACAAACTAGCCGCATTGTTTTTAGAGCCAAAGGACTCAGCGGTTCAAGAATACGGTGCCATATCTCGGCCGGCAAGGAGGGTGCTCGGGCTGGTTTCGTGATGCTCTTTGAATGGTCTGGAAGGCGGGGTGATTTCTCGGAGCCTGAGTTTGATTTTGGAAGAGCAGAAAATGTCAGAAGAGTCTGTCTGAATCTCTTGCGGTCCCTGTTGGGCACAGTTCCGAAAACGCTCGTCATCACTTCGTCAGACACAGGGTTATTTTTAAAGAGCGAAAAGGTTGGACTCGGTATGAGCGAAAATGGGAAGCGGCATCCTCGAAAACAAAGGGAATGATGTGGTAGCAGTGTTCCCTGGCGGCGCTTGCCAGCGGGGTGGTTTGTTTACAGCCCAACGTAGTGAGGCACGTTGAAGAGAATCTCCCGCTGAATTTGGTGGTTAGTGCCGCCGCTTTTGAAGGGCTTCTTCCCACGATGCCTAGATTGATTTACCTTCCTACTCGCCATACCCAGTATACAACGCAACTATCTAACCGTTACCGAGGACCAGAAACAGTCCCCTCTTAGAAGTAATGCGGGGTTCATCTAGCTCTTCGAAAACGAGGGGCGCCTTTGACGATACTAACCTAAATATAGCGCCTCGAGGACATAAAGGGACAGTCCCTCTACTAATAGGTAATAGATCCCTCTAGATTTCCTCACCTAGCGCCGAATCTTGACCTAGCCTTGGAACTTCCAAAGTAATAGCAAAGAGCCCTGATATCATAGCATAGAGCGTTTAAATCGCGGCACCCACTCGGCCAAGTCTAGCAGGCTTAGGTAAGCTATATCGTGTCAAAAATTTAAAAAAAGAGAAAGTGTGATGGTCACTACGAGGGTCGAACTCGCGACCTTGGCGTTTACCAGGTACATAGTGTGCACAAGCTGATATTAGCACCACCTATTGAACTGTTAATACCAATTTGAAAGTGGGACAAGTCTCAACTTACGCTCTAACCAACTGAGCTAAGCGACCTTTCTGATGAATTGTTGACAATTTGAAGAAGTTTCAAATATATCAGCAAAATATTTTTAGCCTCGGCTCAAATGCTATGACGTCGTGAAGTGCAAATCTACCGCACGGCTTTAATTGTGCAATGCGCCAAAACTCTTTGACAAGCTTTGGACAGTCTGCTAATCGAACGTTTCACTCACGCATCAAGAAGCCCAGGTGACTACGACGACGCAAACCCTGAATAAGTTGGTAACGCTTGCAACTGACGGAAGGTAAGATTGGTGTTGGTTCACTGAAATTAATTCATTTGCCGATTACAACCATCAAAATCGGCGGAACCAACTTCATTGCCGTCTGGTTTAGGACATGCGGCGGGTTTACGACTGGAGCGGGCCAGCCGATACATTGTGTCTGATATTGATACATCTGGGAAGCGCCCTTGGTATGAGGTGCAATGGCGCTTCCGAGTTGCTGCTTGTATTTGCTCTGCGCGAATGTCGCGGTGTTGTGGTTCCAGTCCAGACAGCCCACGGCCAAACCTTGCCAAACCGTCGAATTCTTCCCTTCATGGCCATCGCAGAGGATAATGCTGTGGCATTGCCATTGAGGGTGTCGTTCAGGGCAATACCGAGTTTCAACCATCTACCGGGCGAAAACGAGGTGCCGTACTTGTATGTCAAGTAGGAGTTACCTTGGACATTGAAACGGATATCTTCGCCGGTCACGTTGGGGAAGCACGTGCCTGCCGAAGAGGTGTCTGCTGTGAGAAGGCAGCCGGGCGCGGATATCGGTGTCTTGTCTCCCTTTGCAACGAGGTCATCGAATAACTGCGCCACATTTTGACCACAGAGCGCGCAGGTCTGCTTTTTGCTACACCAGTCGAAGAAGCGATCAAGGCTGTTCTCATATGTAGAAGATTCGGTCGTGTGAAGATACACCTCCGAAGGTGAATCACCCACATCACCATCCAGCACCATGGCCCGAATATTGTTGGGGTACAGCTCCGCATATTGCGCACCGATCTGAGTTCCATAAGATCCGCCGAGCCAGTTGAGCTTGCCATCGTTCAAAGCAGCGCGGATCGCTTCCATGTCCTTCGCAACGCTGGTTGTATCAACATGCTTGAACAAATCGCCGCTAAGGTCCAGACAACTCTGCCCAAAGGCTCTGTTGTGCTTAACCATCTCTTCGAACTCGGCCTCGTTCTGAGGAAACAATGATTTTTTTGGTTCCATAAGTCGGGGTCACACAAGATAGGTTTGCTGGTACCGACACCGCGAGGATCAGGACAGACGATGTCAAGGTGCTCCCTGATGGCCTTGCTGAATATGGGAATTCCCGCAGCCTCATATTCGCAGAACTCTGTCGCTATTCCACCCGGTCCGCCAGGATTGAAAATTAGACTGCCCACTCTGCTTGCGCTGCTTCCAGTGGCTTTGACCCTGCTGATGCCCAAGGTGATTTGTTTCCCCTGCGGCTGGGACCAATCAATGGGTACCTGAATCTGAGCACATTCCAGGTTTTGCAGGTTGTTCGTGGTGCAGTTGGCCCATGGAAGCTGGATGGAGGCGGTGCTAGCCGATGCTCTCTTAGTATAGCGAACAGAAGCTGCATTGCCGAGCATAGCGAGCAATGTAGTGAGAGCGAGTACCCGCATGCTTGAGGCAACGACAGTTGTGGGAGCTTATCTGAATAAACGAGAAATAAAGAAGCCAAACGACAAAGGACGATGAGAGAATTGGAGGAAAGGACGGTTGCGCTACTGGTATTAGGATAAGAGCTCTGCAACTTGGGTCTCTTGAGGTTGGACGGATCGAGCATAACAGCGCTCTTTAATATTCCTCTCTGGAAGCAAAGTATGATGAAGGCTTTCCGGGGCTATCTAGAGACTTCAGTGGGGTGGATCGACATCCAAAGCTGATGTTAAAAATCTCCCTTATGCAAGAGTGCTCCACGCGCAGCGCAGCTCAGCCAGCGGACAGACCGAAATTGCCTTATCCAGAACTTTGAGCGAGCGCCAGATCGCTGCAGCCTTCCCATACTTCGACCACCAGCTGTTCAATGCGACCTAGTGAGAGCCCAGATCTCTAGTCTACACGAGGCTGAGCCGCTAAGGGGCCCGAAAATGCTGAGCTCCACATCATTACCGCTTTTGGGAGAATATGCGATCACGGGCATGTTTGTCAAGTGTCGATCATCTTAGGGCTCCATGCGACGAACATCCAGCGGTGCTTGGAGCCCGCATATCCAGTGAGACTATCGATGCCATATTCTTAGGTGTTGACGCCTTCTAATTTTTTGGGAGAGCGGCAATTTCGTCAGCCGTTGAAACCGCGTGGCGTATACGGCCTGGAGGAGCAGCTACGCACAGGTGCGAATCCCTCAGGCTACGGCGTAGCGACACGGCCCCCGACGTATAGATGGGCTCCATCACAGCTGACTGCCTATGCGCCGTTTCAGAAAGATGTCTTCATGTTGTCGCATTCTTCCCCAAATAAACACCTAGCCAAGGTAACTCATATCAAACGCGTTTTCTCCCGCTGAGAGGCGATCTCCTTCCTTTTCCTTTTTCTTCATCACTAAAGTCACATCACTTCAGTCTCGGAATATCAGTAATTCGCTTACTCACGATCGAACCCTACAGCCAAACGCTCCATATCTCCCCCGTATCCCCTAAACTCCACCCTCAATTATAAAGGAAAAATGTGTTTCTTCCTCACTGCCCTCCTGTGCAACGCGCACAAATGTCACCAGCGACAAGACCAAAGCACGAAGCAACTGCCACATCCGGTCCCACTAGACAGCTCATCTATGGGCCAAGAGCCAATACAAATGCCGGTGTATCCTCTGGTGTATCCTCCACCCACAGAAAAACGCTGGAGTAGAGGAGGAACAAGATACAGGTGCGATTTAGAGGCGTGCGGGCCTAAAGAAGCGAAGCCCAAATTTCAAAATCCCGTTGCTATGACGGCGCCTATTGCTGGTGGGTAAGTTGTGATGCTCATGGATAAATGCGTGGGAAGCCTGAGGGGATGGGACTAACTCGGATCAGGGCTTGTTGATTTGCATGTTATGTCAGATTGGTAGACCTGTGCTCGACGACAAGACATGGACTATGATGCTGAAGTTCATACCGCGTCGACGAGAACAGAAACGGTGTCGATCGATGCAAGACCAGTCAATGAGTTGATGAGGCTTGTGAGCCCAGTGGGCCCAACAACAATCAAGGCTTGCTGGTGGCTCAGCCTCGGCTCAGCCTCGTCGTAGCCGAGCCGACCGAGCCTTCCATCACTGTTGACATAGAACTGGAAAGCCATCACTACTCCCATGGCAATGTCGTGAAGCCGCTCGATCATACCGACCCCGTGCACTTTAGTGACAGCCAGACCGAGTCGATGGCATTCTTCCAGCACATTTTTGGCAATTGTAATAGAGAATGACGGTCTCATAACTCTCGGACTCCCAAGCAGTCAAGAAACCGTGATCGGCCTCAATCGCGATCATACAGCTCTCTGTAAATTTAAATCTGTGGATGATGAAGAGTTTGATCAAGTCATCGGCAACCTCTCCAGGATGGCTCACGATGCTATGACCTCATCAGAGTACAACTCGGTATATGATGAGACAATCGAAAGGTTCCAACGACAGCGTGTTCACGTCCCAGGTGGGCTTCCTACCCTTGATATCGGTATAGCATGCTGACCAGTACTTCAGGGGTGGATCAAGTTTTGTCAGCAACTGAAGCTATTCAACTGGCGCAACGAATTTATCAATCGGTATCAGCAGACGATGGGTGTCTTGATGAGATTGACCGTGAGCTAGAAAGCATTCGCGGTGCAAACCTCGGAGTCGCTTTGGGAATCGTGGGTAATGTCTCCGCTATAGCCAGCGCATTACTAGTGGCGACTCCTCTTCTTGGTTTCGCAAGGCGGATCGTTGGTGGGATCCTTAGTTGGCTGCTCTCACTGCTCAAACCCTACCTTCAGGATGCGAGTGAAAACTCGCGCCAAAACCTCGAATGGAGCAAACTCTCCGTTGAAGTCCTTGCTGAGAGGCAGTCGACTGTGCTCCGCACTATTCAACACATTCGTCTCACTCGAGAGAATACTACGCATCATATGAGCGCAGAAATTAACGAGCAGATGTCGGAACTTGAAAAATTGCTGGCTGGCAGGGTCAGTTCCATAGGTGAAGAGCTACACAAGCGTGCAGCCCAAGCAGCTCACGCGAAAAGGCAGGCCATGGCCGCACGACATGCCCAAACTTTTGCAGAAGGCGCCAACACCTCATCCGGCTTAGAAAGTGATTTAAATGCGATGCTCACTGGACTGAGAGACGTTTTGATGCATCTTATCACTCTTTTAGTCGAGGGTACTATCTCTGCTTTCACCTGGTTATTGGAAAGGCTGAAAGAGGCCCTGGACTACATCATCGAAACCGTCAGTTGGGTATTCAGCTAGGGGGGAAGCAAAAGTTTTGACCGCGGCGTTAAATTCAGGTTCCAGAAGCTTTATGAACCTAGCACGGTTAATGGCTAGGTAGGATGAGCTCACAATAGATTAGCATATCAAGAAATGCTGTAAGACGATGTCATAGCATTTTGACGTCAACTATGGCGCTCGAGCTCATAGGGGAGCCCAGTACGTAAACACTATTCACCGCCATGGCTTGGATAGCTTGGTGTTCAACAACGCAATTCAATCAGACGGACAACTAAGAAAAGAATCACCAAATACGCCAATTGCGCGACATATACTCCTAGGCGTCCAGAGTGCTCGTTTGGTTAGGTACTCCAGACGAGGATATTGCAAAAGCCATTGATATCATCGGAAATCGTAACGAAAACGAGGAGCCCTATCAGAAACACGAAACAGGTCTCAAAAAGCTCTTCAGTAAACCTTGGTGGAGTCGTACGTGGGTAATGCAAGAAGAGCTCGCTGCGACAGCAGATCCCCTATGTATGTGTGGCCACATGTCGGTTTCCTAGAACCTTGTGGATGACGTGCTTTTAGGGATTTGCTTGACGGCGGGCTTTTGGACCGCTGAAGAGATGCAGAGGCAAGCTTGCTTGTCGCTTCTCCAACACGAAGACTACATGCCCCTCCGGGACGGCATAAATTTTGAAATTTTTGTTAGAGGTAATATGTAACCGTCGTGTCCGACCCAAGAGATTGTAATACTCCATTCTAACCCGTCAGTGACCAACTCGCACATCTTCCCTGAGCCGAGGGTGTGGAGCCTGATTTAACTCCTTTCGTCTGACTACCTAGGTATTAGTCCTTGACGACATTCCACGCTGGGCTCTCTTCCGTAGCCAAGGGATGGTATATAGATCCTTTGAGGCTCTGTTCGCCTGGTGACATGGTTGATCCAATGAATGATGTAGGTGAGTGAGACGATCTTTAAGAGCCTAGAGGTGACAATTGAACAACTAGGAATGAGAAACAATTGGGTCAGCTCTCACTCCGGCTCCATCGAATCGCACAACCAGCCTTATGTAGGTGGACCCAGCTCCCGGAATGAATATCTTAGTAGTTAAGTTGGCGGCGGTGGACTTGGGAAAGGATGAAGCTGAACGCCCTCAAAGATAGTGAACATGCAATTTTCTTGGATGTGGAAGGACCGGATCCTGGGGCGTGGACAGCACCACCGGCACGTCTTCTCGTTACTTGAGCCCCAAGTAGAAAAAATCATCCGTTGAGCTGTCCTTGTAGATTCCTCACTCGACATACCTCTCTACAAACTCCCCGCCCCAGCCTTTCAACTCAACCTTTAGGAGATCCCCTCTCACAACCTCCTCCCTCCTCTCACTCAACTCATCGACGTCCCAATTTCCCCACACAAATCTGCCTTTGAGAAAATTCGCCTCGGTCTCCGCTTTAGCGACGGCCCAAACGCACCAGGATGCAGGCAACCGTACATCATCCTTGGCCATGTCTCGCTGCCCCTTTCTGGCCATCGCAGTGGGGATCTCACCCGGCTGGAGGTTGAATACGATGAGACTATCGGGATTCTCGGCTTGGAGATAGCAGAAGATGTGGAGAGCCGCGAGTTTCGAAGTGGCATAGGCGGAGAACGTGGTTAACATCGAGGGAGGTAGGTGCGCGGCGCCCGTGGAGATATTGATGATGACGGGTTTGGAAACCGTGGGCTCGGACGGTCCGGTTGATTGACCTTGAGCCCGCGGACAGGTCTTCAAGAATGCATTGATAACGACGAGGGCACCTTTGACATTCGTCTCGAAGCATTGCCAATAATCATCGAGCTCCGATTCGGTAATGAGTGAGTGCCTATCCAGGTACCCTGCGTTGGAGACGAGAACATCGATTCTGCCTAATTTCTGAACAGTCTGCGAGAAGGCGTCGTCCATGGCCTTAGTCGAAGTAACATCAGCGCGAAAGATGAGACACTGGAAGTCCACGTTGTTTCGAGCCTTGGCTGCGCTCTCAATCTCTACCTTCGCACTGTCGAGCGTGGATCGGGTCCGGCCTGTTATGACGACTGCGCGTGCCTTGGCCTGTGCAAAAGCGATTGCTGTTGCTTTGCCAATTCCAGTCGCGCCGCCGGTGATGAAAACAATCTTTCCGTGGGCAGACAGAGAAGGCTCAAGAGGGTCAATCGTGGCGTAGGGCGAGTGATGCCATGTTTTGGTGAAGGAAGGAAACTTCGACATAATATATGAATGACACCAAACTCGAAAGATTTGGGATGCCTCTTTCTGAAACGCGTCAGGTCAAGTCGTGTCTTGTTAAGCAGGTGTACCGAAAGAACTGTCACGTTTCAAGCCCTTGGAACATGTTGTGAGACATGTACTTTGTTTTATACCCGAGCATGCGGATTACTGGAACAGCAGGAGTGTCGTCCAGTTTATGTCGTAAGCTAGAGACTTCCAAAAAGGCATGCGTTGTTGTATCAAATCCCGACGCACCTTGGCGGCATCGCAAGGGATTGAGGGCGCGAGAAACACTAACGACAAAAGCTCCCACGGTGATGCGGCCGAACCACGATGAGAGAGTAAGGTCCTGCACTCGCAGGCGAATCGTGATGTTGATTTCCGATTGGCACTGGGTTTGGACCGTTGCGCTGATATCTTTGGGGTAGGTCGACACTCGGACGTGAGCCAATAAGCCAACGAGAGGGGTAAGCCAGCCTTGAACGGCCGAATTCGGCCTCGTCTCCTGGAAGTGAAATGAATGATAGGCTATTTGTATCCTCTTGCTGTTGTTCGGCTGGCTGCAGGGGTTTGATTATCAAGACCTCGAGACATTCCCCACCAAGTGCATCAGTTGACAAGGGAGCACCTGTTGAATCTTGGAATACTAGTATTGATAGCATCAGCCAATATGTCGACTTCCCTGTGCTGAAAGTTGGCTATATTTGGCCAGAATGGCTGATCCAGTGTTTCTCCATACCAGGGGGTGTAGGGCAAGCGGCATATCAATATCCTTAGCCAAGACCATGAATGGAGTTGTACTATCTGTGTCGGGCATTTGCAGGAATCGAAAACCCCCGGGTCATGAAATCGCCGTCTCGCCTGGCTTTCTCGTCTGATTTCTTGGTGTACAACGAGCTGATGTTCTCGTTCTCACGCCGTCTTTTCTTCCTGGCTTCTTCCTCTTGCATGACTCGGGCAGTGAGGCTGGCGGTTGTGGCATTCCTCATGCCATTTGGCAAGTCTGTCGTGGGGCTTCCTGACTGGGCTCCTCCCGAGCGAGGCGGATTAGCTGGCATTGATCTCCCCTGTCCATCCGCCCCTGTTGCTTGCGTTTCCAAAGTATTCTGGCCTTGTGCCAACTTGCTGTCACCATTTGCCTTCCGCTTCTTGCTGCCGCCGGCTTTCTTCAAGGAATGTGAGAGTCCAAAAGACCTCAAGGTTTCTATCCGCTCCAATACGGACGTCTTGTCTTTCTCGGTACTAGGAAGAATTGGTATGACATCTCGTTCTTCGTACGGGGAGGCACACTGAACGCATTTCCCCTCGCTCTTCATCTCTTTGATGGCCTCTTGTGAGAAGGCATGGCCGCAGGGTACAAGGTAAACTGCCTTGACATTGGGACCCAGCTCCTTGGAAGTGATAGGGCAGATCCATCTGTCTGTCTTAGTCTTTTCATCATGTTCCGTTTCAAATTTCACTTCAACAACATCTTTCAGACTCGTAATGCGGCCTTGGATAAATTTCTCATACTCTTGCTTGTCCACCGAGCTGGCTTCGGCGGGCAGCAGAAACTGAATAATGGCATCCTTGTTGTAGAGGTCGCCTGCATAATCTGAGACGATAGGCTTGACGAGAGGTTTGTGAGAGACTGGACAGGTGGACCAACGATGGGCAAGGTGCTCTTTTTGCTTGTCTTTCAGTTCGGTTGCGGTTGGGTTTCGCGCGGCTTCCTTAACGAGCTCACGTCGCGTGGGGATACTGTCGACTGTTAGTTATATCAAAGTCTCAGGGAGGCAAAGACTCGACTTACCTTCCTCCGTCATTCCCCATGATGCTTGGATTAAATCTGTGTGAACAATCTGCGCGGTGAAATCGCGTTAAAAGGTGCAGAGATGGGCAGCCTTGTGCCTTCTCTGGCCTTCTGTGCTAAGTACTCAGTAGTGGGTGGCGACAATTTCTCCGCAGCCTAGTGGCCTCTGCCCCCTCACTCCAGGCTGGTGATTTATGGCTTGGGCTACTAGGCTCTTTGGGCTCTCCCCCCCGAGCTCGCTAGGTATGTGCCACCTACTCGGTACCCAGTACCTCGCCACCTACCCTCCAGCCACGGCCACGGCCACAACCACAACAGGCGGGTGCATGATTGCGAATTCGCTCGCTTTACCGAGTATAGCCTTTATGACATAGGCTCTGTCCAAGCTAGTAATATGCCTTGAGTCTCTCCCTCTTTCGTCCTTCACTTCAATGGGCGATTCAACCGCTTTCAGCTTAAAAATGAATGCACAACGGCAGCTACAAGCCGACCTGGCCATCACTCCCAAAACAGCCAGCCTCTTGATCCGTCTCGGCTACGCGTCCTACCGCGACCTTCGAAGTGTCTCACCCAATCATGTGGTTGCGCAACTCAAGGCATTCCCAGACATGACTTACTCGCAGGCAGAACAATACCGACGGGGTTTGAGAAGAATGGTTTGGCTTGCGACTCAGGATAACCCTCGGGAGCAAGCTAAGTTATATCCGAATTGGACTCAGAGCGCTCTCAAAAAGCGTGGTATGTGGAGGGACGACATCGATTTCGACGGGCTTAGCGGAGATGAAGTCAACCAACTCCATCGTGACGCGAATGGCTAAAGAGTTTTCATGGGGCTAGTGGTGAATCGTCCTCCCAGGAACAGGATAATGACGTGACAAGTCCCTGGCATTGTCCATTCTCTGATCGAAGGGCGACTATCTCTGTGCAAGCTCTGTGTTAACGGACTTTTGACCGACAACTGCCGAACTTATCAACCATGCGACAGAAGGTATAAAGAGCCTCGATGCTGCTCACTAGAACACATCTTGCCCAAACAATTCGGACACAACACATCTTACGATCCACAATTTTTAGAAAACATTATAGTCAACCGTCCAACAATATGAGGGTTTTATTGACAGGTGGATCCGGCTTTATCGCCGCCCACTGTGTTGATTACCTCCTTCAACACGGCCACTCGGTCGTCTTCACCGTGCGCTCCCCTGAAAAAGGTCAAAAAATCTTGAGCAATCACCCGAGTCAACCAAAGGATAAACTCAGCTACGTGATCGTTGAGGATATCGCCCAAGAAAACGCCTTCGACGAGGCCGTCAAGTCTGATCCGCCCTTCGAGGGCGTTTTGCACACCGCTTCCCCATTCCACTTCAACGTCACGGATCCCAAGAAAGATCTCTTGGATCCGGCCATCATTGGCACTATTGGAATTCTCAGGGCTATCAAAAAATATGCGCCCACCGTCAAGCGGGTGGTCATCACCAGTTCCTTTGCAGCGATCATCAACCCCAAATCGCACGAGAAAATCTACAGCGAGAAAAACTGGAACCCGGTCACCGAAGAAGAAGCCACGCAGGACCCCGCGACCACATATCGCGCGTCGAAGACGTTCGCTGAGCGAGCCGCGTGGAAGTTTGTCGAGAAAGAAAACCCAAACTTTGACATTGCTACTATCAATCCACCACTAGTCCTTGGTCCAGTCGTGCACTGCCTCAACTCTCTTGACACCATTAACACTTCAAATGAACGAATCAGAAACATGATCCAAGGTCGCACGAAGGATACTGGTCTCCCTCCAACAGGCGCCTTCATCTGGGTCGACGTTCGCGATGTCGCCCTTGCTCATGTCAAAGCTCTGGAAATCCCCGAGGCCGGTGGCAAACGGTTTTTCTGCACAGCAGGCCAGTATTCCAATGCCGACATCGCTCAGATTATCCAGAAGAACTTCCCAGACCTGGCCAGCAAGCTGCCGGATAAGCTTGAGAGTGATATGCCACAGGATATCTATGGGTATGATAACTCGAGATCGAAGGAAGTGTTGGGATTGAAGTACCGAAGTTTGGAGGAGAGTGTTGTCGATACTGTGAAATCACTGCTCGAAGTCGGTGCATAAATCTCCACCTTCAGCCGCTGATCCGAGCAAGAGAGACGCTTGATTTCTCGAAGGACGCATTTAGTAAGGAGCTGGTCATTTCAGACGATGGACGCTTGCGCAGGGAAGATCATGTTCTCTGCGTTCGTTGAGCAATTGCGACGGAACCGAAGAAGGGCACGCGCAAACTAACTAGACGGTGGTCAGCATGGAAAGTAGGGTTCAGGGGTTACGGGAAACAAGAAGGCCAATATAGTATAGAACTAGTATCCCGTCCACTAGAGAGAAGACAGATTGATTGTATTAGAAAGAACGTGCCTCCCCCGAACTGAACCGAGTTACTGATGACCCAGAGATCCAAGTATCATTCTATCCCGAAGTCCTCGAATCCGAATGCGCACCTTTTCTTGGCTTCTATGTTAGTTCCGTCGTAGATTGTGCCTGTGTATTGAAAGGCAGAGGAAAGATGGCTCCGCTTTCGTCCCCAAATCCATGAAGCCGCATAAACACCCGGCAGCCCATGTGTCTTTGTATTCTCCTAAGCTCCCGGGGCAGCACGAGGCTTGGCTTGATGTCGGTAGATGCAAGACGCAAGGGATCCTCCTCTACTTCATCTCTCACGAAGCCATACGGCTCGGCTGCGGCGAACCGTTGACGCTGTCGTCGTGAGGCCCCGTTTCCTTCTTGCTTCTCTCACTTTCCTCCAGGCCGCTGCGTCTCTCGTCCTTCTCCTCCTTCTCAATTCGCTTCTCGGCGTCGTTGTTCTTCTTCTCTTTCTTCGTTTCCACCTTTGTCTTCCCCAGTCCCAAACTCGTTACAAAGGCACCAACTCCACATCCCACCGCGAGGTAGAATGTCCTTGTAACCGCCTGGTTGTACGCTAGGAGCACACCAGTTCTTGTATCGGCGTTGTCCGGCCCGACTGAGAGCTTGGCTAGGTAATTCGTTGCACCGGTGTTAATGACATCTTGTGCATTTATATTGGGTGCATGAGTGCGTAGCGCTGGGCGAAGCAAGTTGAGAAAGGTGGTTTGGCTGAGGCTGATGAACAGGGCGGCGCCGAACGTCTGTGAGAATGCCACAGTGGCGGTTGCGATCGGGATCATGGCAGGTAAAACGATGGACTGAACCGCTTGGACCGGTTGTTGCATTGACAAGCCTCGTCCAACTCCGTTGAGGACCTGGTATCCAATGTATTTCCCCGCGTCAGCATCTGTAGTGAGTGTGCTGGCTAGCCCTGCTGAGATTGTAATAAAGATAGAACCCGTCGCTGAGAGTGGCATAAGATAGCCGAACCGAGATGTTAGTGCTCCAGCAAAGATCGCACTGAAGATTTGCAACCCGAATGTTGGGAGGATGTAGACTGCACTCATTGTTGGGCTGGCTGATTTGATCGCTTGGAACCAGAGCGGCAGGTAATAGACGTGTACCAATATGCCTCCGAACTGTAATGCAGCGTTGATCAAACTGCTGTAAATGACTCGCTTCCGTATTAGCGATATTGGAACATGGCAGAATCTCCCTGGCGATACTCCCAAATGATGAAGACTATGAATGTCCCTGAAGACCTGCATAAGAGTCCGATGATTGTGGCGGACGACCATGAGTACGTAGTTCCACCCCATTCCAAAGCGAGTAGAAGCATAATGCATGCTAGTGCGAAAAGGACAAATCCGGTGATGTCAAAGTCGTGAACCACATCCCACAATGCCCAGCTTGGCTTGCGAGCTTTGTATGCCGGAAAACGGATGAATGTCGTCGCAACTATGGCCACCGCGCCGATGGGAAGGTTGATCCAAAAACACCAACGCCATGAAGCATGTTCAGTTAAGGCACCGCCGACCAGCGGGCCTATGAGTTGTCCAGCACCGGCGAAGGAGATGAGGAGGCCCATCATGGTAGGTCGAACAGAAGGAGAAGCGGCAACGGCAAGTATAGTGAGGACCCCGTTCATAAGACCTGATGCGCCTATACCGGCGACTGCTCGCCCCACTACTAGCATAGTACTAGACGAGGCAACAGCACATATCAAGGAACCTAATTCGAAGACGGCGACAAAAACAAGGAAGGCGCCCTTGAGAGGGAAGTATGTAAACACTTTTCCGGTAAGAGGCTGTAACGATGCATTTGTGATCATGTATGCCGCGGGATACCAGCCAACTGCCAACATCTGTTAGTTCGCCTCGAAATTACCACACATTTGACAACAACTCTTGGAAAATGTTGTTACGTTTTCCAACGAAGGGGAACTTACTGTTTGCGATGGTATGGAAGTGATCTGTGATTTGGGGGATGGCAGTTGCAAGAATGGAGGCATCGACAGTGATGAGTAGGATGACGAGCAGAAGGGAGCCGCCCAGAAGTGTGAGAGCCCGTGGCCCCAAATATTGGTGTCCTTCGTCTCCTTTCGTGGAGGATGTCTGAAGCGCGTCTGCATTTTTGCGTGACCCAGTAAGTTGAGTGGAAACAGATCCCGGGACGGGGGGCGATTCATGGGTTGAGACGGCGGCTTGTTTCCTCATGTTGACCAATGCTGTTCTCTTTACGCCTGCCGGCTTCATCGAAAGTAGTGACGGCGGTAATGAAGGCGAAGGTCTGAAAAGTATTGCAACTCGATGTTTATATGGGCCGCATCCGTGTCCAAGGGTCGGGACTCAACGTCCTCCTTTACACTCCGTATCCCATCCCCACCCCGCTCAACAGATGGAAGATTGACTCTAACGCAGCCGGCCGGAGCTGGCCTCGAGGTGATGTTTGTATTCATAAAATTGCATATTGGCGTTCCAATCAGCCGTGAGGTCTGGCCAGATGCTGTCCTCGAAGCCCTCGAACAACTCCTCCATCGAGATGCCGTCCGGAAGCGCGCTAGTGTCAAGACCTGAAGTTGGGTGGTCGGCTTCTGCTTTAGCTTATTCGTGTACCATTTCTTGCAAAGGCGCATCTTCTCTGCGAATAGACTGAAGCGCACTGCGACTGCATGACTTGCCGCCAAATCTCCAGATGCAAGGCTCTGTTGCGATACCGTTTCCAGTTTCTGCACCATACGGTCTACAGTGGACGGAAAGTTCATTTTCGAACCCCTCATCGATCGCAAATCCCATCCATCAAGGACAAGGAACGACACCTTAGCTAGAACAATCAAGGCATGAACGACGTCAAGCCAGAACTAGAAAGTCAAGTTCGGCAAATACCGCCAAGGGATGGCGTCTAGGCTGTCAAATAATTCACTGATATGATTCAAACAAGAATGCAATGCTTCGGCTCGGTGATATGCTATGTCCGCCTGGACTGCGAATATGGTCTCGAAAAGGCAGATATAAGCGCTGTGAATCTGCATATCCAGGAGTTTGTTTCCGGCAAGGCTGGGAGGCAAGCTCCCTTGATATTGCCGGAGATCTTTTTCAAAACAATTCATGAAACTCCGTATAGGTAAAGTCGATGTTGTCATTAGGCCGAGAGAGGGAGAATATATCTCTATAACCCGATGCAGTCGGACCAACTGAACAGCATAGATATCGGAGGGGTACTCTGCTGCGTCGGTGAGAGCATTGCAACAGTCTTCCAAATGTTGCGTCCAGCGCATGGGATCTGATCTCCGAAGGCACGAAGATAACTGTCCCGCAAGGTTATAGACTCCAAGAAGGGCTCGTCGGTCGTCAGAGGTCTGGATGCCTTGGTTGACTAACCTGCCGTGAAACATCTGGGCCGCATCAACCACCATGCCGATTGGGGTCAGCACTGCGGGCTGGATAGGTCGATTCAGCCCTAGGTCAGTGACCATGGCAGTCACTAAATGGAAAAGATTCATCACCTGGGGGTTGTTGTGATTGTAGTACTGGTACCAGGTGCTGAACACCAATAGCCCTTGCAAAAGATCGATTGACTTATCTCCTTTCATCAACATGCGATCTCCGATGTATCTCATCAAGTCGTCTGCCATTTGTCGTAGTAGCAATGGGTCTGCTTGAGCGGCGGCCGTGATGCAAGTTCGGAAGAGGAACGGCATCTCTTCACGAAGAGCAGCAGCTGTTGCCTGGGGTGGAATCACCACAAAAGGGAAATGTATATTCATCTGTGTACGGAAATTGCTCAGTAGCTTTTCGTCCAACACTGGAGCCAAGCTGACTCGAAAATGGCCGCGTGTCTTGGCACCAGTGGGTTCCTCTGTTTTACTCGACCATGCGCAGACCGTAGATTCACCGACAACGGATTCCCTCTGTATAGGATCGTTGTGGTTACTTCCATCAGGAGCCGTCATTGACGTTGGCGGAACCGGGAGCGAAGCCGACCATAGTCCATTGGGCAAGCCAGCGACACTTTCCGGAACAACAGTAGGAGTAGGCTGAGAATACTCGGTACACCCACTTTGAGCAGAAAAAAGGTCAGCCCGTGCTTTTGCATTCAAACCGCCGCTACTAGACCTCAAGAGATCAGTCAGAGTGTTGATCTTTTCCTCTAACTGCGAAACCCGGGTCAGTTTCCATTATTCCGCGGCTTGCGTGGCAGCGGTGCCGGGGTGGTGCATGGTTTGCCCAAGCGGTGACATCTAACGCAGATCAAGTTGTTAGATCCTGCCAGTGGAACGCATTTCGCTTTGATCTGAACACAGTGGCGACATGCCCGGTGTGCCCTCAGCCCCGGGGTATCATCAGGAGCCGGAAGTGGCGGACGTTTGGCAGTGGCCGACAACGTCGTAGGAATAATGATTGAACAGTGTCTGAGGTAGCGTCGTCGTTCTCGACATCGGCGAGCATGGAAGGGCAAGGGAGGGTCAGAAGGGGGAGCGTTTCATTTGCCCTTCCTGTCCTCTGCCTTCGAATCCATATGCTGTCATTGACGCAACGCAATGTCAGCTGAAGCCCGTTTTCATTTGCCTAATAGATGGCAGCAGGAGATCAAAATGCTTGGGTCCAAAGCTGTTCAGCTTGTTGCTTTCGCGGGTATTAGGAGTTCTTCGGCTCTGCGGAGTCCGTCTCTTCCTCCGTGTCCGGTCCCTGCACTGCAGAATGGCGCCTTCACATTGCAGATCAACATAGCCTGGCCAGCTCTCTAGCCACTAGCAATCGTGACTGTTTCTTATTCTCCTTCCGGGTGATCTGATTCCGTGTCGTGATTTATCCGAGGTAGTCATTGGCGTTTGAACTGTAGCTGACGGCAGAGAGGAGGGCGTCTCCGCATGCGAGGGATTTGGCACTCAGTGGTCTGACAGAAAAGTCGCATCGCTCCAGAGTAAATTGTAAGGGATCTCGATGGCGCAAAAAAGGCTGAAATGATGGCATATCTTTCAAGACCGTGAATTTGGAGGCTTCGCAAACAAGACAGCACTCGGTCGTGGTCGATCAATGCGGGTTTCCAGCCAAGGAAGATGCATGTTCCTGAAGCTGCGGCAGGGAAATAACAGTGTCTAGACTGCTTTCAAACGACCAGAACGACCTAGAGCAAAAGTAGACAGTGTGCAGGTCTCTCCCATTTGTGCGAAATTGGACCGAAATGAGGCCGGTCGCGGTCACTGAAGGAAGTGCTTGCAAGAAATACTATGTATATCCAAAGCCTCGCCTCCGGTAGACTTATTTCGCTGTCAGCATATCCCATCTACTTCACGACATCACGGGGTATAACACTGACTACCTCCGTTCGAAGGCTATCGCACATTTTTAATGCGCTGACATTCATCTTGGTGATCATTTTTGACGATGAGCACATACTTTTGTTGTCTAATTGTTCGAACGTCGGCCATCCCGGTCATATTCATTTACAAGGAGATGAAGACAGACTTCAACTCAGTCCAATAATCCGTCGAATACTTGCTCAATTCACGTCCGTCGCCGCTCTGCTTGAAGCCACCAAACGGCATGTCAATGGCCATAGTCGGGCTCGTGCAATTGACGCCTACAGATCCAGCCTCGAGAGCCTTGGCCACACGCAAAGCCCGGGAGATGTCCTTGGTGAAGACACTTGCGTACAGCCCATATTCGGTGTCATTGGCGCGCTTCAGCACCTCCTCTTCGTCCGTGAAAGTGTTGATGCACACGACAGGTCCGAAGATTTCCTCCTTCATGACCTTGGAGTCCTCAGGAGCGTTGGCGATGATGGTAGGTTCAATGAAGTAACCGGTTGTGCCTTCTCGGCCGCCACCGATAGGCATCTCGAGACCGTGCTCCTTGGCATAGTTCAGGTAGCCCATCACGCGGTCGAATTGGATCTTGTCAGCTTGGGGTCCTCGTCGGGTACCAGCGACCGTGGCATCGCCCGACGTCCCCATCTGGACCATGGCGGTCTTCATTGCTTCCATAAATTTATCGGCGATGTTGGCATGTATGTACACTCTCGAGCTGGCGATGCAAGCTTGGCCGGAATTAGCGAGGATAGAGAAAGCAGAAGCCGGGACGGCCTTGGCCAGGTCTGCGTCGTCGAAGATGATCAACGGGCTCTTGCCACCCAATTCCAGAGTGACATTCTTGAGGTTGGATTCGGCGGCAGCTTTCTTGACAGCTCGACCAGCGATGACGGAACCTGTAAAGGAGACCTTTCGAATGTCCATGTGCTTGGCAATAGCCTCACCACAAGGTCTTCCGTATCCGCTGAGGATGTTCAAGACACCCTTGGGGAGACCAATTTCCTGGCAGAGCCTACCGATGACAAGGGAGGAAAGAGGTGATTTCTCGGAGGATTTGAGGACCAGGGTGTTGCCAGTAGCAAGTGCAGGGCCGACCTTGTTGATGAGCATGAGGAGAGGCACGTTCCACGGAATAATGGCACCGCAAACCCCAAAAGGTTGACGGAAAGTGATATTGACCATGTCCTTGGTATTCAGGGACGACTCTCCTTGGACATCAAGAGCTCTGCTTGCAAAGTATCTCAGAATCTGAACACCGACGTGGCCAAAGACTGGACAAGGGTCAGTGATCCAAATGATGCAGAGCAATTCGAGGACTCACAGTCGCCAATGTAGGGCTTGCCCATGCTAATGGCTTCCAGGTAACCAATTTCCTCCAGGTTCTTCTCGATGGCATCAGCCAACTTTTCAATATATCCTTGTCTCTCTGCGGCAGAAAGGGCGGACCAAGCAGGGAAAGCAGCCTGAGCCGCCTTCACGGCCTCGTCGACATCCTCAGCGCCAGCTTCATAGACTGATGCAGCGAACTTCTCGTTGTTGGGGTTGATGATGTCGAACTTCTTCCCCGACTTTGAAGGAACAAATTCACCATTGATGAAGAGGCGGTCTTCAATGTGCTTTGGCTTGTATCCCTGTGTGGGAGCATCGGTGGTTGCTGATGGGGCCATCTTTTGGGTCGACTTTGTAAGGTTGAAGCTTTTTGCACGGAACTGATCTTGATCAGCGTTGAGTTCACAAGAAAAGTGTTGAAGAGCAGTTGAGCCACGAAGTCAACGATGGTTTTATATATCCTCGAAGCAACCCCGCAGACTCCAGGTAAGCTTCGCTGAAACACTGGAAAACGAAGCAACCCAGCGCCACGAGCACCGGTCAACGATCACGCATACGACTCTAGAACGGATTGGATTCAGCAACCATATCGATTCGTCAGGCCGAGAGCATCGCTTTCAAGCGTCTTGGGTTTGGATTGAACTCCGCCGAGCCCGACCGTGGCAAATCAACAGGCTGGATACCCGTCGCCCCCTCCTAGCACGTTTGTTCAAGGGTCAACCGTGGTGGGGTTCCACCGAACTGGAGATACGAATGCATCACAGTGTTACAAGACTCTAATTCCGCTACCCCACCTACATGCTCATTTTGGACAGCAGACTCAGCAAGTATTAAATACGAGCCGCCCAAACTCTCGCAGATGGAAAAAGGTCGTTCTGGGCAAGCTGTGGAACGATCCCTGTCGAGTAAGCAGTAGCGCAACATGGGGGGCCTGACGAGGCTTTGGAGTTGTGCTTGGTGCTTGCAGCTCTTGCACTGGAACAATCAGAGTCGGATCGGCAAATGACTCGTTCCCCTGAGTCGTGAGTGCCACGGACCAACACGTATCGAGTGGCATAGGGGGACCAGAATGAGTGGCACAATCGGCCATCGTCCACGGTCGCTTTCTGTGCTCTCCTTCCAGGACATATGTCAGAGTCAAGCCACTCTTTACGAAGTACATTGCTATGTACTCCATACTCCGTACCTGGATAGGTACATATCTCAATCTTAGGGGGAATAAAACATCCACCTACCTAATAGCTAGATACTCGGTATGTAGGTAAAAGACAGTTAGTGGCATTTATCTAAACGGACCCTGTCACTCCGGATCATTCATGCCGAGTACCGCCACAGCTGACAGATTCTTCTGCAGAGATTACTTGATCACATCTCGCCTTCGTTCTGCTTGGGATTGATGAAACAGTACGGGTGTAATATTGCTCGTACTTTCGTGCAGCGTCACAGGCAATTCGCCTTCTTGCCAACAACGATATTACATCGCACAGCCACCCGTATACCTAGGTAATTAGTGCGTGGAGGTGGAGGTGGAGGGTGGAGGCGATGGAACCCTCTGCCAGGAACGACTGGAATAGCTGGATATGGCAATTGCCATCCGAAACCAACTTGCCATTCATTCGTTCTGCGCGCCCGAGCCTGCGTCGTTACTTAGACTGGATTGATTCTTCGAAGCTCCAAGGGAAATGGATCCCGCTTTACATAGTATGAAGCCTGAACGTGCCATCGTGTGCTGCAAGTATCTGTTTGGTTCTCGGGTCAGGCCTGGCCTAGATCCTTCAACACATGCGGTGTGCGAGTTACCCGCAAAGGCAGTGCGTCTGTTTGATGACGGATCTTCGGCGGTCGATGCGAGACTGTCTTCCTAGCCGGGCAGAGAGCATGTCCAGACCTAGCCCTCTTGGTCATCAAGCGTTGTTTCTGGAGTGACAGGCTTCGAATCCCGGGTCCATCTTCTGATTCAAAGGGTTAATGGGTTTGCTAACATTAGAATATTGTCTACTATGCGCTCCGTAAATGGTGAAGGGAGGCAGCTCCACTACTGAAACGCTTTCAATACCCGGTACATTCATACCGACGAAAAAAGGAAGTCTTTAAATCCGAGATTTCCCGGAGTTAGTGGACCGGGGCAAACATGGCCCTCACGTCAGCTGGAAGCGTGAACTCTCGAGACAAGTAATAGGGGTGTGGTGATTGACTCGGTACATACAAGCGTAACGCTATGCAATCCGGAACCCAGGAGACACGATCGTCGATCGTCGAATGGTAGCAGGAGTAGCCCGAACACCCTGCTGCGGGTAGTGTTTTGGTTGGTCCGCGTTGGCATATTATCAGCCTTGCCTTCCTCTAACCTATACTGTAGTCTGTTAGACCACTTTCCCGATTGTACTGAGTACTATACCACGAGCCCCATGCTTCGCTCTTTTGAATCTGAGTTGGTTACAGTTTGCTCCCCTCATCCCCCTTTTTTCCGGGTTTATGAGTGCGTCCACTCAGCTTTTTTCTTTTCCGCAAAGGCCTTCATGCCGATCTTCTGATCTTGACTGCCGAACAGACTGTGGAAGATGCGTCGTTCGTATTCGACACCCTCTCTGACCCCAAGGTCTTGACTCTTATTGACGACCTCTTTGGCCGCAATAACTGCCACGCGACTGTAACTGGCGATCTTTTCAGCCGTATTTAGAGCACCCTCAAGAACCTCTTTGTTACCTCCATCGAAGGCTTTGGCAGCGAGACCATGTTTCTCGGCCTCCTCGCCGCTGAAGTTATTGCCTGTGAGAATGAGTTCCATGGCTTTGCTCTTACCAATGGCTGCGGTGAGCCGCTGAGAACCTCCGGCACCTGGTATGGTGCCGAGCTTGATCTCAGGCTGGCCAAAGTTTGCAGTCTTCGTGCAATAAAGGATATCGCACATCATAGCAAGCTCGCAGCCGCCGCCAAGAGCATGCCCCGATACTGCTGCTATGACGGGTTTTCGCAGAGTCATCATGTAGGACCAGGGAGCAATAAAGTTGTTGACATATGCGTCGGAGAAGGTCAAGGGGGCCATTTCTTTGATATCCGCGCCAGCTATTCACAGTCTATCAGTCCGAACGTTCTATTAGCGATACTTGTTGCGTTTACCTGCAAATGCTTTGTCGCTTCCAGTCAGAACAATGGCACCAATGTCCTTGTCCTCCTCGTATTTCTTCAGGGCATCGTTGAGTTCGACAAACAGAGCGCTGGAGAGGGCGTTCAGTGCCTTCGGACGATTGAGTGTGACTGGTATTGTCAGAAGCGACTCTCTCACGGATGCAAATTTAGATCAAGGCGTACTGAGCCCAACACCTGGCCTGGGCGTCGACACCAGGATGTTTTCATAGCTGCTTGAGGTGGATTGAAATCGGACCAGCCGCGGAAGGGTTCGTGGTGCAGCCGAGAGCGTGGCTAAAGGCCGCGAGAATAACCTGACAGAAGCCATTGTCGATATTTCAGCTGGGTAATATCAAGGAGATCACGAAGATCTCAAGAGGCATGGCTTTGCATGCTGGGAATGGAGCATTGAAGAGCTTCTCGCAACGCCGACAACAACCGCAGCGGCTTGCAGTTGTCCTCGGCTGCGTCTCCGCAGGCTGAACGACTCCCGACGATTCGCCGCAACAGAGGGCCGGGAACGGAATAAATAATAATCCGTGGCCCTCCCTCGCTGCCGAGTATTTGGTACCCAGCAGTCCCACTGTATGAGGCGCAGTTTGCCTGCGATCTGGATCCTCCCGCTCCGACAATTTGTGGAAGGCTGCCACAGAGAAAAACACGACGTGGCTTCAACAACAGGACTCCTGGCCCTCAATCCTTCACCACACAACTCACTACTTGTCGCCTAAGATCGTCTTTACTTGCGTGAGGCCTTCTTTTCTTGATGCACTAACAGTCTCCATCTGTGCGTGTCTGTCTCACACTTTGTCCCTGACAGCCCCGAAGCGCATGCGCAGGCCCTATATCTCCTCGTCGCTCCCAACAAGCGCTGCCACCATGGACGGGCCTGAGCCGGAAACGACTCCCTTCGACGCAATAAGTACACAGAGCAACAAGCTGCTGAGGGTATGGAAAAGAGAAATAACTCTCGGGCAAGAAGAAACAGCGATCAGGCTAACAAACATCTTGCACAGCAATACCAAACTTACCTCGACAAATCAACCCCCTATGTCGCCTACCGATGGTCGGCAACTGTCGTCATCCTCCTGCTCTTCTTTCTCCGCATCGTCGTCGCTCAGGGCTGGTACATCGTCGCCTACTGTCTGGGCATTTACCTGCTCAATCTCTTCCTCGCATTCCTTCAGCCGAAATTTGATCCCAGCCTGTCGCAGGACGAGGGTCTTGAAGATGGCGAGGGCTCGTCTCTGCCCACCAAGCATGACGACGAATTCAGGCCATTCATTAGGAGGCTTCCAGAGTTCAAGTTCTGGCATTCTGCAACAAGAGCCATCACAATCAGCTTTATCTGCAGCTGGTTCGAAATCTTCAATCTCCCGGTCTTTTGGCCTGTGCTCGTCATGTACTGGCTGATTCTCTTCTCCCTGACTAGTGAGTCAATCAATCTCTGTTAGGCTAACGTGATCGCTGACCATTCTACAAAGTGAGACGGCAAATTCAACATATGATCAAGTACCGTTACGTACCTTTTTCTTTCGGAAAGGCCAAATACCCGGGCAAATCATGAATGGCGACTTTTTCGTGCGGATGGTATCTTTGCGTTTCCTTCCCAACTAAATAAAGATGCACAGATGGTCCAAGTACTATGGGAGATAGATGCAGCAGGAATGCACAGGGCGGCTTCAACATTTTCTGCATCCGCGTCCCGGACCCTCGACGACAAATGCCCTTTCGGCGACTTGTCCCATCCAGCGACCGGGACGAGCGGGGAGATGAATGTCACGAATAGATTTGCCTGAAATCAGCCGATACGCATCGCCCTTGCCATTCTTTGCATCGGTTGATCCAGAAACAATCTCCTTGTGTCTGTGTCGTTCCTGCCTAGGTCGAGCGGTTAAGCACCTTGGGCTACAACAACAGTCTCAAATGCTTCTCTCCGTTCTTTTATTCAGCTCTACTCATGCTCACATCTCTTGTTCTCGATACGCCAGATTTTTTGACGCATTTGATCATCATTTATGCTTAACTGAGCCAGTCATTAAAGAGTCAGTGATCGTTATTCCCCATGCCCACTCGACTCTGACGAAAAGTCATTGTCCTGCCGCAATTCTCGTCAGAGCCCAGATCAAGCTATGGATCACCTCATCTCATCGCCCGGACCCTCAGCACCATTAGGGTATGCTCTGAACATTGAAGGCTACCTCAATCATCTCATCGATGGCCAGCAATATGTCAGGTATGACCTTACTCCTTTGCGAATTCTATGGGGTACTGGACATTCGGTCGTTGCCCAAGCGATGACGCGCGACCGGTCGAGCTCCACCATCGAGTTGAATGATGGCTCGACATTGCCCACCACACTGGTCCTATACTGTCTCCCACCTGCTCTGGATCATCAGAACTATGTGGGCGCTCAGCCAACACCATTGGTAAGGCCAAGTGCTCTCCACGTTCCCGTAACCCCCCCTTGCACGCATTCCAGATCATTCTTCTAAAAGCAACCGTATTGAGGTTCAGTCGCTAACTTGACCTGAAGGGTATCGACCAAGCAGCATTGTTATTGTTTTCCAACCCTTGTGACTGCTCCGACTCGTCGTCTGAAAGACCATCCCGGTCCGGATTCAGAGCTCTTTCTCGATTTCTTCCTTTCCGTCGTCCTTTATTGGGTTCGCTCTCTGAAGGGTCGCTGTATTCCATTCAAAAAGCCACGGAGGTCTACGTGCCCAGGCCCCTCTACCAGGACTGTGACATGTCAATCCTGCTCACTTCCCACTGGGGGAATATGCGGCCGCTTTCACTCATCTTCGGCAAAGTGTTTGACCGAAATACACAAAGTCGTCTAAGATCAGCAGATCGTTCTGCGATTCGAGCAATGTTCGCGTCTCCTCGAATCGTTGGACCGTTCTTCAAGGTGCTAGGTGCGAGATTGGGCACTTTCCTTGCCAAGATGCATGATCCAGAAACCACAAAACAACTACGACTGTCCAGCAATCCTCCATCACCCACGAATTTTGCCTCCAAAGAAGCCGGCAAACAAAGGCTCATTGGAGAGATTGCAAAATGGCGAAACAATGTCCAACAAATGGACTTTTTTATTGACTCCCCAGACGCTTTGGAAGGTCTCTGCAGGACACTCAATGATGATGTCGACCGGCAACATTTTCCGGACTACTAGTGCTTCAGTCATGGTAATTGCACCTTCGACAACATCCTAGCAACCTTAACACCGGGTGAAGCGATTAAGTCCTTTGGGATAGCTTTCTGGGAGCACGCGGGATTCTGCGGAAGAGGTGTAAATGGTGACATTGCACAATTATTTGCAGAGCTTGAAGCTTATCGGATTGCGGCCTGGTACCAAGACACTGTGGGCCGCGGGATGAAATCCCTTGCTGTCCTCTATGGGGTGGCGCTCTGTGGTCTTCTAGACAATCTGCTCAGCCAGTACAAGCGTGAAAGCAAGTGGCTGCAAATGGCTCAGAGACACAACCGCGTGCAAAAGTGGCGTAAGAAGACAGTAGGAACCGAGAAGCCTCATGTTTTCTCTCCGAAAGCAGTGGAACGATCGATTTATTTGGCCCACGGCCTGTACCTCATCAACGCGGCCTTCGAGAAACCATGGTTCTGCGAAGACAGTCGATGCCCTCGCGTCAACGGGCGTCACACCGAGGTCAAACAGGATTGTGGCCTTGTGCGTTACATATTCTACTGTGGTCTCGAGGTTCTCTACCTTGCGGAGGAGAATGAGGAGAAGTTCAACCGCGTCAATGTCAGTACAGAGATGCGACTTTTCAGGCCGTTCCACGCCGGTTGGCATCCACGGGTCACGGAGCTTTTCCACGAGACATACGACGCGTGGCGTGGTTCTATGACCCCTTGGAGTTATTTCTGATCGATGCCAGCCATGTCTATAGTTTTCTATCGTTCCAAGATATAATTGGCCTCTGGCCAGCAGAATCTCCAGGTTTCTTTCTCTTTGTCGCAGCCTGGAAACCCGAACACGGCTGGCATCGTAGCGTTCTATGGTACAAGGGGTACAGCTCGAGCCGAAGCTGATGGTGGCCAGGATATACTGGATATTGTATGTAGTAAGCTACACGGGTTACACGGCCTTGCGCATCTCAAGGGCGAACTGCCCGGCGGCTTAGAGCCATGAACTCAAAAGGGGACAAAGACATCATCCGTTTATATGCTTCCACGTATCTTACATCATCGATTATGCCAACTCTCCATTGCAAGGTCCCTTTATCCTCAGGTTTCCTTCGCTCATCTTCAATGGCCTCTAAGACTCCAAGAATAAACCCCCTCACCCCGTCCCCTCTTCCCCTTTCGGTGGTAAGCTTTGGATTTGTCATTTTTTCTCACAGGGGACACGGGCATATTCCGAGCGTAGCAACGTTCTGCAAAGGGTCACTATATTGTTTGAGACTCAGAAAGTCGGCGAGCAGATCCAATACCCACGTTCTGCAATGCACGCTTCCGCTTTCTTCACCTTGATTATATCCCTGTTGACACTAAATGCTGCCACTACATTGGCAGATATTGCCACTCGTCAACTCGGCAGTCCACCGACAATAATATTGACCTTTCCCTCAGTGGCACTAATTTCCACATCAGCTACTTGCAAACCCTCCGCCTGTCATATGCTAATTCATCCGCCTACGTCGAGCAGATCAAGCACCAATCATACGCTGAACCCCTCGGCGTTGGCGCCGCTAACAACAGCGACAATCCAGCCCTCTTCCTCTCAATCCACCAGTCCCCGACAGGTTTCCAGAAGATGTTCGTCGTCTGTTATCAAAGTCAGCCCGTAGGTGGTTTCATTGTACCGCACGGTGGGGCACCTCAAGGTGCAAGCACCACAGGCTTTTCATTCAGTCCCCAGGGTGCACTGTTGCATAATGAGTTCAATAGCCTTTTTGCTTGCCAGAACGACGCCTTGAGTCCATTGAACTCGTACAAGATATATTGGCATCATAGGGGAAGCCCAATGGGATGGAATTGTCCGGGACCAATTGAAATCCAAGCCGAAGATGGTTGTCCGAGGTATCAGAGCAGATGACCCCCGGCTGGAATGAGACGATGACAGCGCATGTGATGTGAAGCAGAAGAGGCGACAGCCTCTAGACCAGAATGGATCGAGGCTAGATTTCTGCAGTTGCTATTATGTCGGACCCGATTTGATCGTCTCAGGAGGCCCAGCCTTGCGTTCCAACATCGGTGTTGCCGGCCGCTAAATTTCTCAATCCAGGTCTCGAATTGAGCTGGAATCGCTCAGCCTCCGGCGCTGAGATAATCGTACCCTAAGTCAGCGGCATCTCCATTTTACTGTCCTGCTGGACTTCCGAGTGACTTTCATTTTCTCGCTGAACTTCGCGTTGTCCCTTACCTATACCTCGTACCTGGGTAGGTTTCTCCTTCACAGGTCCTAACATAATGTAAGAACAGTAGTACCCCGAATGGAGCTCACGTCGCATCTTCCGGCCATCGCATTCAGAATCGCAGCATTGTCGATCAGAACGGACGCCAGGAGCGGTAATGAACATCATTCCTGTCCATCTCCAAGGTCAGAATTAGGTGAAACTGCGATGACTGAGATAAAATCAACTGTTTCCTTCTCGCCAAGGCCGTCGTCGGGGCTGATCCATGGTGTCGGGATTGAATTTCCTCTCCCGGCGACTCAGTTCTTCCCTCTTCGCCCACAGCGTCTCCGCACCTCCAACTTCAGAAAGAGAAACTTAACCCGGCCATGGACGCAAGATGGGGAAATCCGGGGAGGGTGCAGCCGTGCTTTAAAGACCCGCCATTGACTTCGGGTTTCATTGCCTCTTCTTGAACATTCTCCGGTTCAATTCCATAGCTGCTCTGTTTATGAGCGCTGTCTGGGATGCGCACGAGAACTGGATGGTCAGTACATAGATCTATCTATTGCAACCTCTTGATACTGACTACGAGTTTTTGCATAGCCAGCCATGTCGTGACCGACATATCAAGTGTAGAGTCTACGCACCCGCATTGTCAGTTTGGTCTCACAAGTTCCTAGGCGTAAAAGTCGCCGGTTCTCAGAAATGCCAGAAATGCATAGAAGCTGGACGGGAATGTCTCTTAAACTCGCCATTACACTTTCGACCTGTCGAGTCTGTCCGGCTGAAGAGCGTAGATGGGCGCAGAGTCAAACATGACTTGAGGCATACACCTCGCCAGGTTTGGGTGGAGCTCCCATCAGATGGTACGTTTCGCCGCTTGCAATCATTCACTTGGTTGATGTGGTGAGATACACAGTCCGATTTGTTTCTCCTAACCACGAGACCGACAGCGCCCAAGACTTCGATCTTGAGGTTGGACAGGCCCAATGTTCATCCTCTCCCGTTCCTGCTCGAACGGGTGAGCCTCGAGAGGATTTCAATGTTGGGCACGATCCTGCTTCGGCGGTTACCCACGACTGGAGTTCGCCACATGGTTCAGCCTTGCCTCAAACGCCCCTGCAGACTACTCTTCCACACAAAAGTCCAGGCTCCCACTTTTCGTCTCTACCCTATGCCTCTAGTGGGCTATCGCCAGAGCATTCTGCTGGGAGACCCTCTTCACAACACCACTCGTCCCCTGTTCTGCTGAACCCGGTTGCCAGTACGTCCTCCCCAAAGTATGGACTCGGAACATGCTGGCCATTCAAGAATCAGCACGAAGCGCGCCTCTTACACCACTACATTGTCCACCTGTCGCTCCAGGTTATTCTCCCATTAACATCCTAGGATTCCATACTATCTTAACTAACCGTGTGTAGTTCGACTCTTGCGATAAACAGCGGCACTTTGGGAAAGAGATACCAAAAAGGGCCGCGCATTATCCTGTCATCAAGAATGCGATCTTCGCCGTGGCCTCACGGCAGATGAGCCTTCTAGCGGGGACTGATGACGACGTCTCTCCTCATTATGTGAGCGAATGTCTTCGGATCCTGATTAGGGCTTTGGAAGACCCCATGGGTCATTTTGATGAGAACCTGCTGGCTGCCGTCATTCTCCTGAGAACTCATGAGGAGATGTCCGGTACGTCTTCCTCCGCCAGATTATGCTTGATAGAGATGAGAGGCTCAAAGTTCAAATTTAGAAAATGATGAACGACGCCACTTGTTCGGCACAACGCGGATCTTAAACTCGATAGCCTCCTTCGCAGCCGATGGCGGGCTCCGTGAGTCTGCTAGCTGGGTGTCGCTCAGACAGCACATCTACATCTCCCTCACCTCCCAGCACCCACTCACTATCAACCTTACTAACTACCGCCATTCGAGCGTCTTTCATGTCTCCGATGACGAATCCTGGGCGAATCGGATCATCTTCATCTTTGCCCGAATGCTTACCTATGTGTTTGGTGAAGACAACAAGCAGTTGTCCCTGGAGCAATGGGCTGAGTTGGACGCCGAAGTCGCCGCCTGGGAGGTGTCCAAGCCCTGGCACTTTACACCCCTGTTCGTCGAGAGCCCCGGAGTCTCTGCACTGAAGTCAAACCGGAGTCCATGGCCAGAGCTCTATGTGTGCAATCCGGCACAGGGTACGTGCCACAGTTGCCTTCATTCCGCCAGTCTGGGTTTCTGATCAATAGCCTTCAGTAGTAGGACTTCAGCATTACTATTTTGCCAAGATCGTCCTGGCCATTTATGACCCCCGGCTCTCAAAGTTGAGTTTCGGATCGTTGCGTTTGAGAAGGGACTCTGAAGTATGCCTTTTTCCCCCCCCCCTCTGTCCACCCTCATCAGTAATGGACACTACCTGACCCAGGCTGACGCGTTCTCCGCTCGCAGTCCATGGTCCGCGAATGTCTTCGAATGGTGGTCGGTCTAGCGGTCAGCAATGACCATGTTCAGACCGCAATGTTTCAGGGGTCCCATATTCTTTCTGCATGTGAGTTGTTCCCTTCCCATGACTTAATGTGCGTTGGCCCTCATCGGAACACAGGCGGCATGTATCTGAACAATCGAGAGGAGCAGGAAGCCGCTGTCAGCTTCCTGGAACAGATGACCCGGCGCATGGGTTGGCAGACTTCACATATCATTCGCGGCCTCAAGGAACAGTGGCAAATCTGAACACAAAGGCTGTTGAGCCTGACAAGCTTAACGATTGGAGATCTACGATCTCTATCCTCGACATCCCCTCAAGGCAAGTAGTATGCTCGAATGCGGTTTTCTCAGCCCCAAACGTCTTCCTTCCATTTCCCCGTCCTCTTAAGCCTTTCAGTCCAGCTCTTAACCTCAAAATCAGTCCATCCCTTAATCTCCCTCATCGCCTCACCCAAGCTAAACCCAACTTCTCTTGCCATCGAAGCACGGCCACAAATGTAGAAGCTCGCGCTTTTCTCCTCGATCAGGCTGATCACTTCCCCGCCGTATTCTCGCACACACTGCTGCACGTGTACTTTGTCTTGTCCCTGCATTCGGGAAAAAGCTGTGAAGATCTTGAATACCTCTTTTCCAACAGTGGCTTGGGTTTGTTCCAGCTCTTCACGATAGATAAAATCCTCTTGCGGCCGACGACAGCCGAAGAACAGAATCATCTGGCCAATGGGTTTCCCAATGGCGTGCAGTTTTGCGCGCTCTGCGATGAAAGCCCGGAACGGGGCTATTCCCGTCCCCGCCGCAACCATAACGATAGGACAGCTGGACTGGATAGGAAGTTTGAACTTGCTTTTGCGGACGTGGGCGAAGAGTTTGGTGCCTTGGAGGAGGTTGGAGGGACCGGAGAGGTCGTAATGCTGGCGAATAGACTTCCCGGTCTGCATTTCCGCAGCGACCAACGCAGGATGTGACTGCGAGAGTGCAAGAAGATAATTGGAAGTGACGCCATGGATCTTCTGTTCGCGGTTCTCAGGTACATAGTCTGTTGCGACCAGGGCAGTTATAGCGGCCCTTCGAGGACTGAGCACGCTGCTTGACGAGATCGAGTAATAGCGTGGTTGCATCAGAGGCAAAGCCTCTATCAAGTAAGGCAGAGGCAGCTTGGCCCATGGTTCGTCTGGGCTGGTGAACTTGAGGAGACGACCAAATGTTAGGTGATTCTTCCTGAGATACGACAAGTAGAAGTCCTTGTCTTGGCCGAGTTTGAGAACGCGCGATCTTGCATAGGGGGTCGGGGCAAATGATGCAAGTCCCTGAATGGTGCTCCGTGAGACCGGGGCGCATATCTCAAGATATCGGTGGAAGAGAGCGCGAATTGTGGTAGGGGTTGGAATTTGGAGCTTGGTCTCAGCGTCGACGGATTTGAGGCTTATGGGAGTGTCTTGACGATCATGAAGTTGAAGGACTGTAAGAAGGATTTTCACTTCTGATTCCGGGTTTGTAGGCCAGATGGCAAGATGATCGCCTGTTTTGTAGTGGATCTCTGGGTGCTCCGCCAGGTCGAGCTCCATGTGGACGCAATTTCTCTCGGAAGATTGGAAAAGTTCTCGTGGATTTGTGATTGACAGCGGTCGAATAGGTGAGCACGACATAGCGGCTTTGGGATTGTCTCTAGAGTGGTTGGGTTCGCCGTGATGGAGGTCGATTGGGGTCAGAGAGTCGTCTTCGGTGACAACAATCGTCGGTTGATACTCGACCACTTGTTCTTCCATGCCCAGTCTTTTCCGGAAGACGCCAAAGAGATCGTCTTTCCAAGCAAGGAAGTCCTCGTCGGTCGAGCGTTCTGCATCATCTGCTTTGCCCACCGGCAGAAAGAGATTCGCACCCTTTCTATTTAGTGCTTGGACCACAACGTCAACCACGCGGTTGTAGTACTTGTAGTTGCTGTTTCCGAGACCAAAGGCAGCGTACTGCAAATTCGGGAGAGTACTCTGGAGCCCATTGCTGATCCAGCCCCAAAAGGCATTGGCGTTATCGCTGGGATCACCCTCGCCGTAGGTTGAGAGGATGAAGATTGCCAATTGCCCATTAGATAGTTGAGTGATTGACTCCGGATCGTAATCCGAAAGATCGGCAGAGAGCGCACCGAGCCCGAACCGCGATTGTACCTCCTTCGCAAGCTGACTGGCGAAGCGTTCTGCTGTCCCGGATTGAGAGCCCCAGAAGATCACAGCTTTCTTGTCGGTCTCGGATAGCGTCTTTGCAATATTGCGCTGGGCTTGGGCTTGCGAGTTTGCAGCACCGTTGCGCTGTTGAGGCCGTTCAAAGTAAATGTGATAGTAAGGATCTGGCTTATCCCACAACGCCCCTCTAGTCAGGTATCCCGTGACAATGACGGCCGCAATGGCCAAAGCCACACAATCTGCGATCGATGTGGGCTGGAGGCTTTGAGCAACGAGTCTGATGAGCTGCGGAACCGGCGGGATGTCGAGGGCCTGGGAAGCCATGGCGAAGATTGCGAGTCGGAATTCACGGTCAAGTTGGCCACAGGGCGAAGGGCCATTTGGATATAAATGGATTCGTGAGCCTCATCTGAGATATCTGAGGAAAGATGGAGGCGGAGCAATATTGCCTGACAGGGAGTGTGGAATGGGCGAGCAGCGGCTTCTGTGCCACATCTGGCTGTGTCTAGAGACTCGACAGACAGAATTGGGCAGCCCGTTCCATGGTGTTAGAGAGAGGTCTTGATTGGACAAGTGTCACCGAATGCCTGATGATTGAGTTTGCTTAGGAGCAGTTTGATCCGGCGAAAAATTTCCTCTTGGGATCTTGGTTGATGTGGCGGACTGAATCGATCGCAGGAACCGAAGCAGCCGCAGGCGAGTTCGACCATCATCAAATCCCCCTCGCCCCTTCGATTCTCCGGCATCCACCATCGATGACTTGGCCGCGGCGAAAGATTTCCATTCCAAGATACTCTAGAATTTCGCTAGAAATTGTCTTCTCCGTCTTGACACAGAATGGACCTTATTCGAAAGTGCGCCGTACTGGAGATGGCGGGGCACGCGGTGGTCGACCAGGAGAAGATAAATATGAAGGAACAAGGCGCGTTGTTGGATGTCGACGTCGCGGATGGTCCTGGTTGAGTTGACTTGGTTCAGCTTCCATACACCATCATCTCCATCCTCAGAAAGCTCCAGTATGTACACGATGCCTGCCGCCCCTTATGCAGTCCTCCTGGGGACTTGCTGCGTCCTTTATTTCCTGGTCTATCCGGCAATCGTCTACTTTCGAGACCCCAAAGGTGAGCCAGTAATCACATCTGGATTTGGAGCCCGTTGCCAACTTACAGAGTAGGTCTTCGAAAATTTCCAACCATGACACCACTGTCTGGCATCTCATCCGTGCCGTTCATGTTGCTGGCACACACCGGTGCTCGATCGGCTCGCTTGGTCGAGCTCCACACGAAGCACCCTGTCATCCGCACTGGGCCGACTACATTGTCATATTCGGACCCTCGAGCAATCAAGGATATCTACGGGCACAACACAAAGTGCACCAAGGATGGCTCCTATATCATCACTGCTGGCTCGCACTTCCACCTCGCCGACGTCATCGATAAGCCGGATCACGCGAGGAAACGCAAGGTTCTTTCGTCGGCGTACGCCTTGAAGAACTTGGAAGGCTGGGAACACAAGGTTGCAGACAAGACAGCCCGCATGATTGCACATTTCGACAAGTGCTGTACAGCTCCATTGAAACCCGGAAGACTCCCGGAGCCACATGAATTGAATGTGGATTACCGAGAGTGGACTAATTACTTTACACTGGACGCTATTGCCGACATTGGCTTGTCGGAAAGACTAAGGTTTCTCGACAATGGCCGCGATCGAATCACCGGCCGCAGAACTGATGGTACCAAATACCAGTGTAATTTCCGGGAGTGCCTATATCAAAATGCTCGAAAGCAATCACTCCTGATCTGGCCTTACAAGTGGTATCCATTGGTCAACAAGCTATCCAACATGATTCCCTTCTATGGGCGTATGGGGAAGCTTGCTAGGGACTGGGACGGGATTCCTCTCGAGCTTGCTCACCGCCGACTGGAGAGATATCGCCGGGGGGAGAAGCTAGACGACTTCTTCCAGGCACTGATGGAGGACAAGAACGGACACCCCAACAACCTAGAATGGGGCGAGATTGTCGCGGAAGTGAGTATCATGATGAACGCAGGAAGTGCCACAACTGCAATTGCAATGGCGAATGTCATGTATCAACTGCTTAAGAATCCTAGAGTGATGAAAAGGCTGGTGGAAGAGCTTGATGCTGCACTCGACGACGAATACATGCAGGCCGTGGTTCCCTACGATCGGGTGAAGCATCTGCCATACCTGAGAGCTTGTTTGGACGAGTCGTTGCGACTATTTCCACCAACTCCTCACGCACTTCCCCGTGAGACTCCCCCGGAAGGTCTCAGCATCTTGGACGACTATATTCCTGGTGGGGTCTCGGTGGGCATGTCGGCCCTTGTCGCTCACAGAAATGAAGAGCAGTTCCCTCAGGCCGACAAGTATATCCCTGAAAGGTGGCTCGGCGAAGAAGGCAAGAATCTTCAACCCTACTTCCTTGCCTTCTCTGCCGGTGCTCGGGGATGCATTGGTCGTAACATCTCTTACTTGGAGCAAGCGGTGGTATTGGCATCAATGCTCCGTAGATACGAGTTTGCACTACCTCATGCACACTGGGAGATCGAGAGGCTGGAGACCATGAACTGGCTGTTAGGGGAGATGCCCGTCAAGGTCTGGAGGCGAGAGCCGAAATCTACCTGACAAATCTCGCAGCGAGTTACACTGTCCCATAGACCATTCTGTATCCATTGGAGGATAATAGAAAGATTGAGAGTCGTCAATCAGGGGCAAGATTTGCTCTTGCTGTCCGAGTGTCATCCCTCATCCTTAGTTATTCGCGCCAACATGACCATGTTAATCCCGCATCGTGCTGAAGGAAACCCAGATTCTCTTCGAACAGTCTACAGACTGTCTTCCTAAGGCAATCTATGTCAGAGAAATATAGATAGAATTTCTGTAAATTCCGCGGAGAGCTGCCGGGTTGAGGCGCCGAAACTTGTTGTGAACCCATATTCTCCTACCCATTCATAGCGGTCATTACAGGACCTCGCGATGATCTAGAGTGAAAAGAAGGCAAGACATGGCCTTGCCGAAGGTCACCTTCCGATGGGCAGATGTCGATGCGGACAAGCTGTGCCGGAAGGCCACCTCTTGGGAAAGGATTTCCCATCCACCCGTCTCAAAAGAGCCATCTTTCTCCGTGTTGTTGCGCGCGGCGAATTCCAGCTGGGGAATGGACTGGCTTGACCATCTGCCGCCTCCACCCCATGGGGTTTTTGGGACCCATCTTTCTCCGCCGGAGTGCTTTGGGTGCGCGCTGGTGGTGCGACCACTGTAGACGATAACGCTGGACTTAGGGGAGGATCATAATAGTCTCGAGCCGTGAAAACCATGGAAACAAAAAGTATTAAAGGATCGCAAATTCTCTTCAAGAGACATGTCTCCTCGTCGGCTCAACGATCACATATCGTGAGGCCGGTTCTCCAGCACTCTATCTCAGATCTTCGACTCTCTGTCTCGTCCTGTACCAGACCAACTCTCCTGTTTCCAGCATGTCCGAAAAGTCGGTCGAGAAATATGCTGCCGACCAAGTCGAGGCGGTCGATCGCAGGAAGAGCACTTCGGAAGAAGTCACCGAACTCAATGGCATCGAGGCAACTGCAGCATCCAAAGCGGCATGGCTATTCTCCGTTACCGTCTCGGTGGGAGGTTTCCTTTTCGGTAGGTGCCTACGTGATCGTTTCGCGAGACATCATTTCGAACTAATACCCGATCCAGGATACGACACTGGCTACATCTCCTCGGTCCTCGTCTCAATTGGAAAGGCGCTCGGCCATCAACTGAGCTCGCATGAGCAAGAACTCGTCACATCCTTGACCAGCGGAGGAGCCCTGGTGGGAGCTGTGTTTGCTGGCCTTATAGCTGATCGTTTCGGCCGCAAATGGCCTATCTGGAGTGCCTGTCTGCTCTTCGTGATTGGGACTGTCCTCCAGACCTGCGCCTATCATCTGGTCCAGTTCGCAGTTGGCCGTTTTGTAGTTGGCCTGGGGGTCGGTTCCGCGGCGATGGTTTGCCCGCTTTACAGTAAGTTGTCAGAGGTACAGAGTGCACAATGCTAACAGTGGAGTAGTCGGCGAACTAGCACCTGCCAAATATCGGGGCCGAATGATCGCCTTCAACAACATGAGCGTCACCTTTGGCCAACTAATTGCTTCTGCTATCGGAGCAGGCTTTCAGCACGTCCATGGTGAGGGTTGGCGAGCAACTGTTGCCATTGGAGCCGCACCTCCCATTGCCCTTGCTGGGCTGCTTCTGCTGTGCCCAGAGTCTCCCCGCCAGTTAGTCTCGCATAGAAAATACGAGGCTGCAGAGGCTGTCTTACTGCAAATTTATCCAACCTCCACTAGCGACCAACGGCAGGCCAAGATCAAGTCCATCGAATTGTCGCTCCAGGAAGCAACCATGGCCATGTCCGAGGACTCGCTCTGGGCAACGCTCAAGCGTATCTTCACCACTCCAGCAACTGGGCGGGCTGTCCTTACCGCTTGCATTGTTATGGCCATTAGCCAGCTAGGCGGTTTCAATACTGTAAGTGCTCCTCTTGTGCTGCCAGAACAGTAATCCGTTCCTGACTTTAGTAAATTACAGCTCATGTACTATGCTGCCACGCTTTTCAAGATCGTGGGTTTTACCAATGCTACAGCGGTCGCCATCACCGTCTCTGGCACCAACTTCGTCTTCTCGATCGTCAATCTCGTTCTTGTCGACAAGTTTGGCCGCCGGGCGCTCCTTACCGTCACTGTTCTTGGTATGTCGATCTGCATGATGATTGCCGCCGTCTCGTTCCACTACATCCCCATCAACAAGGACCTAGTTGTGGAATCCGACCATATCGGTTGGCCGGCAACTCTCGTGCTCGTTGCCATCATCGTATACGTGGCGTGCTTTTCGTCTGGAGTGGCTACGATCGCGTGGATCGGGACTGAGTTGATTCCTCTCGAAGTCCGAGCCATTGGAACCATGCTGGTAAGTTCCTGCTCTGTCCAATCGTCCGCCCTGCATCAAGCGGCTGATACCCTTGGGCTCAGAATACCGTGACGTGCTGGAGCACCAACATCATCATTGCTTCCACGTTTCTTTCCATCATGAAAAGCGCGAGACCGGTTGGCACCTTCGGCTTGTATTCAGCAATATGTTTCGTGGGCTGGCTGTTCATTATTTTCTGCTACCCAGAGTGCAAGGGCATGCCGCTGGAGACGGTGCGAGAGGTTTTCAAGACCGGATTTGGCGTCAGATATTCAAAACGGTGGCAGAGGGAGCACAAACATCTCGCCAAGGTCAGCGCACATACTTCCTTCGGCCATTAGCTAGGCCCTCTAGGCTCGGTAGGTATATAAATCATGATGGATGAGGGCGCGTGTTGCGCGTGTCACGATACCCAGTAAAGAGATGTGGTGCAGAGATGTTGACACTAGCCTAATTAGGCTAGGGAGGATGGGTCTTGTCACTGCGGCAACCTGTTTGACGCTGTCACCTTTTCAAACCCATCGGTGCCACTCCAGACATCGAGTGCTCAGTGCCCAGTATCGGGTAGATCTTCCTTAATTATCCAAACTAATGGGCCACATGCTGCGCAGGGTCTTCACACATGTAGAGAGGCCATGAGAAAACGATAATTGTATAATGCTTGGATGCGTTCATTCGTTAATAATTGACCTTGGTGGCGGTGTCATCTGTGACAAGTCCGTCTGGTGAGGGTGCCCACGACCTCTCGTTCCCTCTACATCATGCCGCACGCTTTCTCGAACTAAGTTTTTGCTCCCTTCATTTCGCCGATCTTCTTCATCAACACGCTCGTATCCGAAAATACTCTCAGCAATTCCACCTTCAGCTCCCCAGCGTTGTCCTCACTCGCTGTGATCCACGTGGCAAAGTCCGTTGTCACCTCCTCCCCAGTCTTCAAGATGCTCGTTAATTTCCCTGTGAACACCGTCTCCGTCTTCCCTTCCGGTGGAGAGGGCATCATGAAGACACGGTCGAGGTAATGTTGCAGATCCACAATGGGCCCATTGGTGCGGTTGATCATGTCGTCGTGCAGTTTTCTCAAGGCTGCTTCGCCCGTGGAAGGCTCAGGGGCGACGTGCAGGGTACCATCTGAGTGGAAGGCGGTGGCATATTTGTAATCGGTCGAGGGCTGGTCCCAGGATTTGAGGATTGTGAGGATGACATTAAGGACGGGATCGGGGATAGAAGAGGCATTGGCGAAGGTGTAGGGGTCGCGGTTGTACATTATGAGTAGAGCACTGTTGGTCTGAATGCGTTCGTGGACCGGTCTGACGCGACTGGGGACAGTGCTTTTGTCAAGGAGTTTGAGCAGAGGTTGACAACGGCCAAGGGGTCGATGTCGTTGACTTTAAAGCATTTCGACCTTGGAAGTTGGCCTGAACTTCTCCTCATCTCGCTTGGAAAGCGCAACGCCGACCAATGCTAGAGACGCACGTCTTGGTCAGGCGCGGTGTGACTTTGCATTGTACGTACAGGGCCCTCGGCAGACTGGAGGTGCCACACACAATGTGTAGCTGACTGTTCTACCGCAAGACCCGTTGTCGATTGAAGATTCAATTGACGTCAGCTGAGTTGCGGGCTTGAACAATTTGGAGAGATTCTCCTGACTGCAATGCCTTGTCCAGCCTTATTGACATCGAGAAGTCCGAAACGGATTGCCCAAGGAACCTTTTCATTCATTTGGTCTGCCCCTCATAGCCCAAAGCAAAAAAAAACGAAATAGCACCGTCAGACCAAACAGTCTTCGTGGCAAACATAAAGTCGTCTCGCTGCTAGATTGGGCGTGACCTTCATTCATAAGCATTATTTCGTTTACCTTCGGAGATAGTGGTGCTCTATCCTTGATCCAAACTACTGTCAATATGGCACAGCAGCGGCCTCGGCATTATTGAGCACTCTCAAGCTACATATTCCGATGCAGTGGTAGCGGTCGGGACCGTGAGAGGCAGAACGACAAGGGTGACAACCCAGGAAAACAGATGAGCACATGCCCAGAACTGCACCACTCCATCTCGGGAAGCACATCCTCGACATGCGGCGGCACGCACGAAGACTAACGGTCGAGGGAACCCCGCCGCTTAGCAATATTTTATTAATATACGAGGTCCAGGCGTGGCTCGATTGGACGAACAAACACGAGAAAGGTCAAGTCGCGGCCTCATGACCACCTTGACGTTTGTTGCTCTTACTAACCTCGCTTGGTACGATGAGCACATTACCAGGTATCCAAGTTGGTCTTCATTCTCCTCTCCAGCCCTCACAGTGAACTCAGACACAGAGTCCATGTCGGGGGAGGGTTCCTGTGACTGGTCAGGGAGAGAGGGGCAGCGCTGGCAGTCTTAATTTAAGCAGGACAAGTTCTTGAACCCTTCGGTTGCTGGAGGGTTCTAAAATGGGTTACCAAGAGAGACTCGAATAGTTTGAATAGGTTGGAAACCGTGTCAAGTGAGATAAGAGGAAGGGGAGAAAGAGAAGGAAAAAAAAAGACAAATCATGTTGGTATCATGTCTATAGCCATTCACCCGACTCGGCCTTCGTTTCATCGTCACCGTCCTGACATCGAGATAAACGCTTGCCAGCCCGGAGCCCTAACCTCGCTGTCGCACCATGTTCACACCTTCTCGACATTGACTGAACGTCTCTTCTCCATCGCTTCAAATGTCTCAATATCATTGATGTCTCCGATGATGGTTCCCCGTCCCTCGTCGACGTAGCCAATCTTGGTCTCACGGAATCCGTCCAACTCTTTCTTGCAGACCGTATTCAAGTAGATGGGGAAGATGAAGCTAACAAAAAACCCGGCCAACGGCACGCACATGGCCTTGTGATAGGTCATGTGGTCAGCCGCAAGACCTGTGAGAGCGGGGAACAAGGCACCGCCCGAGACGCTCGCCACAATCCAGGATGATCCTCTCTTGGTGTGTCGTCCCAATCCACGGATGGAGAGAGTAAAGATGGTCGGGAAGATGCAGGACTCAAAGAAGAGCACCAAGGAGAGGAATGCAACACCCGCTTCTCCTGAGATACCTATCGCCAATGAAATGAAAACCATGATCATGGTCATGAACAGCATGAGAATCAGACGTGGCTTGACGAACATGAACAATCCCGCCGCAGCAAATCGACCAATGGCGAACAGTGATTGACCGATGGCATAGCGGTCAGAAGCCGCAGCCTCGGAGAGTCCAGCAGATTCCTGAGAGTATCTGATGAACTGGGAAGCAACTGCGACTTGGGCGCCAACGTATGTAAATTGTGCAGCGACCCCGAAGAACAGCTTGTATTGCTTCGAGAGTGGCTTCTCTTGGTATCCAGTCAAGTCAGAGCATTGCTCCGCCTGAAGAGCCATGTCGGCATCTGTGACCTCCGGGAGAGGGCTGAAGAAGAAGACGACTGCAAGACAGAAGACGAAGGCTGCAATGCCTACGTAAGTCCATTGGACGTGTGATAGGTCGGTCGCATGTGTATCCTTGAAGAAAACACGAGAAGCCAGAAGAGGTGCCACAACAGACCCGACAGCCTGGAAAGACTGTGAGAGCTCAAGACGGAACTCGGACAATCTTGGGGGTCCGCAAGTCGCGATGAAGGGGTTGGCAGATGTCTCCAGCGTAGAAAGGCCAGACCCTACGATGAACAGAGAACCACAGAAGCCGCCAAAGGATTTGTACACTGCCGAGGGCCAAAACATCAGGGCGCCGACGCCATAGATGCATAGACCGGTGATGAAGGTCCAGCGACTGCAAAGATATGTTAGTCTCTACTGATCTTGACATAGCCACAAACAACTCTTTCAAAGGTGAAACAGTCGTTCTGGAAGGAGGACTTACTAGCCAAATCTGCGGACAATCCAGCCAGAATATGTCAGAGGTCCAATGAAATACGCTCCGAAATATGCTCCTTGAAGACCACCTGCCTTAGCAGCAGTGATGTTGAGTGATGTTTGGAACTTGGCGTTCAGCACATCGAGGAGGCCATATGCGAAGCCCCACAGGAAGAAGAGGATGGTGACTAGAGTGATAGGGAAGATAGATTGTCTGACAGTAAGAGCCGAGGCGCCGGTCAAGCCCCTGTTGGCCACGCTCTTGCGTTGCTGGCTCGCCATTGCCTCAGCATTGGACGGTTGACGCTCGACCGAGTCGTGGTCCATGATGGTGATGGATGTATTGGTACTTCCAATGACAGTATGGTACGGTTTTCGGTTTGTATAACCGAGACACGTAGAGGGAGTATCGAGCAGCTCTGAAAACAGTCACCGGACGAACAGATAGGCAGTAGAGATATATGTAGCTCGAAGGCGGAGAAAGTGAACGAGGGAGAAGTCAATCACGAATGGTCTCGTAAAACCTTGATGATCGAGAATCTGGTAAGGGAACGAATGCTGTTGATCGTGATGGATGGGCAGAGTTGCTGGGAGCATGAGTGGCCATCTTATATACATCCCCGCGAGGGCCATATCTATCGTTCGTTGAGAGAATTAACCTTCTGTCAGAGCTTCGCAAGAGCTCTGGGTTGGATGCCTCTAGAGCATCTCAGCGCCGGTGTTGGTTTCCTGTGGAGCAGACTTAATGCGAGCGCATGACAAGAAATCGAGTTTGGCCGACCAGCCTCTTGGGCGAACCTGGCCTGTTCCAGCGAGGTTGTCTGCAAATCGCTCCATATCGGTGACCATTATGTCGTGTCCCAGACCGGAGAAGTGGAGAAGTCGACGATTCCTCGAACCACGAGAGTTGCCCAGCCTGTTCCCTTCTCAGGTCAATTCGAGCGAGCCATGTTGATTGGGTGGAAGCTGCAGGACAGACCCAGGCTACCGACCGGAACGGCGAAACTATTCCCCTGCTTCAGTGGGCTTCGGCCCTTTTCCAAACTCGAGTTTCCCCGAAACCACACCGCATGCTCGTGTAGCTTCTCTTGCTCCTCAAGACATTGCACAAGCTGGCGAGCGATTTGTCCAATAAGAGGTCGCAGACTAGCTACGAGGAACTCCACACCAATTAATGGACGACCTCCTCGAGACTTCATTGCGGACCTCAGCCCATGGGGCGTCGCTTGGCTGTCGGGCTTGGAGACCGACCAACGCCGGAGCAGGAGCGAGACAGAGCACAATCTGTGGCGACCAAGGTCTCCTTCGGCCATTATCTGCAGGAATTTGCAACGGCGTCTAGACTGTAGGGCGACAGAATACTTAAGAGGGGCCACAGGACGATGATTTCGCGATGCTGTACTCGTCTCACAAGCATATGCCACCACCCGGACACCAGCTTTCAAGCCACTCGTGCATCGACTTGCCATTACGGCATCCCGCTACAGAAGGTTCTTGCCGGCCTGAATGAGGGTTTCAAACGATAAGGGGACATGAGACTTGCCAACTGCGTCATTATGACTATCGAAATGATGGAGCGCGCCAGATTATTGAACTCCGCCCGGGGCTCCATCCGCAGGCCTGAAAGGCGCTAATATGATTGCTAGAAGGCGCCTAGAAGGAGTCTCGAAGAAGTTTGTGGAGAACCAAGACCCTTACTGGGATAAAGGAAGACTCTGTCGCTGTCGACATTCTGATTCGTCCCTGGTAACCAGGCGGTGTTTGATTTCTGCAGTACCTGCTTTGCGGGTGCAGCAAGACTGAGGACGCAGAGTATTAACGTCTGCAGGCTCGCATAGAGTGGGGTTTCGTTTTCATCGGCCCATAGCCATGCGCATCCAATGTTGTTTGATTGGAGCGAGACTTAGAGGTCCCTGAAGAAGTTGTCCATTCCGAGCGGGGCGAGGGGTTGCATCGCGCCACTGAAGGCGTTGGCGGCGCGAGATATCTCAAATCGATAGGAGCTGGAAGAGGGATGTCCCTGATAGTTGTATGGTGCACTTGAGCTGGGGTCGAATCATTGAGATGAGAGGAGGCAATGTGTTGCTTAGAGTTAAGACTCTTTCCATCTCTGGTGAGCCGCTTTAGACCGGATTGGTAACAAGGTTGGCGCAATATGCGATAGACTGACCGACTGAGTCCATACAAGCGTAGAGTCGCAGGCGATGGGTGTGATCCGCAGAACGTGAGCGGACTTGTTGAAAGACCTACTCATCCTTATGTCTTTTTTGATTTCTTTGTTAGGCGGCTGTCTTCCTCGTCCGTGCTCTTCCTCTTTGGCTTTTCCTGCAACATGTCTTCTTTTGGGGCAATGAATGCCTGTTCTCGCTGCCGTTGCTTCTCTTCCTTCTTTTCTCTCTGCTTTTCGTGCCGTTCCTGTTCTCGGGCCCTCTCTTTGGCCTGCTTAGCAAGAAAATATTCACCGCTCTCGATCTGCAGATCAATTTTGCTCTTCTCCTGCGGTGGCGGGAAGGGTGTGTAGACCTTCTTGGATTTGTCAGTGACCTTGTGGGGAATCCGTCTCTTGCTCAGAGTCTTCTTCTTGAAGTTGGGTAAGAACCTATCCCAGCTTTCATTCTTCAGAGCAGGGTCTTTCGACAGCTCCCGCTTGATCATAAGTTCTTTGACATGGTATATAGGATGGATGTTGTTCATGCAATCTTCAACAACTCTTCTCACTTCTTTAAGACCTTTGTAGCCGCCCATAGCGCTGACGGTGTTTCCCTGGACGAGGAGGTAAGTATTGGTGAGGAGTTCGAGAGCCTTCAGTGTAGAGCCATTCGGTCCAAGAAGGCGCTGACGGCGTTTGACGAATCTCTCCTTGTTGCGGACCAGATTTCTGATTTTGATGACATCGCAGGCCATGTCGTCCTGGAGGATCTTTATGGCCTAGGACACCTGTTAGACCTGATGGTATTTGCCTAAAGCAACTTACTTGCGGAGCAGGTACACTCCGGGCCAGCAACTTGATGAGGTCTCGGGCATCGAGAATTGCGGCCGGGTCAAAGGTTTTCCTGGTGGTACGGACTTCCATGCGACCTTCGACCAAATCGAGTGTGCATGCGATTCCTCTCTTCTCCAATGCTTTCGTGACCAAGGGCCAGGCCTGCTTTAAGTACAATTCCCGGTATTTTGGGAATAGACACACGAAAGACGATTCTTCTGCGAATGTACCGCCGACATTGTGTTCCGGCTTGAATTCTTCAACCTGGGCCAAGTTAGCGAAGGCAAGAGAATGACGAGAAACTCGGACCTTCCACTTGTCTATATCATCCGTGTCCCACGGTTTATCTTTCTTGTGCGTCGAGGGCATGAGTGCGGCTAGCAATTGGTAGTGCAAGGTCGTGCGCGATGTCGCAAAGCAATACCAAATCTGCAAGTCCTGGAGAAATGAAGGCTGCGGAAATTCGCTTGAAAGAATGCCAAGCCAGGACCAAAAAACCTACTTTGACGAGGCTCCGAAAATGCGCAAAGCTGATAGGCTGGAGGCGGATGAGCATTCAAAGGTGTCTACTGGGTAAGCATCTCGGCGAAGAATTCGTCAAGCCGTCAAGGCACCAAACCTTCTCAGCACTCCGTACAAAATGTTTCATGACCACGAAGCTAGCGCACTTCTTTTAAAGTTGACGTAATGAGTTGGATGTCCGCGGACCACCGCTACCTAGCACTGTGTCACTCCTTGAGCCCTGCCCACTCGACTCTAATCATAAGTAATATACATCGCTGACGGCAGAGAAGGGATTCCATATCTTTCTAACAAATATCATCGTCGACGGTACTAGATGCTCCTGCAGCTAGTCACCAAATCCTCACTTTTCGTCATGGCCGTTCTCGCTCCTTCTTGTCCTCCTCTATTTGCTCGAATGCTGTTGCTTATATGCAGGTACCCCGGTTCGAAAGAAGATCACCAATCTCGGAAGGCTCGGTCTATGGATCTATACACACCTTCCAGATCAATCCGCCATTTTGGATGCCACGTGACACTTTTCATACCCAAATCGAATACTGAATGACCGTAAAGTTTGATCTTCTCCGAGAGAGGAGCAGCTTCTGCGCAGACAAGTAACTTTCGTCTTTCAACTCCACTCAGTCATTGTCGTCGTCTCTCCCATCTTTGTCCTTTTCCTTGTCGTCTTTTCCTTTTCTCTCTAACGCTTCTTTCCACCGAGAATTGACCTCTTCGACGGTCACGTTGGGAAAGACAATGTCGAAGACCTCATCATACCAATCGACCGCGTGGCCATCGATACCTTCTTTGATATTCTGTCAATCAACCAATGTTAGCAGGTCTGCTTAACGATAACTCCAAAAAAAAAGCAAGACAGAGAGACATACCTCAGGTAACTCACACCAATCCCCCCAATTATCCTTCGGAAACAGGATCTTTGTGCATCCAGCCCTCCTCGCAGCCACCGTCTTCTCTCTCAGTCCGCCTATCCTGAGTACTTTGCCCGTGACCGTCAACTCGCCTGTCATTGCTAATGCGGGATCGACTTCTTTGTCCATCGCGAGACTCAGCAGAGAAGTTGCCATCGTGATGCCCGCCGAAGGACCATCCTTCTGGACCGCGCCCTCGGGACAGTGAAGGTGGATCTTTGCATGGTCGAAGAACTTATTATCAAGGAATCTCGTTGCCATGACGTGCTTGGCAAAAGAGTATGCGATCGACGTCGACTCTTTCATGACTGGTTTGAGATTTCCCGTGCGCTCGAGTCCAGGTCGACTGGAAGGAGAAAGTGCGGATTCGAGGATCGATTCGACGTATAGAGCTGCGCCGCCCATGCTCGTCCAAGCCAAACCCATTGCTACGCCAGGTGGAGTGGTCTCGTAGAGACGGTCTGCAGTGAAGATGGGTGGCCCGACATAGTCTTTCAAGTTGTCCTTCGTAATCGTAACATGAACAGAGTCTGGAACCTTGAGAGCAACACGAGGTTTTTCGGTTGTTTCCTGGTCGATTGTTTCCGGGGTGTCTTTGACATCCGAATCATCCTTTTTGCTCTCCTCAAGCGCGGCTTTGCCCTCTTCAGTCAGTGCCTCCGCCTCAGGAAAGGCTTCCTCTCCAAGATCTTGAACAATCTTCAGTGCCGATTTGCGGTAGACCTTTTCAATTTGCTTTTTGAGGTTACGTACGCCAGATTCGCGGCAATATTTGTTAATTAACTCCTCTATCGCGGACTCATCCAGTTTGACGTCAACATCCCTTAATCCTGAGATTTCTTTCGCTTGTGGAGCGAGGTATCGGTCTGCGATGGCCTTCTTCTCATCCGCGACGTAACCACTGAGTTCAATCAACTCCATTCGGTCGAGAAGAGGCCGGGGAATGGTGTCGGTCATGTTGGCTGTACAAACAAAAAGGACTTTCGAGAGATCGACGGGGATGTCCATGTAGTGATCTAAGAAACTGGAATTCTGTTCCGGGTCGAGAAGTTCGAGGAGTGCTGATGCCGGATCTCCTTGATGACCGCGGCCAATCTTGTCCACCTCATCAATGAGGATCAGAGGGTTCTCGGTCTGGCATTTCTTGAGCGCTTGGATGATCCTTCCTGGCAAAGCGCCAACGTAGGTCCGGCGGTGACCTTTGATCTCAGCGACATCAGTCAGTCCGCCCACGCTGAAGCGATAGTACTGCCGATTAAGGGCCCGAGCGATCGATTTGCCGATAGACGTCTTTCCCACGCCGGGAGGTCCAACAAAACATAAGATCTTGCCTTCCACTGTCCCACGGAGCTTTCCGACAGCAATAAACTCGAGAATCCTGTCCTTGACATCTTTTAAGCCGTAGTGATCTTCGTCGAGGACAGTCATTGCATTTTTGATGCCAAAATTCTCGGCACTTCTCTGACCCCATGGAATCTGAGTAATCCAATCCAGGTAATTCCTCGTCACATTGAATTCAGATGCCGCAGGCTCTAGATGCGCAAGCTTGTTGAGTTCCTCCTCAAAGACTTTTTTTACGGCTTCAGGCATGGCCAGCTTTTGGGCCTTTTCCCGGAACTTCTCCACTAATTTGTCCTTGCCATCAGATTCGATCCCGAGCTCTCTTCGAATACCCTTCATCTGTTCCATGAGCCAGTATTCTCGCTGACGCTTTTGTATCTTGCTCTCGACGTCTTTTGAAATCTTAGATTGCAACTGTGCGTTCATCAGCTCCTTCTTAAGCACGACAAGCGCCTTGTGCAGCCTTTGAGCAACATCCATGGTTTGGAGGACGTCCTGCAATTCTCCAATCTCACCAGCTGAAACGGCCGCTGCGAAATCAGCTAGCTTGGCTGGCTCTTCAAGCACATTCCCGGCAGACTGCGAGACACTGAAGTCGGAGATCTGATCTCGAAATAGTTGATTAAGGCTGGCGACTTCTTTAAACACACTCACAATCTCTGATGTCAAGGCCTTGATTTCGCCGCTCTTCTTGTCAAAGGGCATTTCCGTCAGATTCTCCACATTGACTAATGAAACCGGGAATTTGCGTAGGAACGAAGTAGGTTCGTAAACACTCAGTTGGGCGTGCTGCTCCTTGTTCGGCTCCTCAAAGCTTGCAACAACATCGCCCTTGTTGTCGGCGCCGTCTGATTTTGGTTTTCCTTCCTTGGCAGACTGCACTTCAACAACCGAAGCCCCCTCTCCTGTCGTTGACGGGGGCATCAATGCAGTCATTCGGATCCTCCGGTGAGGATATAAAACCGCAGTCAGGCTGTGTTCATCCCCATGCACCGGAAACGCACTCGTGATCTGGGCGAAGACACCAACGTCGTGAACGTCATCCATTTTCTCAATAATGTCCTTGTCGGCAGCGTCATCCTTGAAGAGAAACGCTCCCACGTAAGGTTGTCCTCTCCTCATCATCTCCGTTATTGCGGCAGCAACGTTGGGGTCTCGGATGGTGATCGCCTTGTAGAAGCCTGGGAAAAGAGGGCGTTTTGCGATTGGGATGGCCATGACCTGTGGATACGTCTCTGGAATGGTGGGTTTGGATATCTGTGTGCTCCGCCGCCCACGCCTACTGCCATCACCTCCACTACCGGAGGTTTGCCCAGTCCCTGAGCCAGAGTCGCTGCTGCTCCCCCCTGCAGCCACGGGTTTGCCATCGCTTGCAGACTGGGGTATAGGCTGCGGTTCGGTAGGGGTTTTCTTGGATTCAGCAGCATCTTCCGTCCGCGGTGCTTCGTCTAGCTCATTCCCTACTTTTTTTGCCTTTGACTCAACTTCTTCTTTTTGAGGCGGCGAATCATCTTCCGGCGGCTTGTCTTTCCTTCGAGCAGGATGAGAAGTGAACTGGCGTATTTGTAATCCTTGATGAGCAGCGATGGGCAGGTAATTAGACGGGCTCAGGGAGGTCGCGGAGGTCGATAATGGATGTCTCTGTAGAAGCTGTCGCCTGCAGTCCCTACAGATGTGGCGAGGATTGGCCCGGAGTGCAGTCCTCCATGGTAACGTTTGGCCGCGAAGCATGCTCTGGCAGCAGCTATCCGCTTCTACCCAGGTTCGAACGGCAAGGAACTGCTCCAAGATAGGAGAATTAGAGAAAAGTAGAAGCCGCGGGTCGGATGCAAGCCACTCAGAGGAAAGGAGAAAGGCGGAACGGAAGAGAAGAAGAGCAAAAGCTGAAGGCAACGGCGTACTGCGAATACTCTACTTCGCATGACTTTTGATATCATTGTATCAGTTGTGCTAGAAGCGGCAACTCAGCCGAGGCAAAAGCCGAAAAGTGCCTGGAAGTTTCGAGGCCAGACCATTCACATCAAACTCATCTTCAGCCATCCTGCAACCTCGACGATCTGGCGCGACTGAACGACTCGATGCACATATAAAGGCCGTGCTGATATATCTGCAGACACAATCTCCCCCATGAGTGCCGCAGCAGGGGCAGCCGCTTGGGCTGGTACGGCTCCGCTTCCTATGCGGACGATTTTGAGGACGGTTCAATGTCCTCGACAACGGAACAACCTTACTCGCAAAGCTCAAACAAGGAGATTCTATGACTCCGCCGCTTCGAAACGACCGCTACTACAACGAACGTGTCCAATGTCTCCACGAACCCTGTCAAACCAAGTAAGATCGTTTTCCGCAACCTCGACTGTTCAAGCGACGAAGGACCCTTATGCAACTTTGGGCGTTGGAAAGAATGCCACCGCGTCTGAGATTAAAAAAGCATATTACGCTCTAGCAAAGAAGTATCACCCGGATACGAACAAAGATCCCAGCGCAAAGGAGAAATTTACAGATGCGCAGTCAGCATATGAGTTACTGAACGATCCTCAGAAAAAGGCCACATACGATCAATATGGTGCCGCAGCCTTTGACCAAGGCTCCGGGTTCCACCCAGGTGCTGCAGGTGAGCATCCATTTGCCGGGGCTACTGGAGGAAACCCTTTTGCGGGATTTGGTGGCGGCTTTGGTGCGGAGTTCAATTTTGAGGATCTGTTTGGCGCATTCACTGGTGGCCGTCGTGGGCGGAGGAGCGGTGGACCTTTCCAAGAAGAAATTCTGGTCGGGGAAAATATCGAAGTCCAGACGAATATATCTTTCATGGATGCCGCCAAAGGTGTTGCTAAGAACATTACCATCACGCCTCTTGTACAGTGCGGCACTTGCAAAGGTGACGGTTTGAAACCAGGTTCTTCAAGACAGCAGTGCAAACGATGTAATGGAACTGGTACGAGAGTGCATGTGATGCAGGCCGGATTTCAGATGGCATCTTCTTGCGACGCTTGTAGTGGGACCGGGGTGGTGATACCAAGGGGATCCGAATGCAATACCTGTGCTGGCAACGGGGTGGTCCGCAAGAGAGAAACTGTCGAGGTCGATATCCCTGGTGGGGTCGAGGATGGAATGCGTCTCCGCGTGGCCGGTGCTGGTGACTATCCGCCAACCGGAATGTCCGCAAATCCCAAAGCCCGAACCCAGCGCGGAGACCTATACGTCTTCATTCGAGTGGCGCCAGATGCCAGATTTAGCCGCAACGGAGCCGATATTCTCCACACTGCGTCGATACCTCTGACGACTGCGCTGCTCGGAGGGGAGGTAGTTGTGCCGACTTTGGACGGGGAGGTCAAAGTCAGGGTTGCGACAGGGACATCCACGAACGACAGAATCACACTGCCCGGGATGGGTATGAAGAGGCTGGGTGGACGTGGTGCTGGTTCTTCTGGCGACCTGAGGGTGGAATTCAAAGTTCAGATGCCTAAATATTTGACCTCCAACCAGCGGACAATCATTGAGATGCTAGCTGATGAAATGGGTGACAAGACGGCAAAGAGGATCATGAACTTGGATAAGTACAAGCAGTGAGTGGGCCGGACGATTTAACGGGCAGAGTGCTGACCGATTTCCTCAGAGAATCCGCTAAAGATAACAAGGCATCGAAACCATCCAACAAGGCCAACGATCACAAGAACGAAGGGTTCCTGAAATCCACCTGGCATCGGCTCACCCATCAGCATGATAATCTGGAACCAGACAAGTCAGGGAAGGAGAATGAAGCAGGAGCACACGACCCGGATGAGCCAAAGAAGGCATCCGGGTCCGGTTGATTTGCTGTGCGTCAAGCATTGAATTCCACAACCCCCATCTCTTACTTTTTACGATTCATAGCGAAGGCGATAGAAGTTGGCCTCCAGCGGGTTCTCAAAAGAGTGTACAGTATCCCATATATATGTATACAGGCGATGTGATCAAGTGGCCCAGTACTACTGTCTAGTGTAGGTATACTAGTGCTGGTTGAAACAGCAAAGCCAACGAGTACAGTATAGCATGTACCAATGAACTGGACGTTAAGCAGGTCTTCCAATCCACACCGGGTCGGCGGGGACGTTGGCTGAGGGGTGAAGGTGTAGTCCCCGTATAAAAGGCTGCCTGACCAATATGTACCCAGTACATGTACGAAGCACTGCCGAGTGGGTCTCCGCTCGTTACCCAGCGCGGGACGCAGATCGCTTCGTCCGCGTTGTCCTGCATGTGTTTTGTCTATCTCAGAGTCGCCTCGCACGGCCATCGAACCTCGACTCTTCAAGACCGACTTCTCTTATGTTGACTGTATTTGCCAAATGCTTTAATTATCCCCTTTGTGATTTCCCGATTGTCGCCGTCGCTTTTACCGAATCCACGTCCTTCTATCACCGTCAAGATGGTGCAAGCGCCGATGATATCCTGTCCGCTGAAGACAACATCGGAGGTCAGCTGGATCGAACCTCTCTCTCAGTATATACGCACGAGCTATGGAGACGACCCGAGCAAATATGTTGAAGAGATTGGAACTCTGAACAGATTACGGCAAGACATGAGAGGGGCTGGTGCCGATTCGGCATCTGGAAGGGACTTGCTTTATAGATACTATGGACAACTCGAACTTCTGGACCTCCGGTTCCCCATCGACGAAGCACACATCAAGATCTCTTTTCAGTGGTTTGACGCTTTCACGCGCGCCTCCACATCACAGTATTCGCTGGCCTTCGAGAAGGCCTCCGTCATATTCAACATAGCCGCTGTTTTGTCCTGCCATGCGGCCGCCCAGAATCGTTCAGAGGACAAGGACCTCAAGACAGCGTATCATTCCTTCCAAGCGTCTGCCGGCATGTTCACTTACATCAACGAAAATTTCCTCCATGCGCCTTCCACTGATTTGAATCGAGAGACCATTAAAACCCTCATCAATATTGTTTTAGGCCAAGCGCAGGAGGTGTTCATGGAAAAACAAGTTCGGGACGGAAAGAAGCCAGCACTGCTGGCTAAACTCGCTGCGCAAGCGCAGTTCCTATACGGCCAGGCAAAAGAGGGCCTCGAATCCGACCATGCGCGAGGGGTATTCGAGTCTTCCTGGTTGAAGCTGATTCAAATCAAAGCACTACACTTCTCTTCGCTAGCAGAGTACTATCAGGCATTAGCTGAGGAGGAGACCAACCACCAAGGATCTGCGGTCGCGCGATTACAGCTGGCGGAGAAGTCGAGCAAGCAGGCCTACTCACTTGCAAAGGCCTTTCCATCATCGCCGTCCTCTGCTTCAAATCTCGGGTCCGACACCGCCCCAACCATACAGTCAATTACACGAAGGCAGATGGAGAGTGTACAAGAGAAGTTGGCATCTTCAGTCAAAGACAACGACTTCATATATCATCAGACGGTGCCGGCAGAAGCGTCTTTGTCCCCTGTGACAAAAGTTCCAGCGGCCAAAGCCATCCCCCTCTCCGAGTTATATCAAGGGCAAGATATTCAAAGGATCATCGGGCCGGACATTTTCCAGAAAATTGTGCCCATGTCGGTCACAGAATCGGCCAGCATGTACGACGAAGAGAAGGCGAAACTGATCCGATCCGAAGCGGAGAAGGTTGAACAAGCAAATGGAGAGATGGCAGCGAGTCTCGATTACCTCAAGCTTCCCAATAGTCTCAATGTCTTGAAAGGCGGACTGGAACAGGAAATGGGCGTAGATAGGGAGTTCGAACAATGGTGTCAAGAACTGGCGAACCACCAGCCATTTACCTCGGCCTTTGAACAGCTCCAAAAAGACAAGCTGACGGTTTTGGAAAGTTTGGCCAAGAGCACCAAACAACTTGACATGGAGGAGAGCGTCTGCGAAAAGATGAGATCCAAGTATGGAGCAGATTGGACCCAACAACCGAGTTCCAGGTTGACGTCAACGTTGAGAGCCGATATTAAAAGCTATCGCGACACAGTGGACGAGGCTGGCAACAGTGACGCGCAGCTGTTTTCGACAGCTCGGCAGTACGAAAGTGATTTTGAAGAGATGCGGAATGCAGGTGAACAAGGCGAGGCAGACGTTCTCTATCAACAAGCGTTAATCAAGGCTGGGTCTGGCACGAAGAACAAGACCAGAGACGCAGATGAAGGCACCCTCCTTGACGAAGATTATGGGGAGGGAGGCTTGTCCGTTGCAGACCAGATCGCCAAAGTCGAAGATCTTCTGAGGAAACTCAATCTTGTGAAACGCGAGCGAATGCAAGTTCTGAAAGATCTGAAGGAGAAAGTTCACACTGACGATATATCAAATGTGCTCATCCTGAACAAGAAGGCCATTGCAAACCAAGAAAATCAGTTGTTCCAGGCCGAGCTCGAGAAATTCCGGTCTCACCAAAATCGGCTCATCTCGACCGTCCACAAGCAATCTTCGTTGCTCAAAGAATTGACGAAGACATATGGCGACTTGCTGCAAGACAAACGAGTTCGTTCAGACCAGCAGAGGTACGACGCCGTACAGAAGAGCAAGAACAGTGTGATGAACAAATATCGGAGAATATTCAACGCGCACGAGGATCTGATACAGGGGCTTATGCGTGCACAAGGCTTCTATAGTGAAATGAAGGAAAGCGTCGACAGTCTGGAGAAGAATGTTGATTCTTTTGTGAGCAATCGGAGAGCAGAGGGAGCTCAACTACTTCACCAGATTGAGCAGACCAAAAACAGTTCGGCCGATGGTCAAGCTGCTGCCGAGCAAAGACGAATGCAGGAATTGATGAATCGCTTGTCTATGGAACCCAAGTCAACGTCGCCTTCACAATCAGAGCCTTCAGTTTTGCCTCCTCTACCGCCGATTAACCCATCAAGATCGCCCGCACCTCTTTCGCCAACACACCCCACGACAAACGCCGACCCACGCTTTACGATTCCTCCCCGTCATTCGCCCGCGCCAGTTATGCCCAACGGATATTCTAATCAATTCCAGCCTCCTTCGCAGCCAACGAACCCGTCACCCATTGATTCCCAGCATGCCTTTGCTCAAGGAGCAGCAGCCCCTCTCTCTTCGGGATACAATCCCATGGCGTACCCTGAAAGGTCTGTCGCATCGCCGAATCAACAGCCGGCTTCTTATGGCTTCTCGCCCATCAGCTCGCCTCCCCCCGGTCCAGCGAATGCATACTTTCCACAAGCCGGTCAAGCTCATCAGCAATTGACGTTCGCTTCCCCAAGCCACCAGTATCCGCAATACCCCTTCCCTCCTCCTCAGCCCGGTGCACCTCCGCCAAGCGCCTCCTATCAAAACCCGTCGCCCCATCCACAGATACCTCAGTCCCAACCACCCTACCAACAACATCAGCCTTATCAGCCGTCCCCATCTCCATACAACATGCCTCAGAATTACGTTCCTCCGCCCCCGCCACCGGGCCCTCCTGGTGGAGGCTCAGCAACACAGTACCCTCCGAATCCGTCTGGGGTCTGGGCGAGCGGACCAGGCGGTTATGCGAGCTATACGCATGCCATCAGATATGGGCAGCAAACTCAGCAGCAAAGCCAACCTCAGACTCAGGGGCAGACACAGCAGGGGCAAGCTGCTAGTGGTGGAGCCGCAGGAGGACAGGATCAGGATCCTTGGGCAGGATTGAGTGCATGGAAGTAGATGGCCTGGTACTGGATTGTTTTAGACCTTGCATAATGAAGGCAATAGTACGGTCGTCGCAAGTAACGTGAGGGGTATTTGATCATGAGCTTGACGAGGCTATTGGAGCTAACCGACGCGCAGGATCTTGGCCCTGCGGAAGGCTATCTGCTCGAGATGTCGCACGCATATGGCATGAACAACTTGTAACTCTTTCTACCACATGAAGCGCGTTTAGGCGATGGGTATTTCGTACTGCTTGGATCTTATCCCTGCACCCCGGCTATGTAGAGTCGTCCTCACTTGAGCAGCCCAATCTTGTAGAAAGTTTGTCGCTGAGCTGCTTTCCTAGCACTTATCGCCCTCACATGGTGCGTCTGTTGGAGAAGGGGCTTTCCTTCACGACCTCATGCACGGCCATTGTCTTTTCTTCAACTCGAAAGGTTCGCTGTCACGATAAGAATCTGATATACGGCGATACGTTATGCTAGGATCGAGAGGCAACCACTGTGTATGCAAACCAACCCTAACCGCCTGCCACTCAAATCAAGTAAGGGATGGAGAGACCATGGGCGACACCCTATATACACGGAGACGCACGCAGAGTGGATTTCAATGTGGTAGACAATAAGAGGTTCTTGTAAAGGGGAAAAGAGTTGACTGGCATTGGGGGAGGGAAAGTTGAGTCTGCTAGAAAGAATGTACACGAGAGAGATGCGGCACGGCTATCATCACAGGAGTCGCTTGGGTCTAGAGCATGAGATACCTGGAGAACGGATAGAGAGATGGTCGTCTGCCCTGTATGCCTGTGAAAGAACTGCATCTCTGTCGACCGTGGCGGAGCAAAGGCGACAGCGGTAGCAATACCTGAAATAGCGACCCATCTGCGACTCCGATCACCCCAAAACACAGATTTCCATCGTGCTGGCAGGATTGCCATATCCCCCGGCTCGCCCACAACCGGATGTCAACTCAGAGACGGATGAGCCGATATCAAACAGGAGTTCCTCCGTATACGAGTTCGCAGGTTCATTCCAAGAAGTGAAATTTCGGGTGGGAGACCAGGTTTTCGAAATTTGGCTCAATGTCGACATTGTCTCCGTAGAGACAGGCAGGGATGCAGCATCTGTGTATGCAATAGTTTTCAAGGGTGAGAAGCAGAGCTGCGTGAATCACGGGCCTTGGGACTTTACTTTTGCCTTT